AAAATGAGCCATATCCGGCTTTATTATGCGTCTTCTATCTAAAGGAGGTCTCAAAATAGATGTCCTCCCAAAATAATGGTTCCTATCACAAATGTCATGGTAAAGTTCGTTGATTGAATCAGCAATCTTCCCATCAAAATATCGCTGGATAACATCTTCCGCATTTGTAGCATCGCCGAACGGATAAGCATATCGCTTCAGCAAATAGTCATCATCGATAATAGACTCTCTGAGAGCATTGTCAAGTGGAGCGAGGTAGCTAGTTTTGAATTCATCAGAATTCATCTCCTTGAAGTCTGCTGTAGTCATTAGATTAGTTACAAAATTAAGGAGCGGTATGGATGCCCTTGTTTCAACCGATACTGACGCATCACTCTTGGGTACTATTCTTTCTATTTTCTCCAGAGATAGTTCATCTTTTGGTATATAACTACGGATCCTTAATAAATGAGTGTCTAATAAGACTCTGACATTTTGCTCATTATCATTCTGTACTTTTGTAAAAAGTGCTGGATTTATCCTGATGCACTTACTGGCAGGATCATCGAAAGCGATTTCCTTGCTTTCTTCCCCTGAGAAGTACATACATGGCATTCTAAGATAGATAGTTAGATAGTTATCTATACTATTTTTTATTTGAGATTATGTTTATCTACGTCCTGTACATAGAATGAACTTATGTAATTCATGCTGAATTTTGACTATAAAATGATGAGCCATACAGCTTCCCCTACACGGTCAAAGAGCCGAGTAGCCACTCCCTTATAACCAATTAAAAAATTGCAAAGCAGCTTCTATCCAAACTGATTTCAATAAATTCCTTCGGTGGGAACGCTTGGAAAGCGTTTGGATCTAAGTCTTTCTTCCAAATACACTTCTTGAAACTTCTTGTAGCTATTCTACTCTCCTCTTGAAAACCTTCGATCTCACTAGGGGATGGGTTGCCTGCGGTCGCCGATGTCTCAGTGCCAACTATGTTCCTGACAACAGGGTCAGTCACAAAAACGCGTAATCAATAAAGGGAAAAAAGAAAGTGATACAAAAACCGCCTTGCCTTAACGAAGCAAAGGGAAAAATGTTTACCGACGAATCTAAACCCTTCTCTTTAAGCCTAAAGGTATTCAAGAGGTATTCAGTAATCCAAAATTAAGTGACTACGACCTACCTGGGAAAGTAGGCTCTAATTGGAATCTCCTAATTTTTAAGAGAGGATTCGTCGGCTGCGCTACTTTTTATCGTAAACATAGACGGTTGAATTGAAACATAATTGAAACTATACTGAAAATTGTCCAGTAAACCTTCAAATTTAGCCATAGATAGCCGGTTTAAAAAGGCACATTCATATTATTTCATTTCAGTCTTATTTGAAGGCTTGGAGGACTTAGACCAATGACTAGCATATATACGTCTGATATCAAACATCATAGACGGGCACCCCCGCCGCCGACTAGCGATAAAATGCTGGTTGCTATAGATAACAAGCCCAAGCAATGGAATATAAACTCTAATAAAAGGCAATCCGGGTGGGTCTATTTAAAAGATGACGGGATCTTCACATCGTTTAGATGGAATAAACGATTCATGGTAGTGAACGATAGAACATTAAACTTTTATAAAGCTGAACCATCAAGCTCGCTTACTGGAGAAATAACTAACTCAAATAGTCCCGATTTATCCTTTCCTTTAAATTTGATAAGTAGTATCAATTTGAAACCAAATAGTGGATATTCTAAAAACTGCCAAACATTTGAGATATTACCCAAAAATAACGGTAAATCGATTCTGATCTCGATCAAGTCTCAACATGATTACTTAGATTGGCTAGACGTTTTTACAACAAAGTGTCCGTTAGTGAATATCGGAAGCCAAAACTCTTCTGCTATCTTAAACGGGAATGCTGGAGTCTCCAATCCTATCAACTTCACTCATAAAGTTCATGTTGGCTTTGATCCTGCTAGTGGAAACTTCACCGGTTTGCCAGATACCTGGAAAAGTTTATTGCAGCATTCCAAAATCACGAACGAGGATTGGAAGAACGACCCTGTTGCCGTCATAGAGGTTTTAGAATTTTATTCTGATATCAATGGTGGTTCAGCATCTCTGACACCTGTAAACCTGCCTGGAATTAACTCCAGCAATAAGATGAACGCCAATCTTCAAGAATGGACCAAGCATCCAACAAAGAATCAACCACTGTCTAGCACGACTGGAGCAGTTCCTCTTACTCAATTTAAACCATCGAGAACAGCACCCATGCCTCCTCCAGTACAAAGCAATCAGCTGCAAAACCCTACTGCAAATATCTCTCCCTTGAATAATTTATTACATCAGTCTAAGGACCCAGGCTCTTTGGAGCCAAAAACTGGATTGGTTCCTGTTCGAAGAGCGCCTCCTCCCCCAGGTCAACAGGGAACTTCTGTATCTGCTTATAAAAATTCTACCTCAATTGCACCTCCTAAAGGTTTAGGTATTGTTGCCGCTCTGAATAAAGGTACCACACTGGGAATACCTAAGCAGACTCCTCCTTCAATGCCAAAGAATAAGATACACCCTGATTTGAAGATCAACCAAACTTTAGAGACGAAATATCCCTCACCACCTAGCACAGCTCCCGCATCCGATAAGCCTTTTATGAAATCTTTCGCTTTGACAAATAATAATAATAAGGAGAAGAAGCAAGTAAGAGAATACGAAAAATCAGAGAGCACAGGATTACCTGAAGCTGCATCAAATATTCAAGTACTCAAACAAGTATCTTCCAATGTTAGCAAAGACACCGCTGCAGTTGCTAAAAGTCAAAGCACGAAGCCTCAGGTGCTTGCTTCTGGTCCCGCACAAACAAAGACGGCCAAGCAGATAAAGAGAGAACGTGAAAAATTGAACGAAATGCAAATTATTGCTAAGCTTAAAACTGTTGTCAGCGAAGGTGATCCGAAACAACTTTTCAAGATCCTTGAAAAGGCTGGCCAGGGCGCTTCTGGTGTCGTTTATTTGGCTCTGTCTGTAAAGGATAGTAGTCAGAAGTTTGCAATCAAACAAATGGACTTAAATGTACAACCAAGAAAGGAACTAATAATAAATGAAATTCTTGTCATGAAAGATTCGCAACATAAAAACATCGTTAATTTTTTGAATTCATATTTAATTGGTACATCCGACTTATGGGTTATTATGGAATATATGGAAGGAGGCTCTTTAACTGAAGTTATTGAAAATAATGAAAGCAAATTAACAGAAAAGCAAATGGCAACAATCTGCCTCGAGACATTGAAGGGATTACAACATTTGCATAAAAAACATATTATACATCGGGATATTAAATCAGACAATGTCTTATTAGATTCGAAAGGTAATGTGAAAATTACGGACTTTGGATTTTGTGCAAAGCTTACTGACCAAAGAGCAAAAAGAGCAACGATGGTGGGAACTCCCTATTGGATGGCGCCTGAAGTAGTTAAGCAAAAAGAGTACGATGAAAAGGTCGACGTGTGGTCGCTAGGTATAATGACGATTGAAATGATCGAAGGTGAGCCTCCTTACTTGAATGAAGAACCTTTGAAGGCACTTTATTTGATTGCAACAAATGGCACACCTAAACTCAAGAGACCAGAACTCTTGTCTAATTCTATAAAGAAATTTTTGTCAATTTGCCTATGCGTAGACGTCAGATATAGAGCACTGACTGACGAATTGCTAGAGCATTCATTTGTTAGACATAAATCTGCTGAAGTTTCTGAGCTAGCTCCACTTCTCGAATGGAAAAAAAATCCCCGACCTGTCTCATTCGACGATGATCTCTGATTCTCCTAAGTATTAACGTCTTTAGTGCCATTTCTATTCCTCTGTCTATATACTTATAAAAGTGAAACGACTTTCTATTTGACGTTCTAAATATTATCTCTGCAGGATACCCAAATCTATAAAGATTGCATTATTTCGGAAGAATATTTAAGCTATCTGGGCCCTAAATTATTTTGGTTGCGAATGTTAAAGTTTGAAATTTGTCCCTGGGTATTTTCATCGTTTAATTCGCCAACAAACGTCTGATGTGAGACAGGAACCTGATATGAGTTTGTTTCATGTCGATGGTTAAAGCTTCGATGCATAGCCTGTACATCAGAATTTGCTTCATCCAATGGATTTGATGAGTACCAGATGTCATTGCCCCCTCGAGCTACGTTCGGTTCAGTACCTAATATTGATGGCGGTAGTTCGTTAAAGCTACCCAGTACAGAATTTACTTGATTGCTACTATCGCCTGGTGAAATTGACCCACTGGAGAGACCACCAATGGAATACTCTCCAGACAGTAAAGACCCTACCCGATTGTTGATAGGATTCGGGTGCTGTAGTGAGAGCCCTCCCTGGTTTGGATTAAATCTTTCTTGAGACACATGAGCTAAACGATTCTCATTGCTATAAATATTTGTATATATGACACGTTCTGTTGGTTGCTGCTGCTGTTGAGTGACCTCTATTCTCGAGGCAAATCCAGTTCCTGGAAGGAAATTCGAGTCAATTGATGGAAAATTGTGTTCATGGATATGTCTTTCTTCAACTAAAGGATTAAAATACGATGATTCATTAGGTACTTGCTGTACCAATGCTTTTATCCTGCTGTTCTCATGCTTCCTGTGTGCTCGAAGGGGAAAAGGGATATTTTTGGGATGATTTTGAGCAGAGTCAAACCTAATATTACCTACATTCTGTTGATTTGTGTCAGCATAATCAGCAATCTGAGGTGCAGGGTTATTTCCAAACTGATTGTAGTCTTTAGATGGTGAACCGAAGGGCTTTTGACAAGTATCCTGCAATAAATAATTATCATGAGGTCGTTGAGGTATCATTTGTGTCTTATTTTGAACCATAGAATGTTGAAAAGGCTCTGAATATATACTTCCGTTTTCCTGGCTATATAGAAGTTTATGCTGTTGATCTGGTGGAAGAATTCCTTCAAAAGGTAGGTTCCTCACTAAAGTGCCTTTTGTTTCCACTTCCTCTTGAGCTTTAGTTCCTATCGCTGAATTTTTGGCTGCAATCCATAATTGATCATCTATAATTTCGTGTTTAAGATCAGTTTCTGATGGGCGCCTCAATTTGTCTTCTAAAACCTCATTTGCATTGTAATAACTTACCAAATGAATTACCTGTTTTTCATTTCTATTATCAAAATTTAAGTTTCCTGACGTTGTGGTGATACTCATGGCCTTCTTTATTAAACCATGTTCCTTGAATTTGTGTGATTTCTTTTGGTTTGACAAATGGAGAGGAGGCGTAGTCTCAAGGGTATGCTCTCCTATTTGAACCCCTTGTTCTTTATAAAATTGTTGTGTATTCGTTACAATTGACTCTGAAAGATCTAAATCTATGCTTTGTCTTCTCTTTTTCTTTTTTTCTTCCCTGCCTTTGTATGTTGATTTGTTCAACTCACGATATATCAAAAATCTTCCTAAAATTCTAGACGGGGACCAAGATATTCCATCTGTCCACCTCTTGATGCCAGACTTTGCCTCTATAAAAACAAATATATTGCCAGATCGAATGAGACTGGATTTCTCGTGATCATGGGGTCTACGGTGTGCTAGCTTGAGTTTCTTGTTCAAAACTGCCTGCATTATAAGTAAACCATCCTTAGTAGACCCGATGTAACCATGATAAGTGGGGGTTAGCGGTAATGAGCTGGAATCTACTCCTCTTGCAACCAGCATTACCTTGCCTAAACTTTTGTTTGTTTCCAAAATAAAGACAAAACTTCAACTCTTAAGGTACCTACTAATAATTTATGATTTATCTATCAGCCTTTTGGCTAGAATAGAATAAATTGACCTCCCTCTCTTAGAAGTCGCCTTGAATATTCCACTAGAATATGTTTGGTTTACTTTATACGAATTGAAAGTACAACAGAAAATTACGAACTGGAGGGGTTGCTCTAGGTATTTGGATAAGGTCTTATTTGCCAATTGTACCCTTAGGGGAAAGGGCAAGCTTCGAGCTAAAATCTGATGGCAAATTGTGTTTTAATATTTTTATCTGCAAAGCCCATGAATGATTTTGACAAAATAAAAGCAAGATATAACATCTGGTCAGAGTTTTCCTTGCCTGAATGTAACAACTTGAAAGAAATGAAAATAAAAAAAAAAAGAAAATACTGAAAGCGAAAGGGCAACGCATATCCGTATTTGGAATTGCAGCTTTCTAGGGTCCTATTGTGGTGTAAATGAAAAATGTATTAGATGCGGCTCCGTTGCAAAGGTCTCATATTCAACGATACATAGTTGTCAATTTACAGAGGTTTTGTTCATGTTTCGCCAGAGAATTAGAAGAGTTCTTGTAAGTCCAGATCTCTGTCTGGTCGAAGACATATTTCACAAGACATTTACTTATTTGGTCCCGCAATATTCTAGCGCAATAAGGGACGAAATTAGCGTAGTTCTGCAGGTCGGCATTTGCACAATAATCAAAAACTAAATAAATACGCCAAGGATAATTAGCTTTTCTACTTGATATTACAAGATTTCTCCTCAATTGAACCAGAAAATAGAGATACAGCTCGGTTAAAGAAGTAATTGCTATAGCTTTCTTCATGGATACCCGCAAATCATCTGCAGTGGAGAATATTCTCATTATGTACAGGTGATGATGACAGAATAAGAAAAGCAGCATAATTATAAAAATGCGTTATATATTATAGCATCGACTTGAGAATCAAGTAGGAGAAATATGATAGGTTGATATATATCTACCACAATTTGAGCATCAATTGATAGCTGAGATGCTAGTCAGATTGGATAAATGATGCAAGTACCTTTGACTATGTTAGTATATAAGACGACCGCGGCTTACATTTGAAATACGAGCTCGCCAATTAAGGTGGGGAAGCACGAGGCTTGTAAACAATGCTAATGAATTTCCTGTGTATACTTCTTACGAGGGGAAGACTATCTATCTTACGAAAGTTTTCAGAAGCCAGAACCAGTCAGAAAGCAATTCAGAACACGCGCATTGAAGCTCTTCATTTCACTTGTTCTTCGTTTCAATAGTGCATTTCTGACTCTATTTGAGTTTTCTATTTTTATATTTTCTACAAAGTGCATTTTATTTCGGAAAAGCATCTTACGTTTGAAATTTAAAATACAGGGAAGGACAAAGCCTAACTAATGGTAAAAACTTGCCTTTTAAGAGGATTGAGAGCTAATGGATAAAGATTGCAAAATAAAAGATTATTATTAATGCGCTCATAAGAGATTTTGAAATGACCAAATTTATCTGTGTATACCCTTTTGGTCAAATTTGGTAACTACGGCCACCATTTTTGCAATCGTGGTACTGCTACTAGTCTGAGTTGTTGACATTCCTTATATGAAATGGATTATATCTTTGACAATGATAAATAAGCAAAACAGTTTATATGCGAGAGCTCGAAGAAACTTATTTTTAATAATGAGTGAAAGAATCGAAGACGAGAATGTTGATGACAAGATAAATGAACCTACTTGGTTAGCTGACTTTGGGATACCGAGGAATTGACCTATTTGAGACGGTTTCAGAAAACATTTCTTCCAAAAGCCCTACTTTGACTTTTGCTGAGAGGACAGAAAGAGCAGTTGCCTCAGAGGGTACTTAAAGTCCTGGTGAAGAAGTTATCAAGTAAGTTGCAATGGTGATTCGGCTCCATTCTTTTTCAGAATTAACTTTATAGGAACTCTATAAGAAAAGTTATTAGCTATGCAACTATATTATACAATGACGAAGACGAACCATTGCCCCATTTAGACGACGATTACGAATCCTGGTGCGTCTTAACACGGCTTTGTTGCCAAATATTATATAAGCTTGCACCTATAATTACGGTTCTGAGCTCGATATGGCATCATTCGTAGTATAGATAGTCTACTATTTATATTTATGAATCTTGCTTGGACTGTTTGGAAATTTATTAGGATTCGACCCTCGTTCCAGTAATTTGATATATTTTTAACGGTCACAATGATCGATTTTGGTCAATTTGAGGTAAAACATTTTAGGTACCTCAGATAAGCGTCAAGTGACGAATCAAATTTAGGTGCATTGATAAATAGAACAGTTTTAATGAGTAGAAAGGTCCGATACTACAACATATAAAAACATTATCAGCAGCAGAAGTTCCCACTAGAAAATAGTAAAAAGAAAACTGCACTCAGATTTTTATATATAACACCATCAAGTTTGAAGAAGGTATCCAACTTTAGAGGTTTTCATGAAAATATAGAAGCATCAATACATTTAATATATAATACATGACAGAAAGTATAATATTCGCTGAATTTGATAAAGACTTCAATAGTGGAGTATTGCAAGGTATCAAATTCGAGCTGCAAAGACGCTGAGTCGCGTAGCTGAGAGTGTGAGAGTAAAGCAATCATAACAGAAATACGACTATGAAAGGTTTCTTAAATGTTATTAGGGTATACTAAGTGCTAGTCTTATAGTTATCGGTAATTTTTAGTCAATTTATGATACGTTATAATAATTTATAGCTCGAAACAAATTAATTAATCAAGCTGCAGTAGTGTTCTAGAAAGTACTAAATGCAACTTAAAAAAATTTTCATCTAAACGTTATGAGTAGATGCTTTTAAGGATGAAATTAGAAAAAAAAATTTCATCTGTTTCTTAGATGTTTTACAATAATTTCGTTTCGAATGTAATTAATTCTTTCATATTTTAGGAAGATTTTTATCAATTTTAAACTTAAAGAAAAATGACAGAATTTTTTTCAACACAGGTCCTTCTCCTTACATTATTTGAACCAGCCGAAATGATTTCGATTATATGGACTTCGAAATGGAATGGAGTCAATTCTCCTTTGGTTCTCCTTCTGTACTACTTTATTCTTTCAGTATGCTCTCGTAAATCAGTTGCAAAATAGTTATATGCAGACAGATAGGACCCGCAATTTCTTTTCCTAAAAAAGGCGGGTGAACGATAAGACTACTTAGCTCACAATCGGCTCAAAATACGACGGATAAATTGATTTTCAAATACTACCAGTTATTAAAGAACAATAAGTGAAAATATATGTAGCTACAACATCTTAACAATACTAACGTTTATTGTAAATGCTTTTTTTAATTGCAAGCATGCTTTTCATGCCTCGAATACTATCAATTTCCTAAGTACCCCTATTTTATAGGTATCGGCCGATTCAAAATTTGAAGCACATAGCTTACCAAGAGCCACAAAAATGTGTGATGTTGATACTATGAATCTGGTTTATTTACTAGCAAACATGAATAGGACGCAACAGCTAAAAATAGGGGCAAATCAGTTTGCAATCAACAATTGCTATGATCTCGGATTTCCCCCCTCCTTACTATTTCTTTCCTCTCCCCCCGCCTGTCAGTCTGATGCATATCGGTTTCATCTACGGGAACGGTTTGTAACGCTCATACGATCAAACTACATTCACCTTTCTGGGTGCGTAACATGGGTTTAAAGCAATATCTTTATCTTTTACTAGCGGATTTGTAGCTAGGCCGCGTAATCGTTACATAATGTCTTACCAAGTTTCTTCCTATAAGTTGTTGGATTGGAAATCCGTAAAGCAATTATAGAGGGGAAGATCATCGAGCACATATTCTATTACAGATATCTATTTCAGTATTGCAACCGACCCGCGACCGGTGATAAATTCGAAAATAGTCCTTATGCGATGCCCGCAGTCATCTTTAGAGTAGATGCCTAGTGTGACCAAGGCGAAGCCAAGCAGAGCATCTTGAAAAATCTTCTAAGCATTCATAGAGGCTTAATTTGCTAGAAATAGGACCCGGAGGCGGTACGGCACATATATTGTTCCCCTTTAAAATTCAGAACTCGACGCTAAAACAAAGCTCTTACATTTTCGGCCAGGTGACTCTATACATCACCAAATACGGAGATCATTTACAAAGGACAAGAAAATCCTATAGGTAAGAAGTGAATCGACACATTTGCTAAGTTTTGACAAAAAATTGATAAAAGTGATCAGAAGAGTCTCATTGAAGCTACAGAGTGCTCTAATTGAATTTGATATAACGAATAGGTCTTCTCATCAAGAATTTCAGAAAAATAAAGAGGGGGCCAAAAAAGAGAAGCAAAGAACAAGATTTTATGATAGCTGCAGATAATATTGATTATCGTCTTCATCTACCTCCCTATCGATCACTTTTGAATCCGAGTGCTCGCTATGACTATAAAACACACAAGTTGGTGCCTTTCAATCCCAATGAATTAAATCTGTTGGATCCTACCATGAGGGCTAGTCCCTCTACATCTAGGACATCATTAAAAAATCCCTCATCTTCATTTAAGATGAAGTATAGGTCTTTGTTGAGCGATGTTAGTAGGAGCCTTTCCCTTAGGATCAGTAACCCGTCTCTAATAGGCAACCAGAGTAATGTCAAGTTTCAGAGCCCAGTTCATTCGACTGTGACTTTCAAGAGCATGCCAGTTGAAATATTGGATTTTATATTTAGCCTTATCGACGATGTTGATGATTACAGAAGATGTCTCTATACTAGCAAATTATTTTACCAATTGGCAAAGCCATATTTTTACCAGGATTTATCATTTACCTCGACCTACAGATTTGCTCAATTCATAACATACTTGAGACTCAACGTGAGCGTTGGCCAATATGTTAAGTCTATTGACTTATCAAATATCAGACCAGGCAATTATGAGGAGACATTGAATGAGGAAGATGAAAGGGAAACTGACAGCAAGATTGATTTCAATTCTGTATTAAAGCTTCTCGCAGGATGGAGGGATTGGAAATATAAGACAAACCCATTATATTCACTTCATCCTCATCCTTCTTCCTCGAATCTTACCAAAGTTGCATCTAATTCTCAGAGTTCTGTTCATTCGGGAAAATCTAACTCATCAAGTAAATCCCTTAAATTTGCAAAGCTGTTTAAATTTATGAAATCAAAAAAACGTAGAAATTCTCAATGCATGAGAGAAAACCTACAAAAAGTACCAAAAGTTGAAGTCGTTGACTTATCAGAATCAAAAGCATCACATCCAAAAATTAATAAGTTCTTACTAAATTATTCATCCTCGAGGGACATTCCAATTGGATACGTTCTTCATTTGATTAATCTATGCCCAAACATTGTGAGTCTCGATTTAGGCAATCTTTCAATCTCCACGGACTATCGGATAAAAAGATCAATGATCTGCAAATATCAAACTTTTGATATCATGAACAATTATCCCAAGGAAATGATCAATAAAATTGACAACATAATGACGCACAACCGTGAAGACAGTGGCTTTCAAATGTTGCATTTGAGGCAAAATGATTTGCACCAACCAACGTCTTCTGCATCGTCCGTTTATTCTATCACTACATTTTCAAAGCCAATTAAAAAATACAATAGCTTACTTCCGCCTTTACCACAGACAGTAAGTGATATTTCATATCTTAAAAAGGGTGATGGCGAGGTCTTCTTGAGTGACCTTAATTTAAAGTCAATAAATAACAACTATTTGATTAGGTTGAATGAGCACGAGTCATTGTCAGCACTAATTAAAATGCATGGAAATAAGTCGCCTTATCCGCACACTTTGAAATATATCAATTTATCTTCGGTGATTTGGTTGAATAAGAAGCTAGTACAAGTATTTTTGAGAAACTTTACGAGCTCCAACTTTGGGGAGTTTTTTAAAAGTCTCGACGATCATCATTCAGATGTCCGAAGTTTATCGTCTTTAAAAACTGATATCAACCATCAAGATTTTTTTCGGGACCTTGTCGTAAACTTAACGGATTCAGGAATGTACAAAAATCTTCAGTGGGCCCAATTGATCGATTTCCGAACTTTTGAAGGATGTAAATTAGCAAATGAAATCATAAATGATCAACTAATCGATGACTACGAACAATACATTAGGAGAGAGAGAATGAGAAGAGGGAGAATTGCTGAGAATTATCTCAATTAGGCGGGCCTCGCATCTAGTTGATTGTATAGTGAATAGTATTTTTTAGTAAATAATTATTGTGTAAAATGTTCCAGACATCAGGTCATCACCATTTCATGAATCAGCCCGACTAAAGTATTAGTGGCGATCTCTAACAGCGATGGTTTTAAGGCTGGAGTGAATTCAAATGATTCAATTAATATAGAATATTCAAATACTCAACATATCCTGATAGCTCACCAAACCCTCATATGAAAGTTCGGTACTTTTGTTAATGCTATACTTAAAGACAAATTGAGATTCGAAGATCCCTAGATAAAGAGTCCAAATTATAAAAATTTGGAGAAAAAAAAAATACTTTTATAATCACATTTTGAGTAAATATGAGAATGCGTTAAAATTGAATTCTTATTCCTTTCTTGTTCGAAGTCTATAAAAGGTAGAGACTAGCGTTCAAGAGTGATTAGAAATGTCTGACTTGTCTGCTCAGCTCTCTGCTTTCAAAAGCAAGATCAGAAGTGGACCTTCTGTCTCAGTAAGAAGGACGGTTCCCCAAAAATCTGAAGCAGCAGAAAAGAACGATCAGGTAAGGGGTTACAGTGATAATAAAGTCAAAACCAGCCAAAAAAGAGACGCCCATGAATTAAGCCTAGAATCAAAAAGACAAAAGGTTTCTAATGATTTTTCAGGTTCTATGTTACCAACTCAATTGCATACAGCTGTTGAATATATTAAACAACACGACTATCCCATAGCCGTTTCAAAACTTCAAAACTATTTATCACTTGATGTTGCTCCTACATTATTACCTTTGTTAAAAGAAATCGATCGAATTAAATACAACAGGGACGATGACACACTTGAATACGTTTCTTTTCATAATATAAGGTCTTCCGATGATCTACTAAACTTTTTGAGATACCAACCGACTTTTAAGGGAATGTCTGTAAAAGAGCTCAGCGACGGCTGGTCTGGATGCGTAGATGCTATAAATGAATTAGAAGAACAAAATAAGATATTAGTGTTACGAAACAAGAAAGAAAATACCCCTAGACTAGTATGGGCAAATTTAGGTGGTGAATTGGACTTAATAGACGATGAATTCAAGAAAATGTGGAGCGAAGTTAAACTCCCTGAACCAGATAACTTGTATCTGGCCCTTATTGATCAAGGGTTGAAGCCTTCAGGTGCTGACCCTTCTTTAATTAGGAAAAAGCCACAACAACAAGAAAAAAAGCAAAAGAAGGCAAGGAGAGGAAAAATCACAAATACCCATATGAAAGGGATCTTGAAAGACTATTCACAACTAGTTTAATTTGCGTACATTGGCATATATAAGATAGGAACAATAAATACTACTCGTATAAGACTGCATGGTGTAAATTTCAGCACAAATATAATATCGAAAAGGAATTTTTTGATTCATCACCACCTTACTTCATCGTAAGCATAGTTAGAATAAGAGTTGGATCTTGGCCATAATGTCAGGTAAGTGAATTAAATAGCTTTTTTGGACTGCCAATCCAGTGATTAATGGGCTTAAATACTTCTAAAGAAGAAAAGAAACAATGATACTAACAAACGTTCTTCTTAGTTGATTTCAATACAGTTGCTAAAGAGTTCTGTGAGTTTTACTACCGTCAGTTTGACACGGATAGAACCCAATTGGGGAACTTGTACAGGGACCAATCTATGTTGACCTTTGAGACTTCCCAGTTACAAGGTGCAAGGGATATTGTGGAAAAGTTGATTTCCTTGCCTTTCCAAAAGGTAGCTCACAGAATTTCTACATTAGATGCTCAACCGGGATCCCCTAGTGGTGATATATTAGTAATGGTTACAGGAGAATTGCTTATCGACGAAGAGCAGAATGCACAACGTTATTCCCAAGTATTCCATCTTATTCCCGATGGAAGTTCTTACTATGTGTTTAATGACATATTTAGATTGAACTATTCTTAATCTCGGAGGATGTGCTCTAAAGTTATAACTATATTTTTAAATATGTAAGACATAATTTCTATTGTTTACGTAGCACGCACTCAATTTAATAAATGATTTGAGTAATTAAATCTATTGCTATTATCACGAAAACTTTAACATAATGGACGCCCCCAATTTTATCCCTACTATTCCAGAAAGACCAAAAAAGCACATGGAATCATTTTCGAAGCAAGAAGATGCTATTCTGGAATCTGTGGATTCCAATGAAAACAAAATTTATTCACGCAGTGATATAAATATGGAAGTTCCAACCATTCCTAAAAGACCTACTAAATCAGACCTGGACTCAGAAAGATCACCATCTATGCCAGTTATACCTAAGAGGCCAACTAGAATGTCGTCTGATAGGCTGAAGAAGTCATCAGAAGAAGAATCAAATATTGTAAAACTGAGAAAGCAGCCGGAACTAAAGCTTGAAAAGTCTGAACTTGACTCTGATAATTCCAGCTCAGGGAAATCTCATCCGGTTGACAAATTGAACACGTTGGATACTGGACTTGAGGATAGATCGAGTAATGATGCAAATATTGAGAATACTTCTATCTCAAAACCCAAAGATGTTGAAAATGCTTCAGAGCTCTCCGACTCATTACGAAATGTTCTGGGCCAAGCAGATGAATCACAGTCTGTTAATAAAGTAGAAAATTTAGAGACTTTGAATAAGAAACAATACGAAGTGGATGATATTACATCTAATGATTACTTCGAAATCTGCTCTGAAGAAGGAGAACCTAACCGACACGAAGAGAAGCAAGGCGAGACGGAGGGCAATCACCTAGATCATAAAATAAATGATCCATATGACGATTCTAATGAAATCGGAAAACTGAACGATTCTGTAAAATTTGACCTCGAACCTGAAACCAACAAGGAAAAAAACAAAAATAATGATATCTATGTTAGTCAAATAGAAGCAGAGGAATTGAGTCCGATTGATCTGCAAGTCGCAATAAAGGATAGCGCAGAGAAACTGAGCCCGAGTGATCTGCAAGTATCAGTAAGGGACCTCAACTTAGCTGATTATATTCCATCGATTCCAAAGAGACCTCTGAAACAAACAAAGGATGCAAAGGAAGAAGAATGGAAGAAGAGTAATTCTGATGAAGAGGTGAAAGTAAAAGATAATGCTGATACACTGAAGATAAAATCTTTTGATAATGAACCCAGAATTCCCCTTCGTCCGCGAAGAAATAATAGTGAAAGATCTGAAAAGCAAGATGATGCGAAAAAGAATAACAATTCAACAATAGATATAGATACTACATTAGGTTCAAAACCAGAATCGATTGAGTCGGCCAAGACCACATCTGACCATCCTGTTATAAAATCGGATACCCCTAATGGTCTCTCTGATCAGAATAAGCACCATAAGGCACCTCCACCGAAGCCAAAAAAGCTCTCTTCGAAAATAGCTGCATTTCAACAAATGTTTAACGCAGAACCGGACGTGGAACCCTCAGAAACGAAGCCCCACTCAAGAATATATGAGAGCACTTCAAGACCTTCAAGGCTATCCTCAGATAAAATGAAGTTTGCTGAAAGCTTAAAAGGAATGATGGGTAAGGGAATGGCGCTACCTGGTATGGTGGATCCTAATGTAATAGTCGAAAGCAACGTCACTGAATCCAAAGAGGATACATTGAACGAGTTACCAAAAGATGAAACAAGGATACTCAACTCGAGACCCGTTAGGACAAAAGGTCCTAAAGGCAAAAGGCTCCCTAAAACATTAAAGGAACCTGCGAACATCGAGTCTGAGCCTTCTTTTCAAAAATCAACACGTGAGCTTTGGCGATTAAGTTTTGCTAAGAAAGAACATCCTCGTTCATCTATCGGATTTGAACAAGTCTGTATTAATCACCCGGGGAAAAAAATAGAATCCAGCACAGAAGATTTAAATGTGGATTCACTTAGTTTTGATCAAAATTGGAAAACTGAGACTTTCTCCCTGCCGATCAATGACTATGAATCTAAACCAATCATGGATTCTCAAGAGAATTTGAATTTAATTGACTATCCTAAGTCAAATGATAACACTTTGATTGGTGAAGCTTTAGAGAGCGGTGACTTACCTTCTATGGAAGATTCGATGTTGCTGAGCTCTTCTCATAGTAACGTGGGGGCTCTGAGTAACGCAGACAATTCTTCGAATCAGATCGAAAATCCTGAATTGAATAAATCACTGGATTCATCAGACTAACTGTTGGATGATAGAATAATGTATATTGGTATATAGAGCATCGTTAAATGTTATCTTGCATTCCTCAAGGTCTTTACTGTAGAGTCAGAATATCTCGGTTTATAGGCAACATGCCCTTCCCTCGTTCCTTTTAGAGAAGCATCTGCACTTCCATTTTGGGTATACATTTCCAAATGAGAACTCGACTGCTCGTAGCTTTCGTTAATCAATTTGTCTTTAAGGTTATTTACCTTTTTCAGTATGACTTGTTCATCTTCGTTATTATCCTCTAATTCTTCTCGAAGCTCCATACAACGTACCTCTATCATTCTCTTATTCTCATGTCCCAATAATTCAGATCTAGCTCTTGTTTTCTTCGTATCATTTTCCAACTTCTGCTTTTCATTTTCTCTTTTTCGTTTCAGCAACTGCCTATATTTAGAATGACCAGAATCCTTCCTATCCTGGTTCAAAGCTAAACTCTTTTGCACATATCCAGAAGTCCCAGAGCCTCTTGTAGTTCGCAAACCTATTCCATTATAAGACATATCTATACCAAGAGATACTTAAGACCTTAATTATTAACATGTGGATCATCCTAAATTTTTTTTGTGTGGAACATCCTCGCAATGGATATTCTTATGTGCACGAATTTATTATCGACATAGTAAAACGCTGAAGTGGGTACTTAACTTTAACTCCTCTAAAACATAACCCATGTTACACTTCACATAATGGGACTAAGGCGAATTAGGTATAGGCTATTGCTTACGTTATTTGTGATATGTATCATCGCTTTTACTGCAAGGCTATTGGATTACTTCAAAACTACCCATTCCGAATGGAGTTTTCTAAATTTAGTGTCATCAGGGCCAAATAGATTCTACACAGCTAACCTGGAAGCTCCTGACTTTTGGAGCAAGGTTTTTAAAGTATTTGAGGTTAACAAATTGCAATTGCCGCTTGAAAATTTGGATGATGCTATTAGGTATATCGATAAATCCCAACAAAAGGATGGGCCAAGCACGAAAGAAAACTTGTTATCCAAGGCTTATATACCAGAGGAAGTACAATTGGAATTGAAACAGAAGCATTTTAAGGTAATGAACGAACTTCCCTCAGAGATCCCGAAAGCGTTGTATAAAAAGGATATGTGTGGTGTTGTGTTAGTTGGAGGAGGAAGATTCTCTTGGCTTGCTTATCTTGCTCTCTTGTCGCTTAGACGATCAGGCTCCCGTATTCCAGCTGAGGTGGTGATGCCTAAGCTCGCAGACTATGAAAACGAGTTAGAATTCTGTAAGGTCGTCCTTCCGAAATTAAATGCAGAATGTGTTGTAATTCCAGAAGAACTCGGCTCAGTTGTGACCATGAACTGGGCGAAAAATTTAGCATCCTACCAGTTCAAGATTCTTGCATTGCTAGTCTCATCATTTCAAAACGTTCTTCTTTTAGATTCTGATAATATAATAATTGAAAATCCGGACTCCATTTTTGAGAGCGACTTATTTCATAATTATGGAATGATAACGTGGTCAGACTATTGGTCACGTACTATAAGCCCTATATTTTACGATGTTCTGGGAATAAAAGTAAATGAAAAGAAGAGAGTCAGATATAACAGGTTTCCGCTACGTGTTCCACCAGATGTTACAGATAGCATACCAGATAGTAACTCAGTTCCTTATCATGATTTGGAGGGTGCAATTCCTGACTTATCTACCGAATCTGGCCAGCTTTTTGTAAACAAGCTTACCCATGGAAAAACATTGCTTTTAGCTTTGTATTATAATTTGAACGGCCCTAATGTGTTTTACAAATTGTTTTCATTGGGTGAACAGGGTGCTGGAGATAAGGATACTTTTGCAGCGGCGGCAGTAGCGACGAGTCAAAAATATTATCAGGTTAATTCTTTTATTAAGACCTTAGGCTATTTTGACAACAATGGTAATTACAGAGGAGTTGCTATGGCTCAGAAAGATCCTTTAGTCGACTATGCCTTTTATGAGCAACTTGTTTTAAAGCCCCAAATTTCAAAAGAAAACATAGATATGACTTTGGAAGATCAGTTTGAAAGGCTCGAAATATTAAAGAAAGAAAAATTTGACTCTAACAACAATGTTCCCATCTTTTGTATCCATTGTAACTTTCCCAAATTGGACCCACTTGAATTATTCGGAGAGGACTCTTTATATGATGCAGAGAAACGTAGGCTAAAATACAGACTCTATGGAGGTATTAAAATTGAACTGAAGTTTCAGTCCCTGGATCTAGAGGGTGCTGAAAATAAAGAGGTCGATTTTGAACTTCAACAATGGGAAATGATGTACAAGTCACTATGCAAAGACAAAATTCATTTTACTCATTTCAAAGACACCAATATGGATGAACTTTGTCAAAAAATAACAAACGAAATACAATGGCTAGCTGAAACTTAATACTACTCTTCCACTCTATATAGCTTATCATTTAATACTGTGTTTACGAGTCATGTTTAAATACTTTTTGAATCCTAAAAAAATCCGGTCGAGTCTAATTTAACATAAGTTCAAAGATTACTTTACATCGCCCTATGAAGGTAAGCAATCAAATTTCCTAAAAATGTAAGAAGATAACATGACAAAATTTTCAAGAAAATAAAGCGCATAAACTAGCAGAACAATGTGAACATGAAATACCCATATAAGATGAGGGCTGCTAATAATCAAACTGTCATAGTATGAGATAGTAAAAACTTCATTGGAAACTTGGAATACCTAATAACGTAGATATAATAATACTCTTTTATAAATAATCAACTTTGCTCGATTTCCAAACCTATAAACTTCAAATGCAAATGAAATGAAACCATTGATCGTCCACACAACCAACAAGCATCAAGTTGTCCTGCTTCAACCTGAAGAAAGTAGAGAATTTTACATGAATCGAGTATTATAGAGATAAGTATCAGACAAGAAAGATCACTTCCTACCAATTTCTTGTGACGCAATAACTGTAGACATCAGAAAGAAATTGAATCTAACTATAGACATGAGAAAGAACGTGAATTTAGCTTCAATTTATATTCATCTCAGAAGAGCCACAGCGCACACCAAGCCTACATGGCTATAAACTCAGCATGCCTTTTCGCAGCCATATAACAGAAAACCAATGGCAGAAAATGCCTTCAATTTTATCTCATACTGTGGATGTGACAGCACTGTCGTGAAATGAATAGAGCAGTCACTTTTATCATCACAACTCGAGCGCATAATCACTAAAGCATAGTCTTGAGTTCAGGAGAAAAGCGGAGAGTAAGAATACTTTTCTTTATTGCTGGTCTTCTATAACATAATATTGAAATGGTAATTTCTAAAATTTAAGTGAACATGTTGAGCAGTACTTGACAAAGAGTGTCCGCGGTTAAGCATCCTCAGAATACCACCATCCTGTATTCACGCACCGTCTAAATTTGACATGGTGTGACTTTTAAAGAATTCTTATAATGAATATACCCACCTACATACAGCTCCTTCTATTTACAATCCAATGATTATTTGGTCAAGTAAATTCAGAATCTAAGTCTATTGAAATATGGATACGTAGAATTTATTCATATATGTAAACCAAACTTATTTGTGTAGAGATTTCTATTACCTCAAATATTTCTGTTTATGGTGGTGGCCAAAAATAAGGTTCTTGTGCTTAATATATTTAGGTCATCTCTACTGAATTTTCTTCGGCTGCAGTTCCACTTTGTTAATCATTAATCGAACTTATTCAAAGAAGGTTTAACACTTGGTGGCCGTTAGGTGCGATAGTAACATGGTACTCTTTAATACTTGACTCTTTAGATTGATGACTTGCTTCATTTTAATGGTTGTTAGCTGAGAAATGATCTGTTTACAGTTTTGAACCTACTTTTTTATAGCGTGTGACAAGATACACCTCTTAAGCTATAGATTGGATTTGAGTTCCTCTTGCTTGGGTTTACAATTTAGCAGAGAAATGATCTGTTTACAGATTTAAACCTACTTTTTTATAGCGTGTGACAAGGTACACCTCTTAAGCTATAGATTGGATTTGAGTTTCTCTTGCTTGGGTTTACAATGGTGAGGTTGACTACCCCGTTTCTGGACTTTTGATTTGTACCTTCCTTATCCTATTCCACAATCATGTTGCTGCTGTTATTGTAGTAGTAAATATCTATTTTGTTTTTCTTTTGGTAATAGTACATGAACTTAAATTTGAACTATTGTTTTGTATTTTGCGGTCTTTTTAAGATTGGCTTTAATACTTGACTTGATTGAACTACTATGGTATTTATCGGTTTTTTTAGAGTGGCATTAATAGTTAAATTGATTGATACTACTATTGTATTTTTTGATTTTCTTTTTAAAGTAGAATACTACAATTGCATTTTTTGGATTTTTTTTAGAGTAGTATTATGTTCGAAGCTATATAAATTCACTAAAAAAGTAATAATATTAATATCTTACGACATACCTTCCTTTTCGAAGTCATTTTTCAAGATACGGAGCATCATACTCTGTGCTCAAAGTATCTCCTTTCCACCACTTGAAACCAAGTCCAAAGCCCCAGGGATCATTGGTGTATCTGACCGGCTTATCAGCTCCTATGGCATATAAAGCTCTTAATTCCTCTTTCGTAAGATGTGGCAACCTGATATTCGTCTTGATCCTTTCAAGATTGGAAGATCTTGGCAAAGTTACTCTTCCCTGCAAAATATGATAAGCATTAGCTATCTCATTTGTAGATACGCCATATTTGTCAGCTAGTTCTTTGATGTAGCCTAATTTCAATACCGGAGCACCTGTCCCACCAACTGGACTGTATGCTTCCACTACAATATTGTGCTCATCACAAAAATCAGTTAAATCTTTCTGCGGTAGCTGACAGTGGTATTCAATCTGATTTACCACTGGTACGAATTTTTTCACTTTTGGTAAAAGCTTCTTGAGTTTCACCAATGAATAATTAGAAACACCAACTGATTTAACTTTATTTGTATTAAGCTTAATATCTTCAATTGAGTGGTAGGCGTCAATAAATTTAGTTCCAGTCACAGGATCGTCGTCATATAATAGTTCACCTTTCTCATTCTTAGGTGCTGGTGGTTGTCCATTATCGTCTCCATGTAAGCACACGGGCCAGTGTTGTAAAAACAAATCAACGTAGTCAATTCCTAATGCAGCAAGAGATTCGTCTAACGATTTCATAGGATTGTGATAGAACGAGGGCCAGACTTTCGTAGTAATGAACAAGTCTTCACGCTTGACAACACCCTCTTCAAAGAGTTCTTTCAAAGCTTCGCCAATATACTTTTCCGTCCCATAATACCAGGCCGTGTCAATAAGACGATAGCCAGCCTTCACTGCTGTAATTACCTGATTTTTTACCTCACTTGGATCTTGAGGGGGAAGTGTTCCTAAGCCGAGCGCAGGAATCTTGTTACCATCGTTCAAGTCAAACTTAATATCTGTTGCAAACTGATTAGGTGCCATTTTGGTTAAATCTAATTCTAATCTTAGGTCAATTGAATTCTATTATCTTAGTATAAATATATTAACTAATCTCAAGTCCATTGCTGTCCGTTAAGGATGCATGCAATTTCGGTCGTTTGCTTACCGCAAGTCGCCACTTCTGCTCCACATTTTAGACTGAGAGCAATTTATGATTGCAAAAATGCAAGCGGAGCCTACCGTAGAGATTCAATGTTTTCTATATTAATAACTATAGTTCTATATCACCAACAATGTCTTTGTCATCATCGTCGATAATAGCATCTTCATTTCCATAATCTTCCAGATATACGTCATCCATTTCGTCGTCAGCCTGTGCATTACTTTGACTTACCTGCTCCTTGTTGTCACCTGCCTCATAAGATCTATTTTCAACCATAGAGAAATGAATTTTATTAATGGCTTTCAAGTATATGAAAGCAACTCTTTTTTTCTTTTTATTGTATATAAACCAATAATATGACCACATAGATTGAAATGGGTAATTGAGATCTTCGATTATGGACTGATCAGATGGTTGAAACTCGTATATTTGACATGGTTCATTATTTGAAGTTTGAAAAGTAGGAGACTCTTGATTGAACTTACCACCTTGCTTTGAGAAGCTGTTCGATCTTGAGCCTGTTCCGCTATAGTTGTGAGCGGCACTTTTCGGTGGAATAAAGTCCATATGCACGTTGATGGTGTCCCATATCCAATTTAGTAAGTCCTCTTTTTTACCCAAGGAAACCATTATGTTGTTGAATAGTCGCATAAAATCTTCGCTAGTATCTATTTTATGAAAGTTTTCAGTAGTAGGCTGGAGTCTCGTAAAATCATGGTCTGGAAATGTGCTGTTCAAAATGGCTATTAAATATGAAAATGTCTTTCTCGTGGTAACATTACTTAGGGGCCCAAATGGAGACTCGTCGGTATTGCCGCTGTCAATATCTTGTCCTTCGACAATTGAGTTAGATAGATTCGATTTATTATTAAACGACGAGTCAATGGAGCTCTTATTGAACGAGAGAGATCTGCTTCCTCTCCTTTCCCTTTCATTAGATATTACATAGCTTCCGCGACGCGTCATGTGTCCATTTCCCGGCGGTGAAGCACTGCTACCGAATAAAGAATTCATGGAGTGATTACGTTCACGCTCGATTGACTGAGAAAGTTGGTTATCTTCCAACATCTGGTCCAAATTCTTATCGATTGTTTTAAATAACTTTCTATCTGACCCTACTGGCTTTGTTGAGAATAAATCACATCCCCCTTTTATAATTAAACTATTGTCTTGAGATAGAAAATTAAGCTCTTGATTGACGAGTTCAATATCGACCTCATCCATAAACTATTAAGACGTTAGTAAATAACTCCAAGGATAATGAGTGACTTGAGAAGCTTACTTTCATAGTTACTGTTTGTCAATTAAACACGATAGATTAGTATACAATTTGAGTTGATAATGTATAAGTGACTTTTATCATAACTTCGTATTTACATGTATATGCACGACCTTCAGGTGAACTCTAATTACGATTTTCAATCAAGCCCGTGGTCGAAATACTGAAAGGTATCTTATAATAATTGCTACAGTTGGAAACATCAACCAAATTTGATATCACCTTCATGTACCTTCTTGGTTCCCATCCATCTATCAGATTCTTGAGGATGTGAGCGTCCTCGTAATCTTGGCTACTGCTATTGCTATTTCTAGCCGTCATATTTATATCACTAATTCCATTAATGTTTAGTCTATTCTTGTGAAACACTGGTTGGTATGATTTCATTAACATGATTCTCGTTGAAATCAATTTATTCCATTGGTAACCTAGAGCGGGGACATATTTTTTCGTCTGGGAACTCTCTATTTGAAGAAGTGATGTTAGTTGGGACTCATCTTCAATATTAGCGCAAAGAGCTTTGGATTTGGGGCTTGCCTCAGCTGTGCCATCGAGTCTTTGTCTCTTGTTTCTACTCCTTGTGGTCAGAAGAATTTGCGTAAAGTGATCCGTGAAGTTCTTCAAATATACAGAGTGCTCACCGATCATAGATCGATGATATTCTAGAATTGTTTTATTATCCCATCCTGAAAAAAATCCCAACTGCATATCTAGATTAAGTGGATATGAAATCCCATCATAGGATAGTAAATCATGATTACTGTCAGTATGGTCACTTACCTGGTTAGCAACAACAATCGAAATATTAAAGGTTTGTGCCAATTTAGTTAAATGCTTATGCAAGAGTGCTATATATTGAGTTTTGAGCATCCATTTTTCATACCTGGCAGTAGATTTAAAAAAGCTTTTCATGACCTTCCTATGTCTCTCTTTAACTTCATTATAGTATTTGTCGTCTTCAAATTCAAGTTCTTGTTCTTTGACTCTGTTTTCTAGATATGTGAGATTAGTGATCAAATCTTCTCTTCTTAAATGGTGGGCAATACTGTCAATTAGAACTAGTTTTGTATTTCCTTTAGTTCTCTCTAACTCTATAGGTAATTGAGTGAAAATGACATGATCCTGGGTTTCAAGATCTTGACAATATATAGACGAAACTCTACTCATGAACGTCGAATCGAAAGTGCTCATTTCCTTCAACCTTCTAGTTTCGAGGGGTGCCTCGGTCGATATGTAGATACCTAAGCTTTGAGGCGACTGCTTATGCATGTTGACTAATAGTTGGAGAAGTAATTGCGACTTTCCACATCCACTGGCACCAAAAATTTCTGTTATCTCCCCAAACCGTATGCCTCCGCGCAATTGTCTGTCGATATGTGGCAACCCAGTAGATATCATTAAAGCATCCTTCGATTTCCTTAAATCAACAACGCTATTACTCAAAATGTTTCTTGCAAACTCTTGGCTTAGTAGACCAAGGAAATCGTCTACTTCCCGTATTGATCTCCCCAATTTTTTAGATAACTGCACAGATCCAACTCTATCATTTAATGAAAAAAGAAGTAGATCCACAGTTGAAATACCATTAGTCTCTAACGAGCTTACTAGTGAGGTAAATGATTGTTCATAGTCAAATTTCAGGAGCTGTTTATGGATATCCATAACGCTTTTGTTCTTAGACAACACTTGATTAATTCAAGCTTAATACAAAATTTGAAACTACGCGTTTTGGGTATTATGCAGTAACAACTTTTTAAAAATATAAATTGGAGGGGGTGTGGCAGTATGACCTTCACGCTAGATACAGTGCTGCCTGCAGTAACATGTAATCTTTTCCTTTAGCTACTCTCACCACGAAGTTTGCGATAATACTCGGGAACGACCATCCATAAATTAGAAGTAAGCCCCTGTTCTTTGTGACTGGAACAAGTATGGTTGTGGCGGGAGTGTTAAATTCCTTCAACCGAGAATTTTTCACACCAAATATCACATTCTCAATAGTGGGTTTGAAGACTTGTTTTTGATAATATTCAAAACTAACGAGAGTATTATTACTTAGTGCTAAAATATCACCCAAGCCAATGACTTCGGGATGTTCCTTAACTCGAAATGTTTTGTCTGTGACGAGGTAACCGTTATCATCCAAATATTCGTCTTCTATGAAATCAGAATTTGGTTTTAGACCTGTAGTTGGTACTACTAGGTCAAACTCTTTTGTCGAGCCATCACTTAAACTTAGCTTTTGAAGATTTCCAACTTTATGGGTTTCGTCTACTTTGAGATTATTAACAATACAGACATTAGCGAGTTTCAACAAATTTGTCACAGTCGTAGACGATTTGGATCCTAACAGAGAAAGGGGACCGCTGGCACCAGTGTAGATTGTAATTTTCTTATCTTTTCCGAAATTAAAACCTAATTCACCTGCAATCTCAACACCAGTCGGTCCTGCCCCAACGACCGCTATGCTTTCAGCAGCCCTCACGTCCTCGCTCAACTTTTTCAATTCATTGATTGACTCATCAGAATTTTCGTTTACTTTCATCCACTTTTGGTCCGACCTAGTACCGGTTGCAATAATTAAGTAGTCATATTTCAAGTCTTTAATTTGCCCTTCAACTTCGACTTCAATATTTTGACTTTTAAAGACAGTAGAAATGACATGTCCTTTAATAAACTTAAATTTAATCCCGTTGGCATGCTTTCTCAAAGTATCTTCCAAAAGAAAAACTGCCTGTGATGTTTTTTCTGGTTCAATTATGAGTCTAGGTGTAGCAATATTAAAGAATGCATGCACAGACAGTGAAATTAAAGTGATATTTAGAGAGGTATCTTTCTTTCCGCATAATGTTTTGAAGGCATGAATTGCAGCATAGGAGCCACCAATAATTATAATTTCTTTCTCGGACGGCATTTTATTAGTTAGAAGTTTTAAGATAGACCCCTTTTCATTTTCCTTGAAATGTATTGCCAAGCGAAACCGGGCCCTACTTGAAGTATGTAAAATCGTATGAGATATAAATTAACGTGCGAGTCACGATTGCTACATTTACATAAACCTGGACTAGCGATTCATACCATCTAAGTATATATAACTATTTAGTGTGCACCAGAGATGAAAAACCATTTGTCAACTGACTTATCGATTGGAGCGGCTGGTTCAGGAGAAGCTGCAGGGATTGTAGAAGCTGCTGAGGAAGAGTAACTTTTAGAGTCAGTTAAGGTAGTATTAGTCAAATCAATACCTTTGGAGTCTGCTGCCTCTCCTTTAATTAATTTGTCCCACGCTTCAGCACACTCAGTGATGACCTCTTCAGCGTACTTTTTATTTTTACACTCGCCAGAAAATGCAAAGAGATTTTCAGGCTTTCCGTCAGGAATCTTGTAGATTCTAAACCACTCGTTAGTTGCTCTTAATAAACCAGGCAAATGAGTCTCGACGTCTTCAATGTCGTTCAACTTAGGTGCCAAAGGATCATTGACATCAATAGCAATAACTTTCCAGTCAGTCTCACCTTCATCCAACAAGGCCATTACACCCAAAACCTTGACCTGCTTGACTTGCCCGACAGTGGCGACTTGCTCCCCAATCTCGCAGACATCTAAAGGATCATTGTCACCCTTTGCCTTAGTTTCAGGATGAGTTTGGTTTGGATCTTCCCAAGTTTGGGGAAAAGCACCATAATTGTGAATGTAACCATGGTGGGGGAAGCAATTTCTAACGAATCTAAGCTTACCTTTCTTAGTATCTTGAATAATTGGATTCAATTTCTCTTCTTTGGAGATCTCCAACTTAGCATTTGTCCACCTTGGAACTTCAACAATCATATTCAAAATAGTTTTATCTTCATTTGCATATAAAGGTACATCGTGAAATGCTGAGACCGGCTTGCCGTCTTCCTCGATGTAAACTTTAAAATCAAGGGTATTTGCTGCACCTATTTGACGTGTTGAAAAAACCATATTTGAACTCGTATTTAAAGATATATAATATCTTAACGCTTTAGGGTAGATTACTGTGGATTTTGGAAAGCACAACTGAGCAAAAAAATGTTGAGAACATGTATGATTGGCAATTTGCTTTCAGACTTACCCGGAAGTCTTATATTTCCTTCTCACACATCCTCGACACCAACTCAATATCATTGTAGGTGACTGCAAACCTTTCGTAGTAAGTAGTTAGGCAAGGCGAGTTCTTGATTCATGGCATTCATTTCAGATTTCTTGAACAAAACTAAACCACGTGTTAGTTCTCTATGCCATTTACCAAACTCTTCTTTTAGCTTTTCGTTTGAACTTTCTGTTGTTCTTTCCTTAAGTTCTTTAACAAAATTCACCATCATTCTAATATCTCTTTTTGATAAATCTAACCAGCCGGTATCATATTCTAGTAGAAATACTCCTGATAAAATCATTCGGGGGCACAGGTATGTAGCCTCCTTGATAGTACCCAACTTATAGTTTTTGCAAATACTCAATCCATAAACATCGGAATCCATAAAGCCTAATATTGGAGATTTTGGGAAACTGTCGGCTAAAAGTGACACAAATTTTTTTGTTAACTTATCTGGAAAACCCTTACCTGTGATTACAATCAAATTCAAGCTTGTTTCTTTCTGCTTAATATAATTGCAAAAACACCTAAATGCTGCGTCCTTCTCGAGAACAACGATAGCTGCCGGATATTGACTATAACTTGATGCTCTAATATTGTCCTTATCGTTAACAAAAGGTATTAGCAAAGGCTCTTGTGAATAATTGAGATCCAACAATTGAGAGTTATTTATAAGAAGTGATATACTACCATAGATTAATCCTTTTTGGGATGCGTAGATCATTAAATCAATTTCAGGTGAAAGATCTAATGAATAGGCTATCAAATCTATGAGCTCATTTGAATACCTTTGATTCTTCTTGAATAATGCAACATCTTGATAGTAGATGTCTCTCTTTGTTGTGCGTTTACTCTGAGCAATATTGGCTATCAAGAGCTTCAAAATGATAATAATGGAAGTGAATTTTCTTGACTCTGATTCAGAGTTTGAAAACTGACTTATCTGAATAGTTTTATCGTGATGGTTCATTCTCCTTTTATGTGTGGTCGAATAAGGTCGTCTGAAGAAGAGAATCGTTTCATTGATATCGTGGTTTCTTAAGCTTGAATCTATATCACTCCAGATTGCAACCAATTTGTCAAGAGGTTTTATTCTTGTAATCATTGTTTAGTAAATGAATGTAATAAGTAATTCTAATCCTAGTATATCTTACATGTCTTTCTTGTTGTCTAACCTATAGAAGTGAATGTACTCAGTGTGATAGCTCAAATTTGTCGAGAGCGCAGATAGTTTTAATTTATGTTTCATTCTTCGAGGCTTGAATTTGATAATTGAGATGTACTGGAAGGAACTAATTCAGATTAAAGATGAATATTGTTACAGAGGAACCTGAAAGAAGTAACCATAACAATTCAACACTTTCGTCGAAAGATTTTAACAAAAATGTTATCTCTCACAATTTTAAGGTGGATTTAATTTTAAATTTTTTTTTTTTTTTGTTAAGTCGGTCGGCATTCTGGCATAGTAGAAAAATTGATGATCTCCCTATAATATCGTTTAGCTAAGCCAAACCAAGAATAATTTGAGAGCCATTTTCTAAAACAATAGCATTAAGGAAATAAAGTTCAAAATATACGTGAAGTATTTCAAATTTCCACTATTTGAATATCCGTAGACATTTTCCCAAGGGAATTAATTATTAAAAGTTTCAATGCCGAGCATATATCATGGAGAGTCGTTGAGGTCCTTAGTTGAAAGAGATTCAACAGATGATGGTTGGGCTGGAGCCGGTGGTGCCAGATGGGCTTTCTTTGCAATATTTATCGTTTTAATTCTTATTATTGTGATGGGTACTTTGAAGGTAAATAAAAGAAGAACTCAACACGGCGTTCAGCCCATATACGGTACTAGATGGATGACGCCACCGTCATATTTGCAGTCACAGAACCAATACAATCAGCTGAGCGGTCGAGATCCAGAGATGCCAAGTTCCTATGTTCCTGCTTATTCTGCAACGGCAAACGAATATGACATGGGTTACTATGATCGAAATGGCGAATTTCATCCCAACCCTAATGCAAAGTCTTCAGGACCATTGAGTAATTCTAGTCCACAGTATCCAGAACAAGCTCATCATAGACAGAGTGGAACCAGCGATGGGTCGCCAATCAATCCTACGGTACCTAATAACAATAATAATAACAATACATTAGACACTCATCTAGAAGCTAACGAAGAGGATGGTGATTTGTTTCGTCCTCCACATGGCCCTCCTCCTCAAAGAAGTCAAGCGACGCAAGCAATGCAAGCTACTACAGAAATATCTTCTTCAATGCCAGGAGCATTTAAAAACCATTCGACGCCCCCACCCAAAGCAGACGATATAGCTGAAGGCTCGTCGACGGGGCTGGAAAGCTTACCTCCTTTCTCAGAAGTTTCCGACCCTAAGACTTTAAATTCAGGAAAATTTTAACAGATTCTACATGAGAATTACATAGGAGCCGGTAGCCTATATAGATACTTTCATTTTACTATATTTAAAAATGTGCCAGTTTCTCGTTATGACTTCTCTCTTACTTTCGCTAAGTCCGCCGGTGCCAGTATATCATGGGTCAGCCGTTTGTTATTTCAACCATCTTGGTGGCCCTGGCCCTTGTTTCTTCTGCTTGTAGATCATGGCTCATGTGCATCAAATTGTTCATAAAAATTTTCGTACAGGGACGTCACGGATGGTCTTTTGTCAGAAAGAGCGCATTGTGCAGTCTATCACATGGGACCGTGGTAATCATTTTATTATTATTGACTTGCTTGACCGTCAAAATTTCACTTCTGGCCGGAATTAAAGTCGTCTCTCAGAGAGAACCAGCCATTTTTATAAAAGTACTGCAAGACCTAAGCCAAACCGGTCCCGTATTGTATTGCAACAATTAGCGGAATTTCACCGGTAGGGACAAAGCAAGAAGACGCTCAGCCATTCCTGATGGTGCTTGAAATTTCAGATAGCGCAACCCTTGCTCATCTTGCTTCAGTCAAAACAACATCAACTATAAAGTCTTTTCGATCGCGAGGAATTATTTCAATCTATTACCTATACGTTCTTTTCAATTGCTACAGAGAATACAAGGTCCTGAGCTTTGAATATAACTATTGTGTCACTGAGCCCGTTAGTTTTGATAACTGCTAAGATAAACTAAAATGGCGGAAAGTAATTCAGTATCAAGTTTGTTGTCAGTGTTGATTCCAACAGGTGTATACTTTGGTATCTTCATGCTCTTTTTTATTTTGTTGAGAAAGAAGCAGACAAGGGTCTATGAACCGAGAACAACAGTGGATACCGTTTCGAATGACTTACGACCCGATGAAAGCCCAAGGGGTATCTTTGGGTGGTTATCCAATCTTTTAAAGAAGCCTGAAAGGTACCTAATTCAGCAAGTTGGTGTCGATGGATATTTCTTCCTTAGATTGATATTTCAATTCTCTATGATTTGTTTTATTGGGTGCTTCGTTACTTGGCCCATTTTGTTTTCAGTAAATGCTTCTAATTCGCATAGGCAACAGCAATTAGATCGTATAGCGTTTGGTAATGTTAAAGATAAATGGAGATATTTTGCTCATGTTTTCGTATCGTGGGTATTTTTTGGGGGTGTGGTGTTTTTTATTTATCGAGAACTTGTTTATTATACTACATTCAGGCATGTACTTCAAACCACTCCTCTCTACGACTCCTTGTTATCATCCAGGACATTGTTGTTAACAGAGGCTCCAGATTCGATTTTGGATGAAACTGATTTAAGGAAGAATTTCCCTACTGCAACCAACATCTGGTATGCTCGTGACTATACGGAATTGCAGAAGACTGTGAAAGAAAGAACTAAATTGACTAACAAATATGAAGGCGCTCTTAATAAGGTTATAAAGAAGGCTGTTAAGCTCAGAAACAAATGTCTTAAAAAAGGTAAGCCAACTCCTGAACCTGCTGATGACTTGAATAAATACTTGAAGGATGGAAAGAAGAGGCCAACACACAGATTAAAGTTTTTAATCGGTGAAAAGGTGGACACTTTAAACTACGGAGCTGACCACTTGGGTGAGTTGAACAAAGAAATTAAAAAGAAACAACTTGAACATCTTTCAAACACGCAGGTTCCTAGTGTTTTTCTCGAATTTCCTACTCAGTTGGAATTGCAGAAGGCTTACCAGGCTATTCCTTACAATAAAGAGTTCAAAAACACAATCAGACTGATAGGCTTGACGCCTGATGATATCATCTGGGAAAACATGGCTTTGACTACAAATAAAAAGAGGGTAAAGAAGGTTATTGCTAACACGGTTTTAACCTTGCTTATAATATTCTGGAATATTCCCGTTGCGTTTGTTGGTGCGATTTCTAACATTTACTTTTTGATCCAGGTTGCTCCTTGGTTAAAGTTTTTGGAGAATATGCCAAGTCCTATAAGAGGTATCATTAATGGGTTGTTTCCAGTTATAGCTTTGTCGATCTTGATGGCCATGGTACCTGTCTTTATCAAGAAAATGGGAAAAGTTGCTGGATGTGTAAGCGTCCAGCAAGTGGACTCTTATTGCCAGACTTGGTATTATGCTTTCCAAATAGTTAATTGTTTTATAGCCATGACTTTGGCATCTGCCGCAATTTCCGCTGCCCCGACAATTGTTAGAGATCCTCTGACAGCCATGGGCTTATTGAAGCAGTACGTTCCAACCGCTTCCAACTTCTTCATAAATTATTTTATCTATCAAGGGTTATCAATAACTGCTTCTATGCTTGCGCAGCTTGTTCCTTTAATTTTGGCACAGTTTTTGGGCAAAATATTAGATGGCACGCCTAGAGCCAAATGGAATCGCTGGAACACTTTGGGCCAACCTGGATGGGCTACTACGTACCCGACGTATCAGATTTTGTTCTTGATAGCTATGGCTTATTCCATCATTAGTCCTTTGATTTTGGGATTTGCAACTATCGCTTTTGCCTTCTTTTACTTTGCCTTCATCTATTGCTTGGTTTATGTACTGCAACCCTACCAACATGATTCTCGAGGCAAGAACTATCTTATGGCACTTTTCATGACATTTGGAGCTGTTTATTTTGGAGAAGTTTGGATCCTAGCTTTGTTTGTTTTCTCTAAGAATTGGGCATGTGTTGTTTTAGAAGCTGTTTGCATTGCAGCTACTGCTCTTGCTCATATTTACTTCAAGTGGAAGTTTTTACCATTGGTTGACGCAGTTCCAATATCTGCTATCAAGTATGCCTCTGGTGATTCAACTTTCCAGTATCCCATGCATGACCAGGGTTTGAAAGAAATAAAAGTCGAAGGTGAGAACTATTGGCAAGGAGGAAATCAGCTTGGATTGGCACCGACTCATGACCAAGTCTTACCCTCTATTCAGAAAGAAAGCAAAGAAAGCAAGGAAAGTAATGGCGCCTTATCTGAGGACTCTGCTATTGGTGGTGAGTCTATAGAGCACGAAAAGGTCTCTGCCGCTTCAGCTAATGATATATCAGAGCATCCTAACAACGGAGTTGAACCTAAAAAGTTCGCCAATTTTTTCAAGAGATACTTCCATCCGAAGCTTGAATCATTTGACATGATCAGGAAGATTATGCCAAACTGTTATTTCAACTATATTGAATATAATGATGATTTCCTTAAGACAGCTTATGATGATCCAGCAGTTACAAACGAGGAGCCGCATATTTGGATAGCTAGAGATGAAATGGGCTTGTCTGAAATTGAGAAAAATAAAGCCTTGGAAAATGGTGTCGATGTTTCTGATGATAATGCAACATTTGATGAAAAGGGTGATCTTGTTTACACAGGTCCACCACCATCATATGAAGAAGCTATAAAGATGTGAAAATCATTTTAAATATTATATGTATGTCTGTATTTCTATTTAGCGTAAATTAATTACTTTTGATATTTCAAGTGGCTATAATTGAAGGTTATGGGAACTTACGAGGCTGGAAAAATTGAGAAACTTTAATTCATTGAAATACAAAGCTAAAAAATGGCATGTCTTTCACATTGATATCATCAAAGTGCTAGAAGCTAATAAAAACGATCTGTGTACATTTGCATTCTCACGCAGTTGAATAAATTAACAATCAAATTTCTACTGAGGAGGATACTCCTTCAGCAGCATCGTTAATATCCTTTGCAATATCCTTTCTCACATACTTTTTAGCAAATGGCTGAATTAAGGTACCATATATTAAGGTGGCACCACCAAAGGCAGGTACACCAATGTAGAGTAAGAAAACGGTCTTAAAAAGGTAGTAAAAGGGGATCCAATACAAGATTGCCTTAGACCAAAATTCTATAACATTCAAGAATGCAAATACTACCCAGTAGGTTAACAATTGAGTATCATCTTTGGTTGAGGTCGTTTCCAAAGCAATTAAAGAAAAATAGCCTGGAATAATGAAGCCAGCAATGTTAGATAATAATTGTCCAATTCCACCAACATTTAAAAAGATTAAAACAAAATAGACACCAACGGCACCTAAGACGGCGTAGGACCTTGGAAGTCCTGTTTGCGCTTCGAATTGCTTTAAAACGGAAATTCCTGACGTCGACTAAATATGTGTTAATACGTATGCTTCCACTTATCTCCAATTCTATCCCAAAGGTTAACTTACTGAGTCAATGTGCGATAAAAACTTCTTTGCTTGGTCCGGATATGACATTTTTAATAGTGTTCTACTAAAATAATAATATGTTAAGATAAAACCTATATAAAATTCAATTTTATTCATCGGCTAATTTCAGTGTGACAACCCTTATTTGCTCTTTAGACAACGCTATATGCACGCCACGTTCCAGTATCTACAACAAATAAATGTAATACTATCATTAGAGATGCTATTCAATCGAGATATGCCATAATTATGTCTTGGACTTTCCTTTAGATTTGGCAGAGCCTTCAAAGCCTGCTCTTTTCTTTTTGTTGTTAACGATTCCAGTAAACTTTCTCAATTTCATATTCTTGCCTTTCTTCCCTTTATTTTCTCTCCTCAGTCTTAAATTATCTTCTCTTCTTTTTTGTCTTGCAGAAATGGTATTCTGTACAATCTGCTTCCTGTCTCTCCATTCAACCTCGCTTCTCAGTTTCTGCTTTTCTTTTCGTTTGAGAGCCTTTTTCAACAACTTTTCGTCGTCTTTCACCTTAACTCCTTCTGCCTGAGCCATAATTTTTTGCCATTTATCTTTTTCTCTTTGCGCAGCCTGTTCTTCTGGTGACATTTCATTGAATTTGCGCTTTTTTTGCTCCAATTTTAATAAATGCCCCTTAATGTCATTATTAGCGGGGCCCTTTTTCTTCTTCCTGTTAGATGAAGTACGTAATCGCTGTAAATCTGAAGTCATTCTCGATCCGTCACCAAATTCTATGTTACCAAAGACAACGGAATCTTTCTCGCCATCAACTACAATGTCATTCTCCTCGTCAGAGCTCAAATCGGAAGATGAATTATCTTCCGTTTCATCTTGCGTACGCTTCAACATTTCTTCTCTTTTGAGTTCTTCTTTTTTCTTACGCTGTGCTAGCATTTGCTCTCTTGATTTGGGTGCGCCCGTCGATTGAGTTCCAAAAGCCTTCCTTTTTTCTCTTAAAGTGCCAATTCTAGCTGATAATTTTTCTCTCAATTTTGATAAATTTTCTTCTTTTTTCTTTTGTTCCTCTGGAGATAGTTCCTTTTTATTAAGATTCTTTTCCTTCTTCGTATTTTTCGTTTCTCTTGCAACTTCATTTCCATTATCGTCAAATATCATATCAATACCCTCGGTGATAGAAAAATCTTCAGAAGTAACATCAGAATCATTTGGTATTTCTTCTGGATCCTCTTTCATAAGAGAGGTGTCGATTGAATCACCGCCAATATCAGAAGTAACCTTTTGTTCATTTGAAGGTAGCTTCACCCTCTTTGCATCTTTTTCTTTATTGTTCATTACATCCTTTGCGCTTGCATATGCATTCATGTAATCGTCAGCCAGATTTTTAGCGTCAGGATCAAACTTTGCTCTCTTATTTTGTTTCAGCTCATTCTTCTGCTTCTTTTTCTGCTGCCATTGGTCTTGTGTTGCTTCATCATAATAATACTTCGCAGGTATTAACGATAATAATCCATCAAAAGCAGAAGAATGTGTCTTAAGACGTTCCTAAATTTCGTTAGTTCGGCTCTTTTATTCTTTATTCTCTAAGAGAGAAATTTACTCTCTGACTTACCTCCAATGATGTACTCATCTATTCAACAATTCAAACTTTCTATCGGTATAGTAGTTTAAAGGTTTTCTCTCACTTAACAGAAAAAAAAAAACCATCGCAAGATGCTCTACCATCCACTATATGCACACATATATCATTACCAAGTTAACGATAGCAGGCTCTTGTTAAAGATTTAAGAAGTGGGCGAAGAGATGGTTTGCTCTATAGCAGCTAGAACACTGTTATCTACAATCTTGGGAGAAAATATCAGGTTGTGATAGGGAAAACAGTATAATCGTATAACTGAGAACACATATGAATTCAACTATGTATCGCGTGCTGAAGTTTACGCTTGTTGTTGTGCTCGCTCCCTCTCCTTTGCGAAGTGAATATGGATGTGGCCCATATGATTAAGATCAAGACTTTATAGACTGATTGCTTTTGGAATTGCTACGATAATAGAAAGTGTAAGGTATGGATCCGATTGCGAGTTATTTCATTCTTTCGCTTCCTCAATCTACGGATGCCCATGAATGGCTAGAAGAATCATTGTTGGGTGGAAAATGTCCTCTCTTTAAGTTGAATTTGCCCGATTTTCAAATTGGCACCTTAGATTCCTTAGTAGAAGAAAGCGAAGAATTATCTAAATTAGATTCTATACTAGGGCAGTCGGTTTCTAAAATTGTCGACATCTTAAAGTCAATCCAAGATTCACCTTCGAGAGTTGTGCAGTCGAGGCAAGTCACTGATTATGTTGAATCTTTCCAGTGGAATACTTCTAAATATAGATTGGATAAGCAAATCAATCAATTATCTAAAGCCATTTCAAGTGATGCGCTTACTCTAGATAATGATGTTAAAACGACTTACCAGAGTTACCAAACTGCAAAGTCAAACTATCAAGCTGCCGAAAGGAAAAAGAATGGGGACTTATCGATTAAATCTTTACATGAAATTGTAAAGCCTGACCAGTTTGTTTTGGGCTCAGACCATTTGACAACACTTTTGATAGCCGTCCCTAAAAATTTAAAAGGAGACTTCGAACACTCCTACGAAACATTGACTCAATTTGTCATACCAAGATCGGCTAATATCATCGCTAAAGATAACGAATATATCCTTTTTGCTGTAACTTTGTTCAAAAAATATGAGCAAGAGTTCATTAGTGCAGCAAGAGAACATAAATGGCATCCACGTACTGACTTTACCTATTCCGAAGAGACCTTGAACAACCAAAGGGAAGAATTCGATTTGGCAAAAGCTTCTGAATCGAAGACCAAAAACGATCTCGTTAGGTTGGCAAAAACTGCATACTCTGATATATTTTTGGCTTGGTTACATATCAAGGTTATGAGAGTTTATGTAGAATCTGTTTTGAGGTATGGTCTACCGCCGCAGTTCAATTATACTTTGATCAAATTTGAGAAAAGTAATGTTAAGAATCTCGATAAGGCAAAGAAAGAATTGATTGACAAGTTCGGATACTTGGGAGGAGATGGATTTTCCAGCAAAAGTAACTTACATGACTATGCCTCTCTCGTTGAGACTGACTATATGCCGTTCGTCTTATATGATTTAGTTGTCGTGTAGTGAGTTTTTATGAAATTACCCTCTTGTAATTTTTAGTGTTACTGAATAATTAACCAATACATACTTTATATTCTATAAAAAAAAGAGTGATGGATTGAAATTAAAAAAAGCTCGCACTCAGGTTCGAACTAAGGACCAACAGATTTGCAATCTGCTGCGCTACCACTGCGCCATACGAGCTATTTTCAACTTAAGACTTGTACAGGGCAATAAGCTTTCATTAAAATTGAGAGTAAGAACATTTTGTATTAGCTAAAGAACAACATTGATGGTCGACTTATACTCTACGTGCTTATCAGGGTTCAAGTGTAGTGAATTATTAATCTTAGAAGTTTCTTATTTTTTTGTGCTCCAAAGAATTATAAAAGTATAATTTTTTTCTGTGATATTTTAGCTAATTAATTCTCAGCAAGGAAAATATACTTTGTTTGGCAAACATGTCGAATGACGAAGACTTCTTGTCCGAAGAATCCTATGAATTTGAGTTTGAGGAAGACGATGAAGATGAAATCGAGGAACAAGCTTCAGATAGCAATGCACTAGTAGGTACTTCCAAATGCTATTCATTTTAACTTATCACTAACACTAACAGGAGAATAGATATTATAATGCTAAGAGCTTGAAGGAGGACGATGTGGAAAGTGCAATTAAAGAATTTAAAATAATTATCGAATCATGTCATTCTGAGGATGAAAATGAATGGTCCTTTAAATCGGCTAAACAGCTTATCAAGATTTGCGTTCACTTAGAGAGATATGAGGAAGCAATAAAATATATGCAGCTTTTACTCAAACTTGCTAGTAATGTTGAGCAGAGCTACGCTGAAGATTCTATAGGAAAAATTCTTAGTAATTACTCCGTATGCAATGATGCTGAATTTGTAAACCGTTTAGGTGATATAATATTAAGTTATTTGAATTCTCTGAATTCGAGTAAGAATGGAGACAGATTGTGGTTGAGAATAAACATCAATCGCCTCTATTCTTTGCTTGAAAAGAAAGACTACAATATTTGTCCTCATTTGATGAGTGACATCGAAATGAAATTGAAAGAGGTATCAGATACTACAAAAAACTCATTCTCTCTAGAGGTAATTGCGGCTGAAATCCAATATCATCTACGTCCTGGACAGATGGATCTCAGAGAACTAAGTTCTCTTCATAGAAAGAGCTTTACTGTCTCCTCAGCCGTCAGCCATCCAAGATTTATGGGGATTATCAGGGAATGTGGAGCTATACTATATTTCTATAGAGGAAACTATGAAAAGGCCCGTTTAGAGTTTTACGAATGCTTTAAAAATTATGATGAGGCAGGATCCTCGTGTAAAAAGAAAATTTTGAAGTATTTGGCATTATGCTCTCTTTTAACTGAGAGTGAAGTAAATCCATTTGAATCGCAAGAAACTCAGACGTATTCTCAATTTCCTGAATACGCTAACTTGCTACTTCTCATAAAGAGCTATGATCAATTTGATATAGATAGCTTCAACAGCATCATTTCTCGGATGCATAGAGAAAACGACCCTTTACTGAATGATGAGATTTTCGAGAAAGCTTCAAAAGAAATTTTAAAAAATTTGAAAGCCAGGACACTTATCCACATATTAGGCTCATTCAAGACTGTAAAATTCAGCTTTATAAAAAATAAGCTTGGGGTAAACCAAGAAGACCTTGAGAAAATTATTTTTAAACTAGTGAATCAAGGAGACTTGTGGAACTTAAAATTAGATTTCGTGAATGACTATGTTGAAACAACCAACTCAGAAACCAAATTAATAAACTCTCGTATCAAAGCAAAAGATGTTTACGTCAATTTTAAAACGTTGGATGCTTTCTCTGGATTTCAGGGCCCTTCTGAGGAGCAAATCACTGATGACAAAATGGATATTGATGCGGAGAGACAAAATTCATCTTCATTATACGAGCAGGGCTCTGAGTATGGTATTACTTCTGATACTTTACTGGATCTGGCACCACTCATATCTAAAGTCTTATATTTCACCGAGAGGCCTTCTTTAGTTTCTGATTGGTTCGGTACTATTGAAAGCTGGCTCCAATGTCTTTCTAGTGCAATCCCATCTCGTGTGAAGCACGAATTGAGTCAGAAAGATCAGATTTTTTCTGAGCAGAGGGCTGAAAACTTATACAATTCCGCTAATGCCATCGGAAGTAGTAATTTGGACAACAGCCGCTCCAACTTTCAAAATGGTATTCCGAATGCATCTAGTGATGATAATCAGGAAAACTTCCAAGATAACGAAGATGAGCCAAATTTGGAGAAAGTTGAACTTTTGAAAAATTGGTGTGATGAGCTTGAGAGTAGCTTTTGTCATGCAAGCACTAAGTTTCGTCATGAAGGAGTGAATTTAGGTAAAAATTTATAATGGTAAATATTGCAACAAAATACATTTGTCGTGTACCAACATAATTCACTTTATAAGTGAAAAATATCTCTTGAACAAATTTTTTCTCTTCATTTTTATGCTCCGTCCGTCTAATTCAGCATGAGCCTCAAATAGTATGTCGGTTTGAAGAAATCCAAAAAGTCACTTCGTATGATTAATCATAATATATGCGTTATCGTCATGATATACCTATTTTAACAATGTCTTAAGGTATAATCTGAAATCAACTAACACACGAATGATGTGAGAGACTTTTTTGGAATTGAACACTACTCAATCAATATGGTCAATAACTAACAAATGAATCTAGCGCTCCATTATTCAGCATATAACTTCAGATTGACTTGAAAAGAGAAATTTAGCTGTCAGATGATCGTAGCATTGTGAGCTCTATCAGAACAAACAACAAGGAAATCAACTGATTTTATTCTATCTTCAACGATAAGTAATCAATTTTTGGATTCATTTGGCGAAGTCTTTCTTATGATCTTTTGATCGTTGCATTTTTTCTTTGGCATGAACTTAACTCCTTGCGATTTTAAACTTCAAGAATCCGTGAAAGTAATGGTCCAGACATATGTGGATGTAAGAAAATTTGATAGTCCTTCAAAACGCGCTTCTTGCTTCCTTGTCGAACATTCATTATTCCGGAGGTTCAAGTGTTTTATACTCCATAAATTGTAGTAGTTTCCATGCTTTATATGTAACACTAGTTTTAAATTTTTTTATTTTTTGGGCTTTGAGGTTGCAGTCTTAGACTTGGAAATAGAATAGGGTGCAAAATCAATAGATTTATTAAAATACATAAGAAACACAAGCCTTGAAGTACTCTCAGTATATGAAGGTTATTCAAGACTTTATTATTCCCTTTTCTTTGATAATGAGTGAGTGCATTGTATTGTTTTCCGCTAATATCATGTTGAGGTAGTTTTTGTGGATATCAAAATATTCTCAAAATCTGTTTCTTTTGCGATAAATGTTTCAATTGCCGCAAACAAAGCTTTTTTGTCAACATAAAAAACTAAACCAAACATCGCCCAATCTCTGATCTATGTTTAAAGGATTGCTTCCAAGAATATCGGGCATCTCAAGTGCTCTGGTCGACAGTGCACCTCGATTGGAGCTAAGCGCTAGGTCGTCTTCATCAAGTTCTAGGAGCTCTTATAATACCACTGAAAATATAACCGAAACAGATATACCTAATATATATAGACGACACTCATTTTCACATCCTTACAAGGTAAAAGCGTTCGAGGAAGAAAACGAGAAACATGAATGCTCTGAACTAAGCATCAATCCATTTGATTCACCGATAATGAAGAGAAGCAAGAGCTTATCGTTTTCCGTTATAAAACGGCCCAGCATAAAAGACTTTAAGAAGAAAGTCAATAAAAGTGTTCATTTTGAGAATCAAGACCAAACACAGAGGAAAAACTCAAGTCCTTCAGATTATGCAAATCAGTCGCATCTGAATGATCAAAATAGCTTCGAAGAAGAGAGTTCGCCACTGAAATCATTAACATCAAGCTATAGTGGTACATCCTCAGGCTCAGAGGAGAGTAGATCAGATATGAAGTTTGCTACTATTAAGGACTACCGACTTTATGAAACCGAAGCTCAAAAACATTATTCTTCGGATTTGAATAATAGTTTTGAAAGCAAAACAGAATGCTTCGGAGGAGAAAATGAAAATGTTACTGAAGAAGAAGTCAACGGGGAGAATTGGCTTCAAAAAATTGTCAAAGACCGTGGGTACTTAAATTTGAGTCGATCAGATAAGGGAAAACTTTCATTGAAGGGATGCAACCTTAATGAAAGCGGACAGCCCATTAGCTCAGCACTTCCAGCCCAAGGTCAAAAGCTTACTGAAACGGATTCAGAAAACGAGCTGATTCGTGGTCTCATGTCTTTTGAGCAATATCAAGATCAGGAAAGAGGTAAAGAAGAAGGGAGTTCTCATTTACAAGAAATTATAAAAAATGTTGCAGACAGTTCGAAGACAATTGAAACTAATGATCCTATCAAACTGTTACCTCTTGCCAACCCGAGCCCACTTTTTGTTGAAAAGCAAGATGAGTCGTCAAAGAATTATAGCTGCGAAACTGTCATTCCCAGAGAAAACGAACCTTTCGAAAAGAACACTTCGATAGGTTTGCTTGAATCCACCTGTGAAAACTGTGTAAAAACAACGCCTTTAGTGAAAGTGCTAAAGAAATATGGATATGAATTGGAAGAGAATGATTCCTTTGCTTGTTTTTTTGAAAAGCTTTTAAGCAAGAAAACACAATGTATTTCAGAAGTAAAGGTAGAGAAGTTATTGCCATGGGAACATGACTTTCCGGAAGCTTCTCAAGATAAACTTCATAATAAATCAACCATTCAAGAAATATGTTCTGAAAAACGATTGAAAGAGAAAGTTAGAGACCTAATAGAGTCAAATAACCGCTTGAAAAAGGAAAACGACGAACTCAAATGTAGATTTAAGAATCAGGATGACGTTTGCCTCGCTTCTGAGCTCATGGGCTGCAACTCCTCCCTCAAAGACCCCGCAAGAACCTGCACAGAACAATCAACTTTAGAATGTGATTCAGCAGCCTGCGGCGAAAGTTTAGCAGCCAATTCTACGAATATGGATTCTACGGTAAAAATACCCGCTGAGGGTATATATATACCAGATTGCCTCAATGAGGGTCCAGAAAATTACGGAAAAGAACTGTTGAGTGCCGATACTATGAAAGGCAGCTCTACACATTTTGCTAGAAGTAAAGAAGGCATTTTAGACGGGGGAGAAAATCATGAATATAAAGGAGCAGAATTAAGTGTTCTATTAGGAAACCAAAATTTATTAAGTCAAGTATCAAGTAGTATTGAAACATTACAGCGAAGATTTGAAAATGATTTTAAAGAAAAAGAGTCACAGCTCTCGGCCGTTACTTTTGAGCTTCAAGAACAAAAGTCAGTGGTTGTAGACCTTAAGAATCAGGTTTTAGAGCTAAATGCAATCATGAAGCTGGAACAATCTCTAAACTTGGAAAATACTTCTGCTGCTAAAAAAGAAATTAACCAATTGAGATCAATTGCTGAAAAATTAGAACAGAAGAACATGTATTTAAGTCAACAAAATGACGAAACTTCATTGTCTTTAAAAACTTTACAGTTACAAGCAACCAAATTGTATTCACTGAACCTAGATTTAGAGAAGGAATTAGCGACCTTAAAAAAGTCCAATGCAGTTCTAAATGATTCCTTAAAGCAGTTTTTTAATACTAGCTTTGAATGTCTTCTGCCGTTAGTCTATGAAGAGTCTTCCAAGGATTTCAGAAACTTATACTCCGAATTTTCAAAAAGGGATCTAGTGAGTGAGAATGACTTAGCTCTCATTGGCAAATTAATTTTTTTCATTGTTAGGTCAATTTCAGATTTAGTAAATCAGTACTTGGTGAATGAAGAGCTATTAGAATCAGAAATTGAGAGGAGGAACAATAACTATCAAGTAATGTTGGAAAAGCTAACAATTCTAATGGAAAAAAAAATTTCAAATATGAGTTCTGTAAACAGAGGTCATTCAAGAAAAATGAAAAGTCAAAATGAGCATGAAAACTTTAAATACAACAAACCGTTAGCTAACGTATTCTTAAACTAATTTATAATAATAAAAAAAAGACTATTTAACTGTAAACGATGTATCAACGTATCTTCCATTTGGCAAAAGCGAAGTCAATACTCCTGGTAATACTTCAACTTGCAAAGGTGCAAAAGCAAAGCTTTCCCCATCTACAGAAATATAGTGAGTACCCTTATTCAACTTAGGAACCAATCTATATCCCGAAATCTTAGAATGGTGTACCTTTGGGTCCTCAACATGTGATCCTTTATCTATAGAAAGTAAAATGGAAGCTGTTTGGATTATAGGCATATTCGTATCGGTCAAAATCATATCCATGAGTCCGTCATTCGGTAAAGCAGCGGGGAAAAATTGTGTATCGATCAGAACGTAGGGCATTTTGCCAACGTATATCTGACTCAACTTAGAAACAATCTTATCCGAAACTTTAATCCAATTGCTGGGCGGTGAATCATCTAAGCTCGGCAATTTAGGCTTGTAATTTTTGATCAGACAAGGTTTTGGCCCTTCAGCCGTCCCTTCCACGTAATTATTTACGTGCTTTTTTATATCTTCCTTAGCATCAATTACATAGTTAACATACAACTCACACGGGTACGAGGCCCGAGTAAGAACCCTTTGAACCACACCCAATTCGAATCGTAAAGGCCCCAACCATCTTAAATGTTCAGTTCCAATGTCCGAATCTGCAATCATTCCATAACATTGCGACAAAAATGATAATTTTGTCTCTTCATTATTTCCAGTTCCTTGTGTAACAGCCATTAGATCAAGCTTTGTTCGTTTTGCTTTGAGCATCAATAGGGTAGCCAACGAAGAATCAGTGGTTCCGAAAGTACTGAGAGATAGAGCATTACCGGATCCACAAGGAAGTTGTGTGATTGCAATCTTATCAAAGGCCCCTTCACCCTGGTCACCCTTCTGAAAAAAGCCATTCATGACTTCATGGGGAGTACCATCCCCAGAGCAACATGCAATAATATCATAGGAATCTTCATCTAAGTCTCTACCTATTTCTATGCCGTGTTTGCTATATTTGGTCTCTAAATATGTAACACGAGCGTGAGCGGCTTTAAGAATTGGTAATATACTGGATTCGTAAATCTTTAACGCTTTTCCTTGACCACTGTGAGGGTTGATTAAAATCAATACTCTTGGGGACACAATGCTATCTCGATAGGCTCTCGAAAGAATACATTCTGCCATATTACCGCCCTTGAAATCGCTGATACGAACAGTGATCTTCTTAAGCTCGGCTGTCTTTCCTCTGATTACGTATGATATTTCACATTCAGTAGCCGCTGCCTCAGCCTTGACTTCTGTACACCATAGAATGTCTTCATATGTAATATGAGTTTTATAAAAATTTGCAGTCAGTCGATAAGCTAATCCACCGTAGCACCCTGACAAGAATCCATCTCGGGATCTATCATCTTCTTCCTCCCTTAATTCCTCTAGGTACTGATTAGATATTCTAATCCCAACATCATCCAAAGTAGCTCCAATTACTGGTCGTCGAAGCATGGTATTATTTGAAGGAGTTTCTGTCATTATTCATTAGTAGATTGAAAGCATTAAAGTAAAAGGAATATTACCGCAGTTACTTTACGACCAAAAAAGACACGAAACAATAGGCTGCTTAAATACAGGAACAACACAAATTTGGCACAGTGGGCTAAGAAGAGAACCTCGCGAGATCGACTTTGAATGTTTGTGAATTGCTATCGGTAGCAATCTAAAAGTCAGACGACTAAGTTCGGCCGCATGTAATCTGGATGTCACTATTGTACCGAAGCTAAGAATTTCAGGTGGCTTGGTATAAATTACAAAAGTATCTTTAAGCAACGTTAGATTAATTTTTCCATTGCAAGTGATACAATTGAGGCACAAGATGGGATTTGCTGAGAATATTGCATCAAAGCTTATGAATAAGGTGGGGCATAAAGCAGTAGATAAGATAAAAGAGCACCATGATAACGCTCAACATCATTTTACTAAAAACGTTACATGTTCGAATATTGAAGATAAGAATGCAGAGTTGCCTCCTTTGAAGATTCAAATCTACACTCACAATATTAGACAAGAGACAAAAAATCTTGCTGATGGAGAGAAACCATGGTCTATCAGAAAGGAAGGTGTGATTCGAAGTATCCTTAAAACCACTGAGAATATACCTACTTTGGTTGGCTTACAAGAGGTGAAACAAAATCAGTTGAATGATATACTTGACAAATTGGGTAGCCACTGGTCATTCTTTGGGGTGGGTAGAACAGATGGAAAGTCCAAAGGAGAGTTCTCTCCTATCTTATATAAAAAGGACGAATGGGAACTTTTGTCTGGTAAAACATACTGGTTGAGTGAAACTCCAGATCATCCAAGTAAAGGCTGGGATGCCGCATACGAAAGAATTGTGACGGTCGTGATTATGAAGCACAAGAAACTGGGAAAGATAGTTAATTACTTGAATACCCATTATGATCATAAAGGCAAAAAGGCTAGAGAAAATTCATCAAAGGAGATTGTGGGGATCATGAATAAGTGCAAGGGAACTAGTTTCTTGTCTGGTGACTTTAATAGTGAACCAAAAGCTGAAGCCTATAAGACTCTTTCTCAGTATTTGCTCGATACTGCATGTCACTGCCAAGAGAAAGACGGCTTCCTGAATACGATCACCGACTTTAGAGGAAACGGTAATTCAAGTATCGATTTTATTTGGGTTCCAAAGGGTGTCAAAGTTTTGAAGCACGAAATATTATCTCACGAGTATAACGGTTACTTAATCAGCGATCATCGTCCCGTCGTATGTGAATTCGAAATTTAAATGCTACTTATAAATTTGTTTCTCTCCTATATGTTGTTTTTATAATAGTACTATTTAATCTGTCTTAAATAATCGATGAACCATCTAAACTTATATATTATAATCCGAAGATCAAGACAAAATTTTATGAATTACTTGCCCTCAAGAAGATACAATCGGTCTACTCATCGTCAGATTTTAAGTCCTCGGCACTTAATGTAAAGGGTTCTGGCAACGGTGCTTCAGTAATATTCAATTGCCTTACTGTTTTAATAAACTCTATGTTCTCATGGGGCGAAGAATCTTCAAGAACCACTATGCCACAATCACCATTGAATTTTCTGACGGGCGAAAACCTGCAATCTTTTGGAAAAGAAACGTAATTTGACTGTACTGGTAAAACCCTGCTCATATTAGGAATCTTGTACGGCGTTTTGACATAGCGAATAGCGAATGTCTCATCCTTATCCCTTGTGTCTTCAGCAGAGTCAGACTTGATAGGTTTTTCAGATTTCTTATTGATTTCGTCTTCATCTACATCCATTTTGTCTCCTGAACTAGATTTGTCTTCCTTCTTGCCTTGATTTTTTTTAGCTCTAGCCTTAGCCTTCACGGTAGTCGAGAGAACAGCAGTAGCAATTTTATCGGGCAGCTTTTCTTTTGTCTCCTCAATCTTGGGCGGGTATTCGAATGCCTCAGGCTTTGTATGGCAATTAAGATCGAATTTTGGAACCTTCAAATCTTCGCGAACACCAATAATAGAAGTGGAAACAAAAGATAAAGGCAAAAAATGAGCTAAAGGAAACCAATACCAAGACTGCAAGAAGACAGTTAAGCCAACTACAGCCTTGGTATTCAAAGTATTGGTTTGTGTATTCACCAAATTTATGGTCACATTACGCCCCCCAGCGTCAATAATACCCTGAGCTAAGGTTGCACCGAATTTAGCTAAAGCATCTTCATGTTTGTTCTTAATCGTGTCGGCATATTGAGTTTTGAAGTCTTTAACTTTTGGATAGACATTCTCATTTTGTTGAATTAAAATCATTGCAGACGCCATTAACGCCCCCTGTCTCACAAAATCTACTGGATCCTTGGTCAATGGCTCCAATACATCGATTGCAGCATCAAAGCACCTTCCCGCGCAAGATATTCCTAGAGCTAGAGCCGTTCCGTACCGCACATGGGGGTTATGTGATTGCGCCAATAATTCGACAATTTGAGGCGTTGATGTATAATCGCGAATCAACAAGAATCCCAATCCAATCACAGATGCTCTTCTGACATTGTCGGAGGGATCAGAAACTGCATAGTGCAATAACTTTTTAATTGCATAGCTATTTGCAGTTCCTGCGTAAGCTAGAGCTATGGTAAAGGCACCACCATATCTTAAGATAGAACTCTCTTGAGACATTAACTGCTCAATTATAGCATTAGCATTTTCTTCTCTTCCAAAATTTACTAAAGCAAGACCAATTGCGAGTCCTCTAATTATATTTTCATGTTGAGTCTCCTGAGCATAAGTTAACATATCATTAATTGCACTTTCATTCCCAGATCCTAGCACCACAAGACCCATTGCCAAACCAGCAGCTTGACCAGAAATGGCAGAATCGGAATAAAGAACAACTTTTAATGATTCATAAAGATTCTCATTATTGGATCCCATTCCGGCGACACCGCCTCCTAAACAAGCTCCATGCAACATAATATCGCTATCATTACTACCAGCAGTATTTCCATGCTCATCAATGAACAGTTTAAGATCGTCTATAGCATCGATTCCATGGCCCGCGTAAATCAAGCCTAAAGCAAATAAAGATCCACCTTTAGTATGAGGGGCACCAGAAGATCCCGGTAAGTACGGCTTCAATATATTGCGTCCTTGTGACAAGTTTCCTTTATGAATAACACCGAGAGCAGCGGTGGCAGAAAACTTCGACCAGTTGGTTGCCTTTCCTAACCATTCCAAGTTTTTTCTAAAGAATGAATCATCTGTCGTACCAGCATGCATAAATGCATTTGCAAATGTTACGGCAGAATGAAAAATGGAGCTCCTTCCCTCAAGTAAATTCTTAGTCTTATTCAAAATAGAAATATCTGTGTTGTTGTTTTTGAATAAAAATGTAATGTCTAAATCACAAGTGGGAACCCCACCTAGAATATGCACTAAATTTTGTTTAGCTGAGCCCACAGAAGAATCAAGAGATTCGTCCTTCTTCAAGTTGTCAATAATGTTATCCAATAATTCTTGTGAGGCTGATTTCACCAAATCAAAAGCGCCTTGATAAGCGATCAAATTCTTATTATCGACCAAGAGTTTCTTAAAAATATGAGAAGCTATCTCTGAGTCATTCAATTGAACTATGATCTTGAAAGTAGTAAAGAAATCATGAGATTTCTTTAACAGTAATAACAAGTTGATAAGAGAATTTAATACATTGTTTCGAAAAACAGCATTGCTCACGACGGTATTAGTACAAGTTAAGACATAGCTGATCAACGAAAGTGCATTTTCTTCATCAACCTTGATTTGGCCTTGTAATATAGACTCCACAATATCTAATCTGTAACTTTCTAAAGCAATACCTAGTGCCAATTTCAACTCATTTGACTTAATACATTTTTCTAACATTTGCTCGAAAATTTCATTCAAATGGCTATCGATCATCACGGAATCATCAGTAAACTTCTTTTGGGACAAACTACTATAAAGATTAATACATTGAGACACTATAGTTTCAATATATTGAGTTTTCTCCTCGATATTGAGTTCGCTGCCAGCACGAAGAGAATACTTGACAGAAGCTTCGAAATCTCCAAGATTGTAATAGACTTTGGAGATGACAAGTGCAGCCAACTGTCTCTTTTCAAAAGACTCATCCTCATATAAATCTTCTAGCTCAGTAATATTATTAGCTATTTCTGCCCATAATTGATCCACTACTTCGTTTAGTGACGATAAGGCGTACGTCTTCAAACTAGAATCATCTTCTCCTAATAATGCCAAATAAGGTGCTGCGGAAACCAACGCCATCTTTTGTTGCGAAAATACCTAGCTCGTTACAACGGTATCGTTCTAAATGATGAACAATTCTGTTTAATAAAAAGCTTAGGTTCTCTTATTGCCACCATAGTGCTCAAGAACTTGTTAGCGCTGAATTCGATTGTTACACAAAATCAAGAAAGTCATATGCGACTTACCCGGTTGACAAGTTCTTCTACGGTAAGCTATAGAAACAAAAGATATCGATTAATTCTATCTATAGACGATCTTGAATGGATTTAATACGACCGTGCCGCTTTTAAACATAAATTTTCTGTGTTCAATATAATAAACGGGTTGCAATCTTATATGGAGTTTGCTCCAATTGCTCATATAAAGTTTTTATATCATTTATATCGACATCCGAGATATCTGCCATCAAATAAGCTACGTCACCTCTCGAATCAGTATACTGTTTTTCAATATTATGATTTGATAAAATATTATTAACAGTCTTCAAAACACCTGGAACGTTTTGGTGAATATACAATACCCTCACAGAGTTTTCTTGGTCTAAGTTAAGGGCTCTCAAGGTCACCTCTGGGAAATTAACAGCGCCAGTCGAACTTCCTTCGTTAATGTATTTCGTCAAAGATGTACCAACTTCTATACCAATAGCGGACTGTGCTTCTTCAGTTGAACCTCCAATGTGTGGTGTTAAAATCACATTCCTCAAAGAACATAACTCAGAAGCCCATTCGTTCAACTCACTTGAAAACAAACCTTCTCCATTCTTGGCAGGTTCATGAGGATAAACATCGAGGGCTGCTCCTCCAATTTTACCGGCCTTCATAGCTTGAACCAAGGCTGGGATATCGACAACAGTACCTCTAGAAGCATTTATAACGTAAGCTCCATCTTTCATGGCAGCAAACTGTGGACCACTAAGTAAGTTCTTAGTCTCTGCAGTAGCCGGAACATGGCAGGTAACGAAGTCAGCTTGGGTTAATAAATCGTCTAGTGTCTCAACCTGCTTAGAGTTACCTAAAGCCATGATCATCAGAACGTCGTAATATATGACGTTCATTCCCATGGATTCAGCCAAGACGGATAGTTGAGAACCAATGTGACCATAGCCGATGATTCCTAACGTTTTTCCTCTTATCTCCCAACATTTGGCACTAACCTTATTCCAGGTTCCAGTGTGCATTTCTATAGATCTGTCACCCAACTGTCTTGCCAAAGTAATAATTTCGGCTATGACAAGTTCTGCAACTGATCTAGAGTTTGAAAAAGGTGAGTTGAACACAGCAATACCTGATTTGGCAGCATATTCCAAATTCACTTGGTTGGTACCAATGCAGAAACATCCGATAACCACCAAGTTTCTTGCATGTTGCAAAATCTTTTCAGTGAGCTTTGTCTTTGATCTTATACCAATAGCATGTACATTTTTAATCTTCTCTATCAACTCATCTTCTGAAAGGGAAGTCTTGTAAAATTCAACCTGATAACCCTGGTTCTGGAAAATGTTAATAGCCGTCTGGTTAACATTTTCAAGAAGCAAGATTTTGATATCTCCCGTAGAAAATGGTTTCAAAGCCTTTGTAGCCTTTTGAGTCACAGGTGTATACAGATTCAAGTAAGATTGAGTTGGAGAAGTGGATACTGCCTTTGGAGAACCCGAAATGTTCAAAGCAGACTCAAAAGCCTTATGTATTTGTTGAGGTGAAGACATATTGCTGATAAGGATGCGTTGAATGTCAATCCTGATCCAATTCTGTTGTTTTTCAAAGTATTTAGAGTCTTCTTTAGTTGAAAATTTTATTCAGTGACTAATAGGTTGTGGTATATAACACGTGATATCAACGAATCATTAATTAAAAAGATAAACGATGGGCATATTTTCGTTTTAAGGGTACGGACGGTAGTAGAAAGAGCTTTGATATTGAGAAGATTTTTACTTGATCCCAAGAGGATAATTCAGCTTTACTTACTTATGCTATTACTATTCACGTTTACTCTTAGAGCCATTTGGTGATAAAGACAAAGAGTATATACAAAGTGACTCCGAATACGAATAACTTACTGCATCCCTGATTCAAATGACTCTGACCCCATAATCTATAATCCTACATATAGTCATATTCTGAATATGAAGAATCATATGCACAAGAAGGGTCCCTTACAACAGTTAAAACAGCACGGCGTTGTGAAGGAATAAAGCCTTTGATTCACTTGCAATGAACCTCAACCTTCGAGTTTGGAGTTTAGTCCCAAAGCTTCAAGAAAAAGAAACCTCATTTTTAGGATAATAAAACATTCTCTAGCGAAGCACATCCTTTGAAGTGAATCGAGCTGCTATAAAGATCCATTAAATTAAAAATGTTTCAAGAGCTGATGCCATGGTATGCAACGGTTAGTAATATGGTCTGACCACTTGGCTCTCGTCGAGTTCTTCTCATTGAATGCCGAGATTTTGTGCCGCGCATATTATTTGAACGGAACATACCAACGCACTTTGCAAAATTTTGCAGTTAATGTGTCATGTATACGAGTACCATCCAATCAAAGTTTCATTAATTACTATTACAACCGTGCAAGGTTTTTTTTTTTAAAAATAGAATGGTTCCCTTAAGCTCGAGCATAAAAAGATTTCTTTCCTTTCACTCTCATTAAGCTTCACGATAACCCCATACTGCTACCAATAGTGTAAAATGGGCGACCAAATTTATGAAATAAAAGACTTGAGTGAAGCTCAAAAAAATATTATCAAAGCTTCCGTTCCAATACTTCAAAAGTCAGGCGAAGCATTAACGGCTAATTTTTATTCTTATATGCTTGAAAGCTACCCCGAAGTAAGGCCTTTCTTCAATAAATCTGACCAAAAAAACTTAAGACAACCTAGAATATTAGCGTACGCTTTATTGAACTATGCCAAAAACATCGATGATCTTGGCCCGCTTTCAGGATTTGTTAACGACATTGTTAGCAAGCACGTTGGTTTACAAGTAAAACCGGAACATTATCCTATCGTGGGATCATGTCTCATCGCAACGATGGGGAAAATGCTTGGATCAACAATCGCAAATACCGATTTCGTTGATGCTTGGTCGACTGCCTACGGTAATTTGGCGCAAATACTAATAAATGCCGAATCTGAAAAATACAAGCTTAATACTTGGGATGGATTCAGAGAATTCAGAGTTACTCGAATAGTAAATGAAGCAGAGAATGTTAAGTCCGTGTATTTCACACCAACTGATGGTGGCAAGGTACAAATTCCACAAAGAGGTCAATATGTGTGTATAAGATGGAAAGTGCCAGGTTCAGATTCAGAAACGAGTCGGGAATATTCACTTTCACAGTTTCCACTCTCTAACGAGTACCGTATTTCTGTTCGCTTACTCGATCAAGGTATGATTTCTGAATATGTGCATAAGCAAATGCCCATTAATACTATTATCAGAGTTGCCCCACCAAGCGGCCTATTCATATATCAAAATAATAATGAAGCTAATGACTTGGTTATATATGCCGGAGGCATAGGTATTACGCCGTTGATTTCTATCATAGATTTTGCTCTAAAGAAGGGACGTACTGTGAAGATGTTTTACTCCAATAAACTGGTCGAACAAAGACCTTTCTCAGATTGGTTCTTAAAACTTAAGAGAGAAAACCCTGACATATTTTTCTTGACAGAGTTCTTTTCTCAGGAAAAAGATAATGAAATTCAAGCAATTGATAGGATAGTAGCTCGTCGTCTACAGCCTCTGGACATTGATTGCGTGGACTTTTCAAAAACCCATGACTTCTATTTGCTTGGTCCTCGTGGGTATATGAAATTTGTTCGAAAGGAACTTCAAAATAGAGGTGTCAAAGAATCCGATATCTTCTCTGAAGTATTTGGTCCTTTAGATGTCTGATTGTAACATAGGTGATTTTGCATTAATTTGGGAAATTGTATATAGATGGTATGCCGAAATAGATTTATGAGCTCATTTTCTACACAATAGTTTTAAAACAGTAATATCAGGATTCCTGCGGTAGTGTTGAAGTGATAATCAACTCGATTCACGCTATTGAGATGTATATGATAATCATCGATAAGACCACGTGAATTATCACGAGACAGTTTTACAGCATGAAAAAAGTTTAAGAGGATCGTGCTCCTAGTACAGCAGATCATAACAGTAAATCAAACCAACGATCCTCTCCAGATCATTAAAAATTAATTTGATTTCAAAATTTGTCACTTAGTTGTCTAACTCAGTTCAAAAGTGCTCTTTCATCAAATGATGCTAACACCGCCGAACCAGAAGCTTTCACTGGAGTTAGCGCTAGGGCTGAGTTACGATAAGATCAAATCAAAGGAAAACCCAAATCTAGAAAATACTCCCAATTCCACCAGCAGCAGGACTAGCGTTCAAGGAAGTAGTAATATCAAAGTCATATGTAGGTTTCGGCCAATAAATGAAAAAGAGGTGAAAAGTGATCTTATCCCTTTGAATTTGACAAGTCAATCCAAGGTGATAGTTGGTTCTGGTCAGGAGTTTCGATTTGATCAAGTCTTTGACGGCAAAGCTAGTCAGAATGATATATACCAATATTCTGTATTGCAAACTGTGGATGATTTTTTTAAGGGCTACAATGGTACTATCTTGGCATATGGTCAGACAGGATCTGGTAAGTCTTATACAATGATGGGTGATTCGATAAGTGACAGCGATAACAAAGGTATCATACCTCGAATCTCAGAGGAATTATTTCAGAAGATTATTCAGGGATCTACAGATGTTGAATTTATGGTAGGAGTATCTTATATGGAGATTTATATGGAGCAAATAAGAGACCTATTACAAGCTCGCGAGAATCAAAAATTCAGCATCCATGAAGACAAAAGTAATGGGATATTTGTTAAAGGACTATCTCAAGCCTTTGTATCATCTTCAAAAGATCTCTTTCAAGTTCTCAACCAAGGAATTAAACACAGGACAGGAGGTTCAACGAATATGAATCAAGAGTCATCTAGGTCTCATGCAATTCTTCAAATTAAATTATCTCAAAAAGTGATTTCTACGGGTGCTATAAAAAAGAGCAATTTGTTTTTGGTCGATTTGGCAGGATCTGAAAAATTTGATAAAACGGGGGCCCATGGCCAAACCTTTGAAGAGGCTAAAAAGATTAATAGTTCTCTTTCAGCACTAGGGAACGTAATTAATGCCTTAACAGATGGGAAATCAACTCATATTCCGTATAGAGACTCTAAGCTAACAAGAATACTTCAAGAATCTTTAGGAGGAAACTCTCGAACGTCTTTGATAATTAACTGCTCTCCATCATCTATGAACGAGGCTGAAACTTTATCAACTTTAAGGTTTGGATCAAGAGCAAAAAGAATAAAAAATAACGCTCATATAAATACTGAACTAAGTATTGAAGAGTTAAGGACCAAGGTGACTGCTTTGGAGAAGATCAAGGAACAGCATGAAATACAGATACTGCATTTAGAAAAGGAATTGCTACATTGGAAAAGAGGTCCAGATTCACAAAAGAGAGTAATATCATCGCCGGTAAGCAATGTATTTGATAACGGATCAAGATTACCAATTTCGGAGGAGATAATGTCTGTTTCTAAAATTCAAAATGATGATATTGAAAGAAGAGATCTCAAAATTGAAGAATTAGAAAATATTATTCTTGACATGAGAATGGAGAATTTAAAAGCATCTCATCAAGAAGAGCTGAAATTATTTCAATTGGAGAACACTTTGCACAGATTGAGTGATAAATTGAGTGATGTTGAATTGGTCAACAACAATTTACGGAGGCATCTTTTGATAAGTGAAAAAATAATCGAGTCTAGGGATTTGAAAATAAGTAAGCTTAGCCTACACTTGAAAGAGCAAAAAATGTTAATTCTGAATGAAAGTATCAATTTTGAAAACAAGTTGGAGTATATTAGAGGTAAATTAGAAACATATTCGCAAAATTCAGAGAGTGTGGTGGAAGAAATTAAGGTCTCACCTAATTCGTTGAAAAAAAATAGTGACTTGAGATCTTCACCACGTTTAAATCTGGAGTCCCATAAAAACTCCCCTAATTACGATACTTCATCTGGTTCCCCAAAAATGGGATTAAACTTGAGGATAGTGAAACCTTTGAGAGGTGGAGGAGGGTCACATATCCACGATATCTTAGACCAAGCGTCCTAAAGAGCGCACATTTTCTTAGATCAGTTCAATTCTTCTTACTTCTATAAGTTGAAGCTGGTTGTAGCTAGTTTCCTTTTGTCATTATTAAGCACTAGTCCATTCATATATTTAGATTGCTTTGTACATAGCCAATCCACAATATTCTTGAAATGGTCTAATTCAGCTGTTACTGTTCCTGTCGAATTTGGCCCTGCTAAGTTCTGAGTTAAGATTGGAGAGTACTCTTCGTTCAAGAATAAACTCGGTGGAACAATACTAACGCTAATATTTTTAGGTCCCAATTGAATAGCCAACTTCTTTCCAAAATCGATTGCTTCTATGTTTCTTTTAGCAAAATCTTGCATGTTAAATATGTCGGTAGCAAACATAGCTTCTAGAGAAGAAATGAAAATCACTCTTGAGAAATCAGCTTCCGTATCCTCGCTGGTTAATAATGGCACGAAAGTCTCCAAAGTTCGCAACATATAAGCGACGTTCATATCTTTAATCTCCTCTGGGCCCGCCATAGGGAGTTTGTCAAAGACTTCACCAAATGTCTTATCTGCATTCAATAATAAGAAGTCCAATTTGGGTACCCTTAGAATAATTTCGCTCACAAGCTTATTTGATTCAGTTTTTGATAAAAAACTATAGAATAGAGGTATAATTTCAACTTTCTTTCTGACATCTCTTGCAAAGTCTTCCAAGAGTTTTTTTGATTTATTGCATCTGTCCTCTATTCTAGACGTGATAAAAAGAGTTGAGACTCCATTTAATATGAAAGCTTCAGCCGCAAAGAACCCAATCCCTCGCGATGCTTCTGTAATGAGGGCACATTTTCCATTTAAATCCGTCTGGACCATCTTTAACGCTCAATTCACATGTAGTACAACAATTCGGTACCAATAGCAATATTGAGGTGTGAGACCCATCTCTAAGTATCTCAAATAGACATATCTATGTACAGGACTGGGGTATGAGCTAAGTGCTGTCATCTATATATAGGGAAGAATTGGAGAAAACTAATTGAGCTCTTCTTTGAAAGGTAATTTTGCTGAAATGGATTTACTAATATCAAACCAAGCTAATGGTAGTTTGAGAGGTATGTGTTTGAGCCATTGAGCTTAGAGAATATGCCCATTCTTGTTGCGCATCTGGGAACAAACTAACATTTATACCAAGTGATCCGAATAAAGAAGCAGAATGGCCAGTATCATGCTAAGTTCAAATGCGAAAAGCTTTCACATGGAAGTGCTGATTATATTCAAAAACTCGAAGTGTTTAAGTTTCAAGGCAATCACTGTCTTGCGCTTGCTAGAAAATGCGGATTAGTTCAGCTATATGAGGGTCCAATAGAAGGCAAAAAGACCCTTATTTTAAGGAAGGTGTGGAAACATGCAAACATAAATGGTGATGACTTAATAATATCGATGGGAATAGTTGGGAATAGGTACTTATATACTTGTTCAAGCGAAGGGAAGCTTGTCTTTCGAGATTTGATACATGATGATGATGATGATAGTTACAGAGTATATTTGATTAATGATCCAATCTCAGCTGTTAAAATAAAATTTCTGACAAAACTCCAGAGAATGGTTGTTGCTAGTGCAGGGAAAAATAATGAACTTCGTTTATATGAAATAGGATTGGGAGCAAAATGCAAGTTTCCTGTTGATACTAGTGAGATCAGATCTACAATTTCAAACAGAAGCGGTGTACTTAGGAGAACCATCACATCGCTCAATTTGGCTAGCTCCTTTCTTGAAGGTCAAACGAGGTCCTTAGTTCCATTTTGGACTTCTCGTTCATCATATCTGGAGTATATTTACAAATCAAACTCATTTGAAAGCATTTCCAATTGGATCGTATCTACATGTTTTTACCTATCACATAGTAGAGACTTGATCATCTGTGGAGCTCAGTTTGGAAATATTTTATTTTACGAAACAGCTAAAGCGCATGAACCGGTTAAAAGCATACAGGTGTCACAATTTCCAATTACTAACTTGAAAATTTTTAATAATAATAACCTCCTCCTTTTTAGTGATACGATTTCAAAAATAGGGATTATTGATTTGAAGAGCTTTCAGGTGGTTCAGGTTTATGACAATTTGAAGTTCGGACCATATAATGCATTCAAGTTTTTGACAGCAGACCATGAAGTGGCTCTTAGAAAACTGTCTAAGGGTTTTCTTTTCAAACCCATATACACAATAAGTTGCAGTGCGCTCAACCTGTTGATGATATACGTTCTTTTCGATGACGGCACTTACGACTTGTTGCTAGAATTAAAAATGGATTCCGTAATGCCTAGTGTAGATCTTATGGGAAATTACGAGAATATCGATGAATTATTCGGAGAAACTGCTAGTAACGATGTGTCTTATATAGTAGATCTAGGTACATCGCTACCTGAATCCAAGAGAAGAAGAACTCAAATTTCGCAACCTTCCCGGCTGATCCTGTCGCTAAGTCATTTCACCCGAGATATAATAAGAGACGAAATCGAAGAAAACGATAATCTTGACCAGAATAATAACCTTGGAGTCCTTGGTTCATCTAAGATAAGTGCTATCAAACAGCAACTTAAGTATCCTAATAGTCGCTACGCTAACTCTTTATAATAATGAATAATGACTTTTTCTATCTCACCCAAATTTCTCTTAACTCTTCCATCCTTATCCTCTTTCTCTAATTTTAACTTATAAGACGTAATACTCTCTATATCACGAAACGAAAAGAATGCCAAGTAAATATTTGCTCCACACTCATCATATCTTTTCTATTTTGGTTCGAAATCTAGCCGTGTCTAGTGAGAAAAATTTTGCAATCAATGAATACGTTCCAGTGACTCCAGATACCATTATAAGACCCAAGGAAAAACACAACGAAGTGTTACGGAAGGGACTATGGAACACTTGAGTGGTATCGTTGCTCCAATGTGTAAATTCTAATTTGCTTTTCACACTTCAAATCTGCAGGATTGAGATAGCCAAGATGTATTTGCCTGTCATGCCCGTAGATTAATGACCCTGAGCCATGATTTTGTGGGATGAAGTATTTTTTTTTTTTCATTGAGGACAAACCTTATCAGACAGCATATAGGCCAACCTACTTTTACTTACTATAAATTACATGAATAAAGGCTTAGCAAAAAAGCAGATCATTAATAAATTTTCAATAAGTTAATTTTATGTTGGAGGAAGAGGGCCACATCCTGTAACATATATATATATATAATAAAAGCTGTTGCCTGTGTTATCTTTGACTTACTTCAAACATGCTGAGTCGAAGTTTTGGGTTAGAAAAGCTTAAGAATAAGGTTTCGGGGAGGCGGTCATCAGAATCATCTTTGATAGATCTAGCGTCTTTTAAGTCGCATGAGAAGCGAGATGGATCGCATACCATAAATGCTATTACGGAAGTTCTTAAGGGGCATAAAGATCACAGGGAAGGTAATCATCTTTCGCCTTCTCAGCTGAGTAGACTTCGTGCACAGTCTTTGTCTGTGTATGGCCATAACCATCAGTCTAGATCCAGGTCTCGAAGTGTGAACAAGAAACAGGCCAAAGAACTAATTAAACAGGAAACTAATCTAGTGATTCTGAAAAAACTTTTGCATGTACTTCAAGATTTAGGATTGCAGGTACCTATTCCCTTGGATACGTCGAACGGAACATACACTAGCCAAAAGTCCAGGAACACCAAAGTTTACGTTTCAAATACGAATGACTGTATTTACTTACCGCCAGCGTCATCGGCAAGCTTTACTTACGAAGATGTAGAAAATGGTGGTATTCCAAACTCAAACGAATCTGCCGAGGATGAATCTGATGAGGAGTCTGCAATTTTATCGGATGATGAGGAGTCTGCGATATCGCTGAGACCCAGTACTTTGAATTTGCCAAACTTTTCTTGCGAGGAGCCAGTCTCTAGATACTTGCGAAAGCAACTAAAATCTTTTAATTCACCTAATTATCTTTGCACCAAAATTGATGAGCATACTCCTATTCCCCATTTATTTGCTGTGATTGTTGAATTAAAGAAGGAGATGGTTACCAAAGATTTGAAGATCGAGTTTCAGTCACTGACGAATATCTTATGGCCATCTGGTGATCCGTATAACAAAAACTTCTTGAAGGAAAAATTTAGAATTGGTAAAATGGAATGGCAAACCAGTTTTAATGATTGTGACTATTATATCAACTTGTCTAATTCAAACGACATTAAAACGTCTAATGTTACGCCTGAAAAATTAGCTCAGAGAACAAGAAATTATCGTTTGGTTGGCTTATGTGATATAGTAGACGATACTACTGATAGTTTTTCCATCCACAGTGAAAGCTCTAGGAGGTCTTCATTTAATTCTGAAAGACAATCTCACACGGCTTTAAATAATCCGGAAACCCAGAAACCTGGCTTTTACGTTTTCTTGTTACCAGTAATCCTACCAGAACATATCCCAGCTACAATTAATTCTGTGAATGGAAGTTTAAATCATATTTTAAAGGTGAGTTTTAATAAAATTTCGGATAAAATTATTCGGAAGACTAAAGTACATGCTTCATATAATTTGCCAATGGCAAGAACTCCACCATCTTTTGCCAATTCGATTGCCGATAAGCCCATATATGTGAATAGAATTTGGAACGATTCTTTGCACTACGTCATTACTTTTCCAAAGAAATATGTTTCCCTTGGTTCAGAACATCTGATTAATGTCAAATTGGTTCCATTAGTGAAGGATGTCGTAATCAAAAGAATCAAATTCAATGTTTTGGAACGTATCACATACGTGTCAAAGGATCTTTCTAAAGAATACGATTATGATGGAAATGACCCATTTCATCTTCACTCTCTGTCACTGGATAGCAAACCTAGAGAGAGAATTATTCCAATTTGTGAATTGAAGACCAAACATAAATCCAATGCAGCTTCTGGTCAAACGGAACCGTACAAGGAACAGGTAATTAAGTGTCCTGATAACAATTTACTTTTCTCCTGCTATGAGCCTGAGCTCGATAATTTTAAGTTGGATTCATCTCATTACAACAAGTCGTACAATGATACAAAGATAGCAACGCCCCTAGATATCAACGTTGCACTTCCTTTCTTGACAACAAAGGCAGATAAGCAAGGAACACATATTTCTGAAGATGATCCGATATTCAGCTCAGCGAGTGGCTCAAGAAAGGCTTCTATTTCTTCAAATAGAAACAATTCGGTTGGTGATGCGAGCCACTCTGCTTTTCCTCCTTCGTCGCCAATCATCGGGGCTTTAGAAACTCATTTAACCCACAGTCATTATGATCACAATAATGCTAATTTGGTGGAATCTGAGGAAATAATTCCTTTAAGCCCTTCATCTTTTATGGCGGAGGAGACCCATAATGCTAAAGAATGCATTCAAGATGGTTACACTTCTGTTCACAAAGCATTGTATCCTGACTCAAATTATAGACATATACAAATTCATCACCGATTACAAGTCTGTTTCAGGATATCAAAACCCGATCCAAAGGATAACAACAAAATGCATCATTATGAAGTTGTTGTGGATACTCCATTGGTTTTATTGAGCTCGAAATGTAATGAGGCTTCGATCCAGTTGCCTAGCTATGATCAAATTGATGCACCGTTTAATCCAGAACCCGAATCTTCTCAAAGGGAACATTCGGGTTTTCTGAGCAACGGTGTCTCCATTTCAACCTTTAATGATATGGAGGGTGATCATTTACCGTCCTTTGAAGAGGCGACGTCTCTCCCTTCATCACCAATAACTAGATCCATATCTTTAGGCGAATTCCCTTTGAGTAGACTGCCATCTATTTCGCTCCCAGCTGACCCGGCGCCAGCATATGATGCTTCCCCAAACAAATATGAAGAGATGATGAACCCTTTGAATATTGATGAGCTTGTTAACTATCAAACAGTCAACGGAAATTCTGCTAGACCATCTAAGATCAAGTTTTCTCTTTTTAATGCTTTTGCGCCTCCTTCAAGGTCCAATGAGGATGGTTTTGATGATGCAGATAGAGATGCAGAAAATGACAACGAGAGTGCTAAGTTACAGCAAGGTTCCACTGACAATTTATCCACTACACCAACATCTCTGTCTAATGGGGTCGGCTCTTCAATTTCTATTGGGGAACAATCCACTGACGAATCAGCTCTATACTTGAACACTGCAGGCGGCAATATTCCAAAATCATCGAGCACTGGCTTAACTGTACCTGATGTTGCTTCCTTGCAAGGCGATGAAGAGTCTTTGCACGAGGAGGATCCATTAAATAAAAAATCTATTTCTTCATCAGCACAAAAGCAGGGGGTAGAACAACAAGCGGATGAACAGAATAGTATCTACACACAAGATACTGCTTACTTCTTTGACCAAAAATCTCCTTTGTTAAACAACAACTACAGTAATGATAATTTGTGCAAAACGAAGTCGAATTTGATCAATCCTTCAAATTACTCGCTAAATGATGTTAGCAAGGAGGATTTATTGACATCCACTGAATCAAACTCGAATGAGTTGCAAAATATTCACCATGCTTACAAGCTACCGATGTAGCTCCGTACATATTATTAGTTTTATTTTGCAGTAGTAGTTATAGTTGTTCCCATCAGATATCGCACTATAATATATTTTATAATTAGGCTTGTTTCTTAAATAAGATTAACCTAAGGAACTGTAAATAGTATTTGAATGTCCGTCTTTAAACTTCCTCCAAAGGGTAAGGTAGCTGTCTTAGGAAGTGGGATATCTGGATTGACATTCTCTTATTTTTTAAGTAAACTTAGGCCAGATATTAAAATTGCTATCTTAGAACAGAAACCAAGAGCTGGAGGATATATTAAGTCAGATAAATTACAAGGAGATGCACTGAATGAAAATATCATATTTGAGAAAGGCCCAAGAACTTTGAGAGGTGTAAGTTATGGATCTCTACTTATCATCGATATTTTGAAGTCATTAAATTGCATAGATCAGATTGAAGCTATTTCAAAGAACTCTGTATCTAATCGGAAGTTTTTATTAGGTCAAGATAAAGATTTAATCGAAGTACCACATTCTTTCAAGAGTTTTGTTGAGTTCATAAAGAGTGGGATACTCTCAGGAATACCCAAAGCCATCGTAAGAGAGAGTTTCAATCGTACAAAATTAAAAGCGAATGAAGACGAAAGTATTGAATCCTTCTTCGAAAGACATTTTAAAACAAAGGTACTAAATGACAGGGTCTTAAGTGCCATTATTCACGGAATATATGCTGGCGATACCTCGAAGCTAAGTATTCGCTCGATATTTCCCAGACTCGTCAACATGGAGAAAGAAAATGGTTCTATTATTGCCTACATGATAAAAAAACTCTTTCAGAAGAAGGCCCCAGCGGCTCCACTTCCACAGAGTCTCATCGATTATGAAAGATACATTTCAAAGGAAGCTGATTTGGATGGCTTAATCAAGAAGTTGAGCAATTACCCAATGATTAGATTACGGGAAGGATTAGAGAGTTTGGTCACCGCTTTATCTGGTTATATAGCTAAGCAAGAAAACATTGACGTGAAGTATGATACCAATATATCTGAAATTGACATTGCTAGTGGAACAATAAAAATTAAAGGATCTGATCCGATAACATTTGATCATGTCAGGTCTACTATAAACTCTAACAGCTTAGCACAAATGATTCCGAACGATGCAAAAGAAGTTAAAGATCTATTACATTTACATTATGTGTCTATATTCTTATGTAACATATATTCGGAAGGTCATCTTATACCCAAGAATAAAAATGGTTTCGGGTTCTTAGTTCCCAAGTCAGTTCACAATCCAGAAAGTTTGCTAGGAGTGATATTTGACTCTGACATTGAGCAAAATTCAGTGCCATTGTTCGATGGTCCTAAATATGCAAAAGAAATGAATTATAGTAAAGTTACCTTAATGCTAGGAGGTCATTATTATGACGATCTTGGCAAAATACCGTCAAGCTCAATGAACCTTGAAATTGTTGAAAAAATATTAAATAACATACTCCACTTCAATACTGAAAAGCATAACCTCATTATTAGAAATGAAGCACTCGATAATGAGCCATTAGTTTCATTAAAGGCAAATGATTTGCTCATATCCTACACATTCATTGACGATTGTATTCCACAATTTAACGTAGGCTATGATGAACAAAAACGAAAACTCCTAAAAGTTTTGGATGAAGCATCAAGAGGTAGGTTCTCGATCGGTGGAACTAGTTTTGGAAATGGCGTAGGAGTACCTGATTGTGTCTTGAACAGCTTAGAAGCTGCTTTGAAAATGAAATAGATAGATATTACATGTCAGCTGAGTTCACTGCTTCCGAAAGATTTTCCAATGTAGCCTCAGCTTTTATAACTACTTTAGACTTTTTGTTTGAATAGTTTAGCACCAATGGCTTGTTGAAAAATATTGTGCCCTGCAAATTCTCAATAGCCAGAGTAGCATTTTTGGTACTGTCAAGCACAACATGCGCCTGTCCTCTCATCTGTTTACTTTTTCTTTTCATATTTATTTCAATGACATCTCCATATGTTGAAAATATCAAATAAAGGTTATGGATAAGTACATCGTAGTTCACTTTATCATTTAAATTTTTGACGTACAATGTTTGATTTGGATCCAAGATAGTGGAGTCGAGCTTAACTCTCTTAATAGAGGCTTCGTTTTCACTTCCCTCACGCTTTCTGGTTTGAGACATAGGCTCGTGGTTGTTGATTTACATCATTATTACTATATGGTCTACGGTTACGTATTAACTAAAAGAGAAGAGTAGTGCATATACCAATATCGAAGACTGTTCCGTAGCATAGAGAGAAGCTGCTAGCGATGGGAAGGGACTCTTCAGGTGGCTTTTATTGTGGACGTCGGGGTAAATTAGAGCACAATTACGTTAGATGCAACATTACATATTTTTTACTCGCGAAGCACATGCTGGATGAATGCATAAGTTAGCGTGAGCTAGTGACAGTATTGTTTAACGCAAAAGCAATCTAATCCAACGGTCCGATATGGGCTGTGCTGAATTAGCTTGCGATATAGCGCCCTAGGCTTAAATTAGTGGAGATCATCGAGCGCACGCTATTGAATCTTACTATAGCACTAGGGGAACAGTGTTGCCCTGACATGACGTAGAAGTTTTGCAATTGTGGACTATAGGTCTCAAATACAAGAGATCCGAGATTTGTCCGGTATTAGAATATTACATTGCCATTAAAAACTAACAGATGAAGAAATTTACATAAAACTATTATATAGAAGATTAAATTTGTAACTGGCTAATAGGATTAACGTTAAAGGGCAGCCGTAAGACGATGTCAAGAGATAGCTAAATTGGGACCGGTGCTGATCTTTGTTCTGTTTTTTTTTTTTACTTTCTTTCACGACTTTTAGTGTTGAGTTGCTGAGGTTTTGTCGAATGACATCCGGGACTATCGGTCTTTCCGGTCTCAGTACCTAAGTAAGAGAATCAACTTATTCAAGGGAACACTCAATAGCAATACCACTTAAGGAGACTCAACAATAATAATAGGACTCATTAACTTAAAACGAGAAGTAAGATTTTCACCAATTTCAATAGATTACTCATTTACAAAGTAGATATAATTGGTTCTTTCGATTAACACTTACAGTTTTGAAGCTGACATCTAAACATACTTAACAGTTTGTGTGAAAGGTCATATTGAGAGATGTCATCACAATTAAGTACTTCTCTCTTGAGACTCAAGCTATTAGATGCTCTCCGGAGTGGAGATACCAGCAAGGTTGAATCTATAATCCAGGAGTTGTCCTCTACCAAGGCAACGATCCAGAATACCACTATCATTCAATTGAAAGAGACTATTGTACATTACGCTGTACAGGTTGCTCAATTGCCCGTAATCCAGTTTCTTGTGAACAATGCTGACAAGTTTGGGATTGATATTAATGCTCAGGACAAAGATGGAAACACGCCATTGCATTTAGCTGCAGCCACTTCCCGTCTTGAAGTTGTGAAATATCTCTTGTCCCTTCCTAACATCAATGACACAATTGTCAACTTGGAGAAAAAACAACCAGTTGAGGTCTGTCACGACACAGATGTAGCACAGTTGATGCAATTTGAAAGAGCTAAGTTTGTGGAAAAGCTGGCTACGCAACTCAGACATTACTTCACTAATAGGGATTTCGATAACTTGGAAAAATTGTTAGTTTCAAATCCAAGAGCCTCTGAATTACTTGATATCAATGGGGCCGATCCAGAGACAGGAAACACAATATTACATGAGTTCATTAGAAAAAACGATTTGGAGATGTGCGATTGGATCTTGAAGCACGGCGGTGATCCGTTCAAGAGAGATAAAAGAGGTAAACTTCCAATTGATCTAGTTTCTTCCAAAAATGAGCCATTGAAGAGATTGATAAAGACAGCATCGAAGGACCAAAATATCATGGATCCAGTGATCAATACAAACAATGCTATTAAAGTAGGTAACGCACCAACATACAAAGGTTATCTCAGAAAATGGACAAATTTTGCGTCTGGGTATAAGTTAAGATACTTTGTTCTAGACCAAAATGGAATTTTGTCATACTATACGAACCAAGATGATACAGACAATGCTTGTAGAGGTTCATTGAACTTAGGTTATGCTTCTTTGCATCTTGATTCGTCTGAAAAACTAAAGTTCGAAATAATAGGTAGAAATGGTATCAGATGGCATTTAAAGGCGAACCATCCCATTGAGACAAATAGGTGGGTTTGGACATTGCAGAATGCGGTTACTATTGCAAAAGACAACATAAAAAAGCATTCTCCCATTGCTACTGAATCTTCTGAGAAGAATTTCAGAGCAGAGGAAGTGGAACAAAAAAGGCGTCATTTGCATATTCCGGGACGTAGAAAACATAAGAGAACGCCCAGTCTGCTTTCTATAAGTTCAGCTGAAAACGAAGATTCTCTTTCACTTGGTAGTGGTGTTTCGAGATCTAGCACACTTTCTAAAAAAGTACCTGGAAATATTCAATCTCCTAATTTGGGTGAAATTGAGGAAGGTAAATTTGCACCTAATGACAGCAAAGTCTCGGATCACAACAGTATTGGGGATTCAGATATAGAAAATTTTGATCATGACATGGATGACATTGAAGATGGTGGTACATCCGATGAAGATGGCGATTCTACTAATAACCGTGTGCTGTTAGCTGACCAAGTTTCTACGGCAAAGAATTCGTTACAGGTAGAGATCAATAGCTTACTCGACTTATTTAGCCAAGTTGCCAAAGCTAAGGCAGCAGGCGATAGCAGCAATACGAGTGTTGAACATGAGACGTTTACGACTACCCAGCAAACGCTTAAAGGAATTCAGGACTTATTTGAAAAATACACTGATCTAGTTCAAACGCAAGACGAGAGAAATTCTCGTAAACTAGAGAGACAGTTGGAGGTTAACACTCTATGGGAGAATTCTATTCGCCAATTAGAAAATGAAATTCGTAACAGAGAAGAAAAATTGGCAGTCTTTGAGGGAAAACAAAAGCAGTTGAAAAGGTATCTCGCAACTGCAAGTCCTGGCAATCTCACACCTTCTGCCACTGGGTCTAAAGAAACAGGCGATAGCAGAACGAATAGTGTTTCGGGGACATTACCCGAGAGGCCTGATGTATCTAAAGCCGGTAAAAGCTCCATTAGCAATGCAGATCGTCGTAGTTCATTCGTAGACCCAGTTCTCGAAGAACTTCTCAACGATGGTTCTGATGACGAATTTTTTGATGCTGATGAATTTGATGATGCTGGGAATGGTGATTCGCAAGATAAGGGAAATGATGAAGAACTGGAATACTTTGACGACAGCGCTGACGAATCAAATGAGGTGGGAGCTGAGAGCAAAATTCCTTCCGAGACTCCTATTACCGGTGCTGCACCTGAAGCAGTTCCTGAAACAGACGACGCATCGGAAAGGACGAAGATTAACGAAGATGAATCAGATCTTAACGCTACAACCTCTCAAACTTTGGAATCTAAATCTCACCCACCTGCAGCTGTGAGCGACTCGCAAAAGTTATCAGCCCAATTGCTTCAAAAGGAGGGATCTTTCCTTGGATATGATAACCCACCAAGGAAGAAACTTGCTCTTGACGAAGATAACAGACCAAAAATAGGACTCTGGGGTATACTTAAGTCGATGATAGGAAAAGATATGACTAGAATGACGCTTCCTGTTTCGTTCAACGAGCCAACAAATTTATTGCAGAGATTGACAGAAGATATTGAGTATTCAGATTTGCTAGATAAAGCTGCGTCGTATGATGACTCTACATTGAGATTAGCTTATGTTGCTAGTTTTGCAGCTTCAGAATACTCATCTACTATAAACAGAATTGCTAAGCCATTTAATCCTCTATTAGGTGAAACGTTCGAATATTGCCGTCCCGATAAGAGCTACAGAATTCTCACAGAACAAGTGAGCCATCACCCTCCTATTAGTGCTTGCGATGCTAGATCGATAAAGTGGGACTACTATGGAGAAAATGCAGTGGAAGATAAATTCAGGGGTAGATCATTTGATTTTAAGCATCTTGGTAGAATGTTTTGTACTCTAAGACCGGATAATGGTGTCATCGATATGAACGGTGAAGAAGTAGGTGAAGAGTTGTATACATGGAAAAAAGTCAACACCTCTGTAGTAGGTATCATGCTTGGTAACCCTACTGTCGACAATTATGGTAAAATGGAAGTTAAAAATACCACTACTGGAGATCTGATCATAGTTGATATGAAACAGAGAGGTTGGAAAGCTTCATCTGCGTACCACTTATCTGGACAGGTATTAGACAAAAAAGGGATTCCTCAATGGGCCATTGGTGGAAAATGGGACTCTAAAATATTCGCAAAGAAGATCCAAGAGAGCTCTATTAATACTGAACCAGGTGACGAGAAGACAACCACGGATCCCTTCTCCGGTGGTAAATTCTTAATTTGGCAAGTTACCCCCCGTCCAAAGATTCCATTCAACCTCACTGCCTTTGCAACCACGTTGAATGGAATTGACTCATGCTTGAAACCATGGCTTGCGCCGACTGATACCAGATTGCGTCCTGATCAACGAGCTATGGAAGAAGGTAGATATGATGAGGCTGCAGATGAAAAACATAGAGTAGAAGAGAAACAAAGAGCTGCTAGAAGACAAAGAGAGACTAATAAGCAGCATTATAAACCCAATTGGTTTGTTCAAAAGAGACATCCCGTAACTGGTGACAAGTTTTGGGAGTATAATAATGATTACTGGGTCAGAAGGAAAGATAAAGCTTTATCAGATTGCGGTGACATTTTTTAATCTTACTAAATATAGTTGTCAATTCTTCTTCATTCATGTTTTATTAACTCTTTTATATCTGTATTGAGTTTATGTAACTATTGTGTATAAATTTAAAAGAATTGATTTTGTAGATTTTTCATTTTTGGTGATGATAACTTTAAATTTTATCTCATCGAGCTCATCTCAATAGTGATTAGCTTATAACAAAAATATAGACGGATGGGAAAAAAGTATAAGAATGGGTCAAAAAAGACCTCTACTGTGCAAGAGTCTTCTGTGTCTCCAATAGTAGAATTGAATTATCCAGAACCTTTATTTTCCGTTGCAGCTCATCCTACCCAGCCCATTTTAGTATCTGGATTGGCCACCGGCCATGTTTATTGTAACAAGTACGATGATGAGAGACTTGAAGAGAGCCAAGCAGCAGAGAAGGAAAGAATCTTTTCACATATAAAGCATCTCCTGAAATCTGAATTATCAGGATCCAGTCTGTCAGATTTACAAGGATTTCAGAAATGGTGGACAGTAGTGGAAGACTTAGATTCGATAGACAATTCTAATATGTTTACGACTGCCTGGAAGACAAAAAGACACAAGCTGTCCTGTCGTTCGATTATATTTGACCCTCTTGAAGGATCAGCAGGCAATTATATATTCTCTGTTGGAACTGACCATATTATTAAAAAAGCAGATACAGAAACAGGAAAAGTCGTTTCAAAGACGTCCGTATCTCAGTATTTTGAAGATGAAAAAGATGCGGTTACAAGGCTACTGCATTCAACTTCTCACAACTTCTTATTATCTGGAACGGAGAATGGACATGTCTTTGTTAACGATAGTAAGGATTTATCCTCCAAGTTGAAGTTCAAAGTTACGAGTGCTCATGATGACGCAGTTAATCATATCTTACCGATGCCATCAGTATCGGCATATCACTATCTTACTCTAGGATCTACTACGCTATCTCATATTGATATACGTAAGGGAATTGTGACTCAATCAGATGACCAGGAAGATGAACTACTTAGTATGTGCTACCCAGCAGATGATTCTCTGAGTGATACAGTTCTAGTAAGTCATGGAGAGGGAATCGTAACGATATGGAAGAACTCTAAAAACAAATTAATGGACCAGCTATCGAGAATTAAAATTAACAAGTCTACGTCAGTTGATGCCATTATATCAAGTATGAACTGCGACGACGACGAGATGGCTGCCTCTGTGTGGTGTGGTGGTAGTGATGGAATGTTATATCGCGTGAACTACAAAAAGGGAAAGATCGTGGAGACCAGAAGGCACTCCATGGCAGCAGGGAAATATGGTGCAGTTGATGAGGTTGGATCCTTAGACATTGATTACAACTATAGATTAATAAGTGCCGGAATGGACACCTTGAAGATCTGGTCTGGCGAAGAACAAACACAAATAGAAAGCGAAGCAGAAGATTCTGAAAGCGAATCGCTTGATAGTGATGATCTGGACGATTCTAAGTGGAGTGGTATGTCTGATTCTGGTTTTTCGGACAAAGACTCGAATAAAGATTCAGACGAGGAAGAACAAAAAGAAGAAAAGGAGGCGCGTGGAGAATCAGACGAACTGGAAGACGATGACGATGACGAAGAACAAGAACAAGAAGACGAACTGGAAGAAGAAGAAGAGATCACACCAAATATAGTGCGCAAGAAGAGATTCACTTTAAAATCGCTAGACCTGAGCTCAAAAGAACCAAAGAAAAAGAAATCAAAGATTGAAGAGACTAAAAGTCAGCCAAAAGAGAAAAGAATAGAGCCCAGCGTCGAACATGGAATCAGGAAGTTTGACGATTTGTAAACCTTTTTTTAACGTTTCTAAGGAATAATTTGCAATCATTGCTCTACAGTTTGTATGCAGTCCCTTTTGTTTTAGAGTAAGATTGGTCAGTATTTAGATTTGATTCCATATAACCGTCACTAGACTAAGTGCTATAGAATTTCATTTATGGCTTGTAAAAGAGATGGTGCAAGCCAATATTTCCATAATAAATAATGTCACATTAAATCGAAGAGGTTACTCTATTAGAGGCACCCTTATATTATCATCTCACCATTTTGTTTTCAGCTTTAATCCTAGCCAGCTGAGTGAAGGAAAAGAAAATAAGAAAGAAATATGGATTTGTTACCCAGTTATAGAAAGGATAAAAAAGGCAAGAGGGTCATCTTGGATCAGTAGCAACAACAATAATAACAACAATAACAATAATAATGGTAGTTCTAATAATAATCACGGTAGTTTTGCTAATGGTGATGGTTCAGATAATAATTCGAACGATAGTGACAACGAAATTGACGAAAATGGAGAAATAGGTAGCCCTAATAACCAAAGGCCTGAAGCGAAGCGATTCAAGAGAAAAGATGAAGAATTTGACCACTATTCTGCTTCACATATTAGAATACAATGTAAGGACTTCACATATTACTCATTTGATTTCATAAATGATTTGATATGCTGCGAAGTCTTTCTGACATTGAGTGCATTGATTACAACGCCCAAGACAACTAACGATATAACGGCCTTTTACGCTTACCAGTACGAGCCAAATATGCTTGAAGAGCGTTTGCCGTCGAATGGGTGGGATATATATGATCCTGTTGAAGAATACAAAAGGCAAGAATTGATTAGTGATTCCAGCAACTGGCGAATATCGACAGTTAACGATGATTACAAGTTTTGTCCTTCCTATCCAAATATATTGATTGTACCTAAATCAATATCGGATAATGTTTTGAAACATGCGGGAAAATTTCGGTCGAAGCAAAGAATACCATCTGTTGTTTATAAACATAGGTACAGTGCTAATGGAAATGTGATAGCCAGATGCTCCCAACCTTTGGTGGGACTAAATTTGCAAAATAGATCAATTCAGGATGAGAAGTTGATATGTGAGATTTTTAGATGTCAAGAGGAAGAAAGAAAGAGCGGGTTGAGCAATGAAAGCGACATTAATAGCCAGCCTCAAAAGAATCTCATTGTCGACTTGAGGCCAATAACGAATGCAATGGCACAACATGCCATGGGTGCAGGCACCGAAAACATTGATAATTATAGAGGATCCTTTTCTAATATAGGTGGAAAGGACAAAACAAAGAATCTGATTCTGGATCAAGGAAGCTTTAGACAGGTTGATAAAATCTTTTGCAATATAGATAATATTCACGTTATGAGAGATTCCTTGAATAAGTTAACATCGATCCTTAGTGATTTAGATAAGTATCCTGTTTCAAATGATAGCAAGGCACCATCAAGTTATCCTTTACTCCAACAATCTTTAACGAAAACACAATGGTTGCATCGTCTATCAATAATCTTGCAATCAGTTGATCGCATTACGAAATCCATCCATTTGAATAATACTAATGTCATCATTCATTGTTCGGATGGTTGGGACAGAACCTCACAAGTCTCTGCACTTCTGCAGTTGTGTTTAGATCCTTATTACAGAACTTTGAAAGGATTTATGGTACTAGTTGAAAAAGAATGGCTAAGTTTCGGCTATAAATTCTCTACGAGAGCAGATCATGGCGGATGTATTGGTGCGTCAATTCAAAAGAAGCAAAAAAACTCACAACAGCTGTCACAGTCTACTGAATTTTCTTCAGAGTCACCGTCACAGCTATCTATGGATTCCCTTGAAGACAACGAGGCTCTCAGTTTAAATGGGACCGGGAAAACTGTCGCCTCATTTTTGCAAAGAGCTGCACATCATATTAAGAACACAGCGGTTGCAGCATCCTCCTCTCCAACGGCTTCAGATAACGAGAGACATGAAGGTGGAAAACAGTCTCTGAAGCATACATACAGTGAAAGTAGCGAAAAATCACCTGTTTTTCATCAGTTTCTTGACTGCGTGTACCAAATATATCGCCAACACCCGTCAGAATTTGAATTCAATAGCAGATTTTTGAAAAGACTACTTTATCATTATTATTCATGCCAGTATGGTACCTTTTTATGCGATTCAGAACTTATTCTGAAAAATATTAATAAAGTTCAGAATTCGACTGTCTCAGCCTGGGACTACTTCCTCTCAAGACCAAACGAATTCATAAATCCAGCATACAAAGGTGATACCAATGAACAATGTGTTTTATTTTTCAATTATACTGATATCAAATGGTGGTACGAACTCTATGGGAGATCTGATGAAGAAATGAATGGTCTATCCAACTCCCTTGATCGCAAATTTGCACAAATGAAATTGGCTCAAACTCAAACTTAGAAATACCATTGTACTCCGGATTCATTATAGATATATAGCATCAGCATGTAATCCTATTAATTTCATATATACACACAGTAGCATATCAGTAGTAGCATATCGCTGATGGAAAAGATAATCGCGCTTATCCGACATACTTCACATATATCATTGATTTCGACTTTTCAACCTACGATACACTATTATAGGTCGTCAGATATCAAGTATGCTACGAAATGTCATGATATCGAATCTAAGCCTTAAGGTTTATTCAAGTGTACTTTTTTCCAGGAGATTTTACCATGCAATAGGCTCAGGTCCTCATGGAATTGAAGGTAGATTACCAGGTAACAGAACAAAGATAGACGAAGGTGAAAATTCGAATAATCAGGTTGCAATCACGGATCCCTTTGTATTATATCAAAACTATGTGTCTCAGGGATTACTTGAAAAAGATGAACAACAATTACGGGCGATGAAAGAGTTTCAAAAATTGTATTATAGAGTAGTCGATTACATTCCACCTGAAGAGCTTCTGATCAAAATGAGTCTTCTTTTGAGGAAGATAGAGCTCAAACAAGCAGAGAGTACTTTGAGAGGTAGCGATTCCGATGTACCTACTTTCAGATTAGTATCTGTACGAAGGATATTTGGAAAAGATCCTGAGCTGGAGAAGAGGCAATTGGTGAGATATATTAATGACGATGAAGAACTTCAAAATTTTGCATCACCGATGGGACTTTTGGTGAATGGTGAAGTAGGCTGTGGCAAGTCCTTATTGATGGACATTTTTGCGACGTCCTTGCCTCATAAATCAAAGATGAGATGGCACTATAACAATTTTATTCTTTGGGTATATACTGAAATGCATAAGATCCAGCAAGAAAGAATATTGACAGCCAACTTAAACATCACAACTGGACGAGATAAAATGACTATGGAAAATGAGTTTATTCTTTTTGAGATAGCCCAAAAGATGATCAATAGGAGTACAATATTAATGCTCGACGAGTTCATGCTTCCAGACATTGCTTCTGCGAATATTGTTAAAATTCTATTCACGTACTTCTTTAAATTGGGAGGTGTATTAGTTGCAACGTCAAACAAGCTCCCTGAAGAGCTTTATTCTAATGCATTCAACAAGACTAAGTTCAAAGATTTTATTGGCATTTTACATGCCAGATGCCAATCCATAGATATGAGGTCTACAAGAGATTATAGAACATTAGCGGCCTCAGCATCATCAAATGAGCCATTTTCTGTCGTTAAGCTAGATAATCCAGACCATGAGAAACAATGGTCAACTTTAGTGAAAACACGAGCACTTGCATATCCTCCCGATTCAGAGATTGTGAAAGTAGATGTTCCTTTGAAGCTGCTCGGTAAACCCTCATCATTCACAGTGTATAACAGAACGACTCATGTTCCTTTAACATTTAATGATTCGGTTTGCTACTTGGACTACTCTTTCATATGCCAGGGACTATTTTCGTCGTCAGATTATATCAGTTTGGCATCTATTTTTAATACTATTGTCGTCGATAATGTCCCCATTATGACCATGAAGATGAAAAATGAGGCAAGGAGGTTCATTACACTTTTGGACGCAATATATGAAGCGAAATGCCAGTTCTTTATGAGAAGCGAAGTAGCCGTTGATGATTTATTCTTTCCAGATGCATTATCCTCTAAGAATCCTTCAGTTTTAAAAATATTGCAAGAAAGGCAAGATAAGATGGGAACTTTGGATGTTCAAGATGAAGAAATGTACGCAAAGACCACAATGGATATTTCAAATCCTTATAGACCGAATGTGTCGTCTTATGATGAGAATAGTACATTTAGTGATATCAAATCTACCAAAAATGGGACCTCAAATGGAAATAAGGAGGATAACAATCCAAAAGATCCTGTTGATTTCAAAGATACAAGGGCATTTACCGGAGAAGATGAAAAGTTTGCCTATAAAAGGGCAGTATCCAGGATTAAAGAGATGACAAGATCAGAAAATTGGAGGTTAAAGGCACAATGGGTTCCGATAGACGAATCAATGAGACCCTGGGAGTCTTCTTATTCTCCAGGATTGCTGAAAGGTGCACCATATACCAAAAGAAACGAAACTGTGCTTGATAGAGATATAGACAATTTGATAAATGAAAACAAGTCTCTCGACAAGATAGCAAAGCAGATATTGACAAATACGAACGCAAGAGAGTATTCAAAGAGCAAAGGCATCCCATTAGCCACTTTGAATGTAGCACTTGCACCGATTTTCAATAGTCTCAATCATTTTTGGAAAATGGGCTCATGGACAAATAAACAGGGTAAAAGGTTACGGGATTCTATACTGAAGTCCTGGATAAGATCCAGTATCAGGGATGATGACGATAAGTAATTAGAGGATCGTATTTATATATATTTTCTATAAATTTATAGATTCAATTTACCATCATATATATGGCTTCGGTCGATTTGATTTATGTGGGGATGAATACCGAGGTGCGACCTTATTGTATACACAAATGATATATTAAGAAGGAATAAACGATTATGGCTTTCATAGGCACAATATTTAAAAGGTTTAAGTCAACCACTACGATGCCAGTATTAACAGCAGAGAGACTCGTGAGACTAGCGTATAAGTATCCAGCATTACACGATTCTTGGTATTTAATAGCATGTGCTTGTCTAACGGTGGTTAATCAACCCCACGAAATTCCTAAAGTATATCACTTTGCGCTTAGACAGCAGCTTTTGGAGTCTACTTCAGGCGAAGAATGCTTGTTAACTAACAAGTTTTTGATAAAATTGGCCCAGGATTCAATTTCTTCGTCGGAAAAGTATCAGGATCTATCAGCAGTGGGGGTGAATCTCCCTGATATATTAATACCATATTCGTACTTCGATAAATTGCCATTACAGTTTAAGTATTCGAAGGGTGATGATATCCATGCTGAGCAGAGCACAATATCAGCGAAATTTCGGGAGGTTATTTTGAAAAGTGCAGCTTTGTCAGGTTTACCTAAGGCTATCAACGCTTTGATGTTATTGAAAGGTGTTACCCCAACGTCGATGAAAGCGGCCAATATCCCGGAGAGGGCACAAATAGTCAACCCAGGACATGTACGCTCCTCTTCCATAGTGCTGGAGGATATTGAAGGTACCAGATTTGAGGAGCCAACGAACCTGATTACAGAGGATACTATCGACGGACCTATCTCCGCTGAATCTTTCAATTTGAATGAACTCAAAAAAGACCTCGTACGTGGCTCCAATTTTTGGAATACAATATATACAAACAAAGTTAATGTCAGGATCAAAAGACAAATGGTAAATACTTACCCCGATCTATGGTATTTTGCATATCATCATGTATACTCTCCATTGTTGAGCTTCACGGACATATTATCAGCACGAGAGACATCTATGTGTATAGTCGCAAGCTTGATTCCCCAAGATGTAAACCCTCAATTGAAGGGACACTTAAGAGGAGCAGTGAACGTTGGAGTTACTAAAGAAGAATTAGAACAGTTGAGGTTGTTAGTATTTGATATTTGTGACTGGAGTGGAGGAGTACACTGGAAATTGGGTAAGGACGGTGTTGCAAAGTTATGATTATTGAATACTTTGAGTTACGAATCCTACGATGAATATACGCTTCACAAGATCACGAACTTACATAGATTATAAGGGTTTATATTCATTAACTATTTCAGTACAGGTGCTTGCGCTAATTTATCTATGTTCGACTGTTTGTAGCATTTCAAGTAATTAGCTAGGAAATATTTCCACCAACGTATGGTAGTCTAGAATGTCTCCCTTAGTGCAATCTAATTCTACTTTCTCTCTTAATCAATACAACCTGAAATCCACAAAACAAAAAGAATGCCACATATACAAAAACTGCATTGAATATAGTCTTAGCAACTGCTCCACCATCCTCTGGGTCATTTATTGATCCCATCATTGATTCATGCCCTGTCTTAAATAAATAACCAAGGAAAGATAATATTACCACCGCAAAGGTCGACAAAATTGTACAGCAATAAGCCTTTCCAGCAGAAACAACAGGCTTCATTATGTGTATGAGAAAACCTTCGCTATAGATACCAACAAATGGAAATAAGAAGTGCTTAATATTGTTATAGTGCTAAATAGGATATGTGGACTGGCTAATAGTTTTCGGTGTATCTTACAATTATAATATACAGTACTAATTAAATGGATGCTAAAAACTCGATATAAAACTAGCTATGAACTATATAATATACAGTAAGGCTCATGCTGACGCGTGTTTGATGACCGAGGAGTTTCGATTGTCAGAGTTACTATGGCTGGTATCATCATCGTCATCGTCATGTTGCCCCAGCGAAAATAAAATTTGACTGGAAGAGAGATTTTCGTCCACCAGTTCATAGGCACTAGCAGCTGAGTCAAATGGACCCTGCTCTGAAAATGAAAGATTTGGGTGATCAGGAAGAGTTTCAGAACCGGAATTACTAGGATCATCATGTTGTTGTCTCTTTTTCTTTATGGTTTCTATCGTCGAATAAACTTCCCTTAAAAATTGCAATCTGCCAACTGCATACTTCATGTTGGTTGCCCATTCCTCGTCCATAGAAACTCTTGACAATGAGGTAGAATATAACCTGTCTTTATATTCCAGCATAAGTTTCAAAGAATGCGCAAAATTCTCGTAAGATAAATCCCCTAACGATTCCGGCCCCCGTCCAGCGACAGCTGAGGTATCGGCATTCTCGTCCTCATTTGACAAAGGGGACGCTTTTCTAATATTCTGACCTTCGGAGAAAGTTTTGTCGTTATCGTCACTACTTACTTGACGAGACTGCAAGTCTCCATGATTTGCAGTCTCCGCAGCAACGAATGAATTGTTATTCCCTTTATGAGACAAAAAACTTGTCTCCGATTCAGCCAGGTTGTGATGTTCTAGATGACCATCACTATGATATGGACTCTTTACTGTCGAAGAAAAACTAGGATTCCCTGTGATATAATCAAACTTCAGAAAAGATCCATCTTCCTGAGTTTGCCCTAATATAGTATTGGACATATTTTTGTTCAAGTTGCTGAATCTTTCACTGTTATAATGTAGTGTCACCACTCGTTGTGCCATATATGTTTTAAAGCTCGTAATTTAGAAGTTTATTCCATCCAGATTTATGTGGTGGTGATCGTCTCGAAATTTTTTAACAGCCTCTAAGATATATTTTTGAAGTTCCACAATCACCGACCAGAAAACCCGTAGCAATTTTTATTGGATTTTCTTCAAAATAGGCGGAGAGAGAGAGATAAAGAGCCAAATAAACCTAAAAAAAAGGCAATGACAACGTCAGAGATAAAGCACACTCGTGAGAACGAAGCTTTAATAGCGACATCAGATCAGCTACTGGGGTTGATAGAATCATTTATAGAATTAGGGGTCCTTGTTCATGACAATCAAGGTACTCAGCAATCTCATGCCGCTTTGACACATAAGATTAATCAGGTAATAAATCAATTATCTGGGTTGACAGCCATGCCTTTCGTGCAGCAGTTTCCAATACCAGTGGATGTCATTTCATATATTGAAGATGGAAGAAATCCAGATATCTACACAAGAGAATTCATAGAAGTCACTGCGAAAACCAACGCAAGACTCAAAGGAAGAATGGAAGGGTTTGCAAAACTAAGAGATATTCTTGGAGACAAGCTTATGAAAGAATGCCCAAGACTTACAAAGAATATCGAAGATATTAAGCAAAGAACGAGCCGTAAGCAGGACGGATAGAATCAAGAGATGATATGACAATTGTAGTCAAATAACCATTAAGTCGATATAGATGCTGATGTGATTTCTCACATAAAAATATATAATAGAGCATGGAATCAATGAGAGAAATTCTTATAGTCAGCAGTATCACTTTGCATAATCCCGGCACTTCAATGACTAACTTTTAGTTCATGCTTAAGTTTACCTTTCAAGCTAATTCTGAACTCGCTCGAAGTCAAACGTCTGTAGTCATAGCATATATTACATTTTTAATACACAAGGGTCAACAAGGTAAAGTTCACACCAATTTCCATGCCTAGCATTTACTTCCCAAATAGGAAGTCTAAACTCTAGTAAACAGACCGCGTAGACATATCGCTCTATTTACAACAAAGTATTGACAGATCAGAGATCAAGTGTCTCGTGCCCACCATGAAAGTAGAGGAACTTATTATCGATGGGTTTAAATCATATGCAACGCGTACCGTTATTTCAGGATGGGATCCTCAGTTTAATGCTATAACGGGACTTAATGGTTCAGGGAAGTCTAATATTTTGGATGCGATTTGTTTTGTTTTAGGAATTGCCTCTATGTCAACTGTCAGAGCCTCGAACTTGCAGGATCTTATTTACAAGAGAGGACAAGCAGGAGTAACTAAAGCTAGTGTAACAATTGTCTTTGATAACGACGAAATATTAAAGTCGCCCATAGGGTTCGAAAATTGTCTGAAAATAAGTGTAACTAGACAAATCATTCTTGGGGGCTCATCAAAATATTTAATAAATGGACATAAAGCCCAACAGCAGACGGTACTTAACCTTTTTCAATCAGTTCAGCTAAATATCAACAATCCCAACTTTTTGATTATGCAAGGAAAAATTACAAAAGTTCTAAATATGAAACCATCTGAGATATTGTCATTGATTGAAGAAGCGGCAGGAACAAGAACTTTTGAGGAGAGAAAAGATCGAGCGCAGAAAACAATGGCAAAGAAGGAATCGAAATTGATCGAAATAAGGAGTTTATTGAGGGAGGAAATAGAGCCCAAGTTGGAAAAATTGAGAAGTGAAAAGAGGAACTTTCTAGAGTATCAGCAAATAAGAACAGATTTAGAAAAGTTATCCAGAATAGTAGCGGCACACGATTATTTAGATTACTCCAAAAAGTTTGACAAGTATTCCACCCTCCTCAATGAACGAGAATCTATAATGACGAATTATAATAGAGATGTCGAAAAACTTAATTTTGAAATCGAAAACTTGAATAATGACCTCAATGAGGCGAAAATGAAGAGGGATCAGGAGTTGAGGGAAGATGGTAATATTAAGGAACTCGAATTATTGGAAAACAATACTTCAGATGAGATAACAAGGCTCAATACTTCAGATGATATTTCAAGAGAAAACATGAAGGACGAAATAAGAAAGAGAAAAAAGCTCGAAGAACAGATGAAATTATTGCAAGAAAATTTAGAAAATAATATGGATGTTTACAGTAAATATGAGGCAGACTACCAAAATGCAAAGAACCGATTATCACATTTAGAGGAAGAATTTAACAAGAAAGAAGAGCTTTTATCGACCTTATCAACTGGTATTTCATCAAAAGGAGGTGCAGAAGGTGGCTATATGTCACAGCTTAAAGAGGCAAAGGAAAAATTAAACCAATCGACAAACATAATCAAACAAGCCACATTGAAAATAAATCACATATCAAATCAGTTGAAGAACGATAAACCGAAATTAGAAAAAGCCAAGCAGGAGAACAGAACCTTGACACAGGAACTTGAACGCTACACGAATGAAATTAGCAAAAAGGAAGATGAACTATCACTGCTCGGTTATGACAATGACAAGATCTCACAATTGAGAAAAAGTGAGCAAGATCTTCAAAGAAATATCAATAAACTTAATAATGATTTAAATTCATTAAGACGAGAAGTTGGAAGCGTAGAATTCACATATTCGCCACCTTGCACTAATTTCAACGATAAAAGTGTTAAGGGTACAGCAGCGCAACTTTTCACGTTATCGGAATCCGCGTCCGATAAAGCTTTGGCGCTTCAAGTATGTGCCGGCGGAAGGCTATATAACGTGATTGTGGACACTTCTGATGTCGCTGCCCAGTTGCTAGAGAAGGGTCAATTGAGAAAGAGAGTCACCATCATCCCGCTTGATAAGATAAGTGCTCATACTATTAGTGAAAAGTCTGTGAATTATGCTAAGAAGTTAAAACCTAACAAGGTAGACTTAGCGCTAAACATGATTGATTTTGAAGACGAGCTTACGAAAGCTATGCAATATATTTTTGGAACCACATTTATTTGTAACGACCCCGAAACTGCTAAAGTAGTAACCTTTGATCCCAATATTAGAGCAAGATCAATTACACTTGAAGGAGATGTGTATGATCCTGAAGGAAATTTATCTGGAGGATCAAGAAAGAACAACTCTTCTATTCTTATTACCATGCAAAAGTATAACAATTTGAGCAAACAAATCGAAAAGTTGGAGATAGAATTGACGCAAGTTCGGGCAAGCCTTCACTCATTTGAAGCTCTTGGGGCCAAAACAAAAGCGTCAAGAAATCAACTTGAGCTTCTCAAACATGAGTCTGAACTACTTGCTAGGAAATTGGATAACAGTCCGTGTTCTTTAGATTTGAAAAATTTTGCGAGATTAGAGGAAGAGTTGAAGGAACTTCAGGATCAAATAAAGAATGAAGAGGAGAATTCAAAAAGGTACGATTTAGAAATCAAGTCAACTGAAAAAGATATGAAGGAGTTTAGTAGCGATAAGGGGTCCAAATTGAAAAAGCTACAAGTAGAAGTTGACAAGATGAGAGATACACTAGTGAAACAACAGGAACAGATTGACCATCAATCAGAAAAATACCAACTGATTCAACTTGAGAACGAGCAGCTCAAAACTGATTTGGTCAATCTCAAGGAGAATTTACAAACTTCCAATGTCACTATACTGGAACTTGACGAGCACTTGAGCTCCTTAGGTGTTAAGATCAAAGAACAAACTGCAATTTTGAAAAATATAAGGGTGGAATTGGAAGAAAAGAAAGCTAATTTACTTGGGTTGAGTGAAGAAGTTAATGAATTAAAAGAAATTATAAAGGTCAAAAATGAAAAGTTGAGCGGGATAAAATTAGAAATCCAAAAAATGAATCATGAGCTAGAGAAGTCGTCCTCTATCACAGAAAATTTGAGAAAGCATTTGGATGAGCTTATTCAGGAACATGAGTGGGTTACTGACTCTAACGTATTGGATAATATTGTACAAAATTATCCTCACATTAATTTAGAGGAATGCCACGAGCAATGTACTGTATTGCAAGAGAAATATGAGGTTTTGAAACGTAAGGTCAACACAAATATCATGAGCATGATTGATAATGTTGAAAAGAAAGAAACTTCATTGAAGCAGATGGTCAAAACAATTGAAAAAGATAAAACAAAGATAGTCAACACAGTTGAAAAGCTTAATGGATACAAACGTGATACATTGAACACAACATACCAAAAGGTGTCCGTTGATTTCGGTAATATTTTTGCAGATTTATTACCAGGATCCTTCGCCAAATTAGTCCCTGTTGATACCCAAGACGTCACCAAGGGTCTAGAAGTAAAGGTTAAACTCGGAAATGTTTGGAAAGAGAGTTTAGTGGAGCTATCAGGCGGCCAAAGGTCCTTAATTGCGCTATCCTTAATTTTGGCATTGTTGCAATTTAAACCTGCGCCCATGTATATTTTGGACGAGGTTGACGCAGCATTAGACTTATCACACACGCAAAACATCGGTCATTTGATTAAAACAAGATTTCATGGTTCTCAATTCATCGTCGTATCTTTAAAGGAAGGCATGTTCACCAATGCTAATCGAGTTTTCAGAACGAGATTCCAAGACGGCACATCAGTTGTTTCTGTAATGTAGCAGGAATATTTTGCTGTACCTTGAAGAACGATTAAATCTCTGGATTTTTATAGAGAGCAGATTCGTAGCATCCTTTTCTGCCACTTTTAGTTTCAGTTCTTTATTTAAAATTTTATTAATACATTAAATATCAAGAATAAAATGGAGGGAAAACCGAAGCAAAACTTGACTTACTAAAAAAACAAAATTGCCAACCAATTTAAAAGCACCAACAACTTTACTAAAATTCGCTGGAAGTATATCATACAAATTTACAATGTGTGATTGCTAAAGCCCTAAGTATGACAAACGTGATATTAAGAGGGGCCCATATGGTGAAACCACTTAGGTCTGATGAATTATGCATGCTGACTATGTATAGCCACCTCATGTAACATATTAGAATAAACTCAGCCATCTCCTGTTTAAAAGGAGTACACCAGAACTCGCAGTTGGGTTTACGCTACTCAATATGGCTATCTTCACTCTGCTGATAAACAATTGAAATTGTCCACTTCTACCGATCTGAACAAGATCTTTTTTTTTTTGGACACTTTAGGGTTGGCGCTATTCAAAACATTGGATACTATTTACACTTTGAAAATACTAAAGATATCTGTAGCCATTTCGATGTTAACCGTCCACTAAAAACTGTTCTAGATACTTTTCTTAGAAAGTCTCATAATCGAAACTTGGCTGCGAAACTTTTTAGGATATCTCAATAGAAACAAGCTGCGAGGATGAAAACTAAAAAGCTTGCCCTCAGTAAACCTTATGTCAATTATATTAATTCCAGCCCTTTTATACAACAGTTTTTCTAGAAATAACCATTGGCTGCATGAGAGTTACCTCTCAGTTGCCATATCAGTGCGACTCTAAATTTTTATGCTCCCTATTACCTTTCTACTACCACTCGCAGTCTCGTCGGGATTGCACAACAATTTGGGACATTCTCTCTCGATTAAGCTCTTATTCAGTTATGAATAATATTTGTCGGTATTATCAATCTTTAATGGCTTGCAACCAATTCGAAGGTCATAGTTTCGTGATATATTATTCCCGGAGCTTTCCTAACATGAAATGAATGTTTTGATCGCAAAACAGTGCAGATGAAGATCATAATTATTGTCTCTAAAATTCTATTAATAGGAGGCATGGGATCCAAAGTTAATATCAAAGTAGTCATCCCAAAGGAATGCAAAATCGATATCTGGTTCATTAAGTGAGAGATCGGCGCCCTTCTGCTCATCTTGGCGGAAAATGGGAAAGTCAAATCTTTGGTTGAAGTAGGGAATGAGATAGGTTTTGATGATATGATAAGACTTACTCTTAAAGAAATCTGCCTCGGGATTTGTCTTCAAATTATCGTACACATTCCAGAACTTCTCATTCAATGAGGCAATCACTTGTGGTTCCAGTAGTTTCTGTTGGGACAAACCAAGCCATTCCACTAAGGGATTGAATTGAGAACTTTGGAGAAATGTAACGAATTCAACACCAGTAATTACCCCTTCATATATCCTAGTGTACAATGAGGAAACGAGTACAGAAACTTTTACCAATGCATTATAAATCGAGGAAGATATTATACTCCACAAGTCAGATTGATGAGTGTTGGTCATTAGGTCCGACGCTAGCCTAAAGATTGTCAATCCATACGCAAAAGCTTGCATATATTGCTTCGTCCTTAAAGAGCGGTCTTTATCTTCAATGAGAATCGAAGAAAATTTAAAATGAGTGGAGAAAAGTTTCACCATTAAATCGATTCGAAGTCTAAACTCTTCTAATCTTTCTTTGACATTACTTGGGTCATTGAGCAATTGCTCAATTGAATTCATACTTACCAATAAGCTATTACTGTCATTGATGAAGCTAAATATATTTTCTCTGGAGATTCCTTCAGGTTTATGAGAGTCTCTGATGATTGAGCTCAATATTTTCACCCAGCAAATCTTCATAGCTAGCACTCGCATTGACGGGATCTCTTTTATGATGGATTTTTCACCGCCAAGATTAACCAAAATATTAAGCTCCTCTTCGGGAACAGGGAATGATACACCAGCGTCAAAACATAATGACGAATACATTGACAATACCATCACCCACAACTGTTTCCAGGAAAATATCTCTGATGCAGTTAAAAAATCCTTTGCATTAGGACACTCAGTCGTTAATCCATGATATCTTAAGATCTGTGCCACAGAATTTAGTCTCAGCAACATGTATTCTTCTACCCGGTACCCTTCGCGGCTGAATCGTCTATAATGAATATAGAGAATGTTAGCTCGTACCATGAACAAGGTGGAAGAGTCAGGAGTCTCTAGAGATGAGAGTATTCTTCCTGCAATATCACTGAGTTTACTTGGAACATCGAGTTTACCGCTTCGAATATCCTTCAGGATCTCATCATCTCCTATATGATCTGGTCTTAGAAATGTAACATAAGCACTCCGTAAAACGACCAAAAGCTCTGCCAAGATCACATAATGCTTACTTTCTTTGATCTTGAGCTTCTCCTTGCCATTCGTATCTATTATTGTCCATACGTCCAGTAGGAACCGATCTTTTTCAAGAATCGCACTCGATGAGGGCCCATATTCAAAGAACCTATTTATTAATGGTAAAACAAATGAAAGCTCGGGAAATAATATTTTAGCCTGCTCTACCTCTTTATTGATATTCACAGTGTCCACTACACTCACATCGCCTTCACCATCTTTAATAGACGTTCTAGGACCCTTAGTTTGTATACCAGAGTATTCAGAGATAAATCGACGACAATACGAGTCATTGACAATATTAGCCTTCATAGACGTTGGACCGGTACGAACAAGTCTCCCATGGTCTATCAACATGGTATCATACTTCAGAGTTAGCTTCAAATCCACTCCATCTTCATCTTCGCGCGGCAGCTTATCAAAAGCGATCAAGGAGGGATCATTAAATTTGAGCAGAACCAAAGTCTCCAAGTACTTGATTCTTTCTTGACTGGCCTTTAACTCCTCCGTCAAGAGGGCTGTTTGAGCATTCTTTGTACTTATAGTTGGCTCTTCAAATTGCTCGTAGACGCATAGATCGACGGTCTTGCTCTTGACACAATTCATACAAGGGGTCCCCCTATCACATTTCCGCTTCTTCTTTCGACATGCAAAGCATGATCTAGGTGTCCTTGTCCTCGTTTTCTGGATTACACGTAGCTTAGACCCCATGTTGCTTTAAGAATGGAAAGAAACCATGAACTATAACGAAACGGCGGAACTTAGGTATTATATGAAGGAACTTGATAAAAACATTGATTTAAGAGGTTTCTATTTATAAAAGCTGCGTGGTGATACATAGCTATATAAAGGTTCTACTGATACGCTGTAGTGTCTAGGACGCTCATTTCTGTCACTGGGATCTATATGACATGCAAAATCGAATTAATGGACCAGAGTAGACTGTTAAGCCCAGCATACGGTGTCCCTTGAAGATGAAAGCTCTCTCAATATTGATGAGTATATAGGAAGGCGTACATTACAACTAGTTTTTATCTTTATTGGTCATAAAATTATTATTTAAATAGCTCAAGCTGATACCAATTTATCATTAGCTAGCATTCCCAGTAAAAGAATCACATCTATTTAGTATCAACTCTGTTAATATGCAGAGCAGTGTCTTTCATAACATAAAAAATTGTGCGTACTATGATGTCCTTATATTTTAAGCCAGTCACGTAAAGACATTAATGACATTTGCCATGCCATGAATAAGGTAACGAATCCGAGCGAAACATTTAAGATAAACATTGAAGTATACCCATGCAACTCAAGAGTTTGAATTACGGGATCGCTTGACTCCATGAGAATTAATCCTCCACAGAGTAACGAAAAGCTCACTAATAATTCTGTAATTGGTTTACCAGGTTGAATCATGGAATTCCTAACTGGAGAGATAATTACAAGCAAGTATGTGACTAATCTGAAAGCGCAACCAAACATAAATAACATGCCCCATAAATTATGAATTTCCGTTGATAACATCAGCTCCTGAGCATGCTTTGACATAAGATATCCGGTCCAGAAAATAGTCAATATTGGGAAGGGATTGGGAGAGAATCCAGGAGAAGCCTTTATCACTCTTTCAATGTCAGAATCAGATTCGGGCTTATCCTTCAAATAAGTCTCCAAATGAAAAATGGCTTGTTCTTTACGCCATTGGTTTGATTTGATCTCTGTTAAGACACCACAAAGTCCACATCCGATGAAAATGAAGGCAAGTGAAGCATGTTGAAGGTCCTTAGCAGAGAACGGCTTACCTGCATTAGATAAATGTTCCAAAAACACATTAGTGGAACCGTAAATGAAAATCATAATGCATTCCACCATTTCCATGGAACAAAGTCCCGAGGATTGTACTCTATTCCAATGTGATCTAGTGAGATCATTTTGAGTGACAAATTTGTGATTCCAAGCCCAACCAAGATGGGAAAAACCGCCACAATAACGAGAGAGTGTGAGTATTCCATATAAAAGGAACACCTCACCCTTGATGAAATGAGCCAAAAGATTGAAGACAGCTTTACCCTTTCCTAATACCAAGAAAGTTGCTACTCCTGTTGGCATGTAGATGCAAAAATAAATCAACTGCCCCCATTGAAGCAAGCTGAAGGCAAGGGATGACACAGATCCTAAATAAAGAACCACTGAAGCTACCACATAATTACGTGTAATATTTTCAAGAAAAGATGATAATTTATTCATTGATTTATTAAGTCCTTTTAAATGGTGCAATGGCAATTCTTCAGATGAATCGTTGTCGCTATGAAGAATACTCTCAGAATCCCTAAATTCCTCATAATTTTGGTGAAGATTGTGCAAATCATGACGTGATAAGTCATGGAGGACCATATGAGATACATTACTGTTAATACTATTATAAGTATTCTTGTTTTCTTGAATTTTATGGATGTAGCGAGTAATCGCGAACGTTATAGTCATTAGATTTCCAGCAAATAACAAAAACGTCATTTTATGATAAACATTTCCTGGGTACAATTGATTTGGAAGGGTTTCAATAAAGACTCGATAACTAAAGACCCCTGCACTTATTGATGCGCTGTGAAGTAACAAAATTCCCAAGTGTATTGTATACCTCTTTGAATTGTTTAACACTAAAGTCAAAGGATATAAAAATATGAAATCCCCCCAAACGAACAAGATATGGGCCCAAAGCCAGGCAGTAGACCCGCCTCCATTGAAGTAAGATTTTTGAGCTCTAAAGTTTGTCCACCATTCACGTTCTTCAGGAAGTAGATCAGTTTCCAATATTGGAACACCATGTTGATGATGTGCAACATAATGAGGGACTGGAGATGCGGACGAATGCACATCAGCCACGGGTGTCATAGAGCCAATCTCATGCTGAGAATCATCTTGCGAATATAAATCATTGTCACGATAAATTAATTCTATTCCGTTTCTTTTTGTGACAGCAGTTTGCAGCCAAGTCTTTGATCTTTTATTTAAGTTTTTTGAGCCCCGAGAGAAGTCGATCTCATCGTAACTCAATGAGACGTTAATGCACACTAGTGCAATTACCACTTGATGTAAGAGCATTTCTATAAATCTTTTCTTTCAAGGAACAGTGACCATTGAAAATGAGTGAAAGGGGACTGATGTCGCAAGACTTATATACCATGAACATCGGCAAAGCTGGTACAGAATTTATAATCAACCATCTGGGTGGGAAACATGAAGCTCTTTTATGCGGTGTGAGCGGACTTAATGAGAACTCAAGAGCCAAGCGGTCATCGCGGACTTTTATCCTGTACATAGATAATATCAACTTCAAGATGACACCATAAAGGTTCTTTTGTGACTAGAAGAACCTTCTTACTGCTATTAATAGCATAATGAAAGGGTTCTGATAGTACAGCTACACAGCTGCACAGTTATTAATAGCTATGCTAATAATAGCAAGTGAGAGGGCTTCGATAAGTCAGTCTGTATACGGTAACTTTTGGCTAACGGATGCTATTTGCCAACATATACTCACGAGACTACATGATGTGATAAGTGATGCGAAATTAGATCAGTTGAGTTTGCAAGCATGACTGCAATCGAATGCTGACATTTGATAGTATCTAACTTCTAGTGTCTACATTTCCAGAAAGATTTGTGGTTCAATCATCACGCCCAAAAGACTCATCAAATTAGTCGTCCAGGAGAAAACAAAGTTTCACCAGATTCGTTGGATGCTAGGTGGCTGACCTCTAATTCAGCCTCGCTTCCTAGGGTAAAGCCAAATCCTTCGTAGATGTATGGAAGAAAATATACTTTCAAAATGTGATAACATTTGCAGCCAAAACAAATCGACTCGAAATTCGGCTGCAACCCCACGTATACTGCTCTTAGTGTTTTGCGAGATGGGCTGTGACTGAGACTTTATAATTAACATTACAAGTATTATCTCCTGTCGTAATAATTTCCACTATGTCACATTTTTGTAGCTTTGAATTTAATTGCTTCACTATTTTTGTTTGTATGAAGTTACTCTCTGCACCTGAATCTATCATTGCAAGGTAATAGATTGTTTTAATATTGCAAAATCTAAACAGGTGAATGCTGGAGATGAGAAAAATTCTTGAAGATAATGCTTGCACAATGTGAAGACCGTTGCCAAAGTATATAAGCACGAGATTTCCCAATAGTAGAAGATTACATTCTACTGGGATTCTAGGTAGTAGCACACTATACATAAGATTAGAGTAGTCAAGTATTCATTAGAATCACAAAAGTACAATAGTAACCTTTTCAAATAACTATTTAGAACTCCCTATGAACCTCACAAGTTGCAGCGTTGCTTTCAGATTCAAGAGTCAAAATAACCGTATACATGGATTGAGAAAGCATGCAGGCTTCTTGAAAAGATGAAAGCTAAATAGATCCGCGAATAGCTACTATTCTGTGTTCATTTATTTAGATTTCGACGTGGTAATAGTACCCCTGTACGTGTATCGATCCAAAGATTAAAATGGGGATATAGTTGGTGAAAATTGTCTTATAAGGCTTCGCTATGAGGCACGCAGGATCTAATATTATCGCGATATTCTAGTCACGTGACTTTGAATAACAGATCAGTCAAAGTCATGAAATCTGTCTGTTGCTTTTATCATATCCTCAAATAGCTCATATTTCTCTTTTTGATGCCTTAAGTAAAGCTAATTATGTATCAGGTGGTACTAATTTAGGATTTGTCATTAAAGCTCTTTGTTTCTGACTGCAGTATTGAACTCTTATTTTTTCCGCCTAAACATCGCAAAAAATAAATTTAGTGAATCTCTCTTGATCCGAATCTATATTTAATTTGTAGCAATAAAAATTAATGTCACACTTGAAGAGGTGTAGCTACAATAGGATTCGCCGATGTCTTTCGCTGCATTCGAACAAACGTCCTGAAAGCTATATCGCAAAACTTAGAAAGGATTTAAACGACCAAAATAATGTCAACAAAAGATCTGGAATTAAGGTTACAAACCTGGGTGATGGCTTAAAAGCTACAAAGGATCTTCTTCAAAAAAAGAAAGCCAATAGTTCTACTTTTTTTGACCCAGCTAATACGTCATTAAATTTATTATTAGATAATAAGACATTGTATTCAAGCATCTTGAATGACACATTGGATAGAACTATGAAAAGATTTGATATTGCTTCGAAAAATTGGCTTAGTACATTTGAAAGTGTCATTTCGAAAGACCAAAGATTTCAGGTTAAAAAAGGGAGCAAAGAGGCAGAAGTTGAAAAGGCGCTTCTTGAAGCTTTTGAAAATGCTACCATATCATCTATAAAAGCGAATGAACCAATTCGAATAGGTGATTTAGTTGCTCTACATGAAGACTCGAGTAACTTGTTTCTTATAGTTGCCTGTCCTACTTCACTCAGCTCAAATTCATATACTTTCATCAATAATGAAGGCGAGATAGTATTCGGGCCAAAGCTGCTAATAAAACTTAGAGTACCTGGAGTTGTACCTTCGAAGTACACTGCCATAATCCAAACATTTGTCCAACTTGAGAGAAAGCACATGAATATTGCACCCATTGGTGTTTCTGATTCTAGTTTCTCAAGATCAAATGATGCATTGCCAAAAGAGCTCAGGACTCTGAATGAGACTCCTGAAAATTTTAATGTTGAGGGTCAAAAAGGAAACCCTGACGTTGAAAGTGATTTGATAGTTGCTCAGGCATCCTCACAGCTTCTCACAAACTCAAATGTCAATACATACGTGGTTCCAATCAAAGCAAGGCAGCTTTACAGCAAGGGTTTAGTCCAATTATCTCTTAAAGTTTTTGAAGAATTACCTGAAATATCCAAAAAATTAGAAATATTGCATAAGGTTTTACAATTTGATTTGAATAACGATACTTTAGATTCGCCAAAAGATTATTCAATATTCCAACTTTTACTGTTTCTTGACATGATTGAGCTACCTCTCCTGAATAAGAAACTTAGTTTAGAGGATTATAAATTTCTCAACGAGAGTCTTAGCAAAGAGTTTGCCCAAGATATTACAACTTCTGAAATCGGTGCAGTCGTTCCATCGAGGGAATCTGGATCCGTATTCGTTTTTGAAAATCATCCTATTGCATCGTATTTGGCTCTTGTATTATCATTAAAAAAACAACCGAGATCATGGATTATTAATCAAAGAAATAAAAGTGATCCACCCTTGAGCGTAAGTGTTTTGCCGGCAAGAAATATTCCCTTCCTTTCAGAGATGGTAAAGTATCTCAAATTTGACAAAGGTAAAGACCATTTTGCAAATTTTGTCATAAAAAAGATGAACGAGAAACTGGAAAGTGAATCAACAAAATACTATGATGAAATAATTCACCTCTTTAAAGGTTACGTTGCAGGAAATTTTGAAAACGATCCGGAGATTGAAACACTTTTAGTGGACATAATTAGATTGATAGATAAAAGCTCTACTACTCAATTCAAAAACATGCCCGCGTACTCATATGAGTACTCAATGGCCAGAGCTTATGAAATTCTTCAAACACTTGATAACAAAAATGGCGCAATTCATAATCCCATTTGTTGGAGTTATAGATCACAAACTCCAGCAATTTCAACAATGAATCAAATGCGATATGAATACTACAATTACTTGGATAGTAATTATTCTAGGAAGGACATAGAAAAGCTTCCAGTGGGAGATACTGTTTGTGACGGAGATGTTCCTTTGATGCTCGGTTCTTTCGAGAATCCCATATCTCATCGAGAAACACTGCTTCCAACAGACTTCTTTCCGTCTGATCCTTTTCAAGGAACTAGAGAGGACTTCACTAATATTCCAATATACTGTATTGACTCAGAGTCTGCACATGAAATAGATGATGGAATCTCATTGCATACAGCAGAGGGAAAATATGTTGTGTCAGTTCACATAGCACACCCTACTTCATATATGCGGCCTACATCTATAATAAGCCAAATCGCCCTTTCAAAAGGGTCGACTGTATATTTGCCCGAAGGTCCGACAATGATGCTCCCGAATTTGATATCACAGTTAGCAGGTCTTGGTGTGGATGGATATCCAACCAGAACCTTCGTAATTCAATATGAATTAGACAAGGATGCAATTGACTCCTATATCCTGAGGAAGAATCATAATAAAGATTATAAGCCTGAAGTTTCTTTATCAAAACTGATTGTTAAGCAAATTAAGGAATCGGCAAGGATAAAACTAGGCGTGGCGAAGAAGTTTCCTCAAAACTTCACGTACGCTAAAGTGAATGAGTTATTAAGTGACTCCGAAAATATTTCGAAGTTTAAGCGTCGCTCTGCAGATGAGGATGTAACTAATCTTTTCAAATTGTTTAATATCGCAACTATTCTTAATGATGCAAGAATAATGGTTGGAAATGGATTAGAGATGAATTCTTCTAAGTCTTCAATCGTTGTTGAATATAGTGATACATCAACCGCTGATACAAATGAACAATTTTGTAAAACAGATTCCTCTTATGAAATACGCCTAGATGGTGATAATCCTAAAACTATCAAAATACTCAATAATCAGGATCAGGGCCATGACTCTTTGTCACAGATGTTAGTATCGCATTTTATGATTTTTGCAAATTTCGCAGCTTCAATCTTTGCAAAAACAAATGGGATACCTGTGATCTACAGAAGTCAACAAATGCAGTTAAATAAGACAATAACAGATGAAATTACGAAGTTGTGTAGAGGAATATACCAGAAAGGAACAGATTTATCGGTGGAGCAAGTGAGTCAAATAATATCTGTGTTGACGGGAGCAAAATTGGGAACGGTACTGAAAAAGCATGAATCATTGGGATTAGAGAGTTATGCGACAGTAACTTCACCTTTAAGGCGATTTGTGGATATGGTGAACCATTGGATGTTTGAAGAATACTTGAATAAACAGAAATCTTTCGACGGCTATCAATTGGAATTTATTGCTACTCAATTACAAAGTCATGAAATGATCAATAAAAAGATGCAACTGTTGTCTGATAAATTTTGGGAGGGGATATTTTTAAGGACCTACTGTAAGCTATTGAACGGAGGCAAAGTTAAAGACCCAATCCAATTCAAATTACTTATTAAGAGCAGCCCTAAGTTTGGACCTGTATCGGTAGATGTACTAGGATTCAATAATTTGAGAGCTAAGTTAGAGAATACATCAGACTTTATTGAAGCCTTCAACCTAGGAAAGATCAAAATTGGATCAATATTGGATTCTGACAAATTGAGGATTACCAAAATAGATTTTATCGAAGATGAATTAACCTTCGAGTTTAAACAATGAAGATTCTAATATATTGTAAATAGTTAAAGTGAAAAATGTATATATGTATTCTTACGCATTTCTCGTAATAAATAAAGATTAGACTTGAAGAGAGCTATTGAAGAGTAATGACAGAAGAACACAAAAATGCCATTAACGCTAACATCCAGTCATTCAATGCTGATGTAGCAAACGAGTATGATTTCAGAGAGTCAACCCAATTGTTAAACTTGGTATTTGCAAAAATTCTTCTTGCATACGATGTGAGGAGAAAGGAACGTAAGACTGAAGAAGAAAGCGCACAAGTTATTGAAAAGGAACTAGGTAGTGAATCATCCTCATCAATTGAAAGCATTGTACCAAACCCCACTGTTTATTCCAAAGAGTATCCCAACACTGTTTTTAAACCAGGGATAAAGATGCTTGATTTTGCTTGTGGAACTGGATTGTTTGCCCAAAGATTAGCACCGTACTTTCAGTCTCAAGAGAAAAGTACTGAAATTGAAGGCATTGATATTAATCCCCACTTCTTGAAGAGGTTTGAAGAAAGGGCCAGTTCAAATACAGTTCCAAATGTATCATTGCATGCCTATTTGTATGATATTCTTGATCCTAACATATCGGAAAAGCTTTCCAAGCTTGAGAACAAGTATGATGTTATAACATGCACTATTTCGTACCATCATATCGACAATTACAAAGAGGTAACCAAGAAATTGGTTACTTTTTTGAAGCCAGGAGGATGGATTTTTATCGTTGATTTTTATAATGAAGACGTCGAAAAACCCACAAGTAATCCTCAGAGTGCAGTGCGTCATATGGGTGGCTTAAAGGTATCTACTATGAATGAAACATTAAGAAGTTATTGCGGATTAGAGAACGTATCCAGCGCAAGAGAGACAAGAGTTAGAATCTGGCAGCAAAAATCGTTTATAGAAAACCACTTGCCGAGAAGTACCATAGAAAAGCTTCAAGAAGGCCAGTTGAAGACCAAAAAAGGTAAGGTCGGAGAGGATTTATACCTTGTTGATGTTAGCTTAATTTTAGCGGTCGGTCAAAAGCCATAGTCTCGATGTATAATGTTCTTAGCAATCTCCGACCTTGATATCGTTATCAAAAGTCATGTGACTAAGATTGGACCAACAAAATTGAGGACTCATCTCCAAACCTGGCAACTACTTAAAAACATCCGTATATATCCAAGGGAATCCAGAACCCATATTAATAAAGTCGGCTGATTAGAATATACAGCTGTAATATTTACCTACTTTTTTTATTTTGAATAGATTATCGATAAAAAGCTATTCTTTTTTCTTTTTACTTCTGGATCTAGGGGTGCTGATATAAAATAAAAGATACTTAAATGGCTTCGAGACAGGCGCAGAAAAGGTTGAACAAAGAGTATAAGGCGCTCACGGCGAATCCTCCACCTTTGGTAATGGGTAAACCGAATGAAGAAAACATTCTTGAGTGGCATTATGTGATTACAGGACCTCCGAACACTCCATTTGAAGGTGGGCAATACCATGGAGTCTTGAGATTTCCAAAAGAATATCCTTTTAAGCCGCCATCAATCTCCATGCTGACACCAAATGGAAGATTTGCTTGTAATACAAGGTTATGCCTATCGATATCTGATTATCACCCAGATACTTGGAACCCTGCGTGGAGTGTTTCCACTATCTTAACGGGACTTTTGAGTTTCATGACAGGAGACGAGAGCACTACAGGATCTATAACTACTAGCGACAGCGTAAAGAAAAGACTTGCAAGAGATAGTAAAGAGTGGAACATTACAGAAAACCCCAGATTTAAGAGACAGTTTCCGGAGCTCACAGATCAAAATAAGATAGATGTACGCGAAGCAAAGCTCAAGAAAGAAGCAGAGATGGCTGCAACCCAAAGCCGTGAACCCGAAAAACCCATTAATCTCAAAGACCAAATGGAACTTTTAGACCCGGAAGATAGGGCACGACTTCTCGTTGATGACGAGGCTGAAGGTACAAGTTTCCTGTTGCAGAGATTCACATTGTTTGGGGTTGTTGTAGCAGCCTTCATAGCCGCATATTTCAGTTTTCTTAGACATGGTTGATTTTGACGTTTGTGGCGCTCCTATCCTTCGTCATCCACTAACTAGATTATTAATCACCTAGTAGTATGTAGATAGCTATCATATAACGTGAAAACGAACGTTTATAACAGAATAAACTGGCACATTCCACCTGTTCCACTAAAACCGTGAATAAAGCAATTTTTCTCCCACTTTAATATATCAGTGCTCACTTCATTCCTTATTGAAGCATTTTAGGGCCAAGGAGCCAAGTACAATATGCAGCCAAGTAACTAACTTACCAAGATTAAATACAAGTACTCCCTTAAACGATACTATGACTAGATATCTAATATAAGTAAGTATTCCTTCCAAAGAGTCACAACTTCTCAGATAAGCCTCACTTCTTCATATTTATTTTGATATTTGGCAATTCTTAGAGAGCGGAATTTTACTGCAAGATTTGATGGAACCTTCTATAGGCGAGTATTTCGTGTTTTTATTTTTTTTTCCTGTTTCTTTTTTTAAAGATTCTCGGAGCCATAGTGTTGACATACGATAATTTAACTTAACCGAAGCTAAGACTTCTTATATAAGTCGAAATCAATAGATTTGAGAGTGGCAATAAACTCTTTTTGGTGAAGGGATTCGTTAAATTTAATTTTTTTTTTTTTTGCTCTGGTGGAAGAAGAAATACATCTGATCTGATCAAACAACAATAAGAATTTAAAGCGGACGTGTTCTTTTGTTGAAGTTCCTACCACAGAATCGATATAGGGGGGATAGATAGTCTACACAACTGGGACACCACGTAGATTTTATGGAGACGTTGAATATGAGTAATCATCCGTATCGTCAGAAGGCAACGAACGCTCCATACCCGGTGGACAACAATTCATCTGGGAGTAGTTTCGAAGACAAGCCCTTAGAAGAAGCAGGAAATTTTAACAGCGACAGCAGTCCACGAGTTGACAAGTCAGGGCCATCGACCACGTATCATTCTCCACTAGAAGATTCAGGTCACTTTACAAATAACAATATTGCGGTGAATAACGTTTTAAGAAACGATAATCTTGGAGCACCATATCCACTTTTGCTGTCGGACATAAGATCCCCTAAGTTTATATCAAGAGATTCTGACCTTAGTTCGCCGACATTTAATTCGAGAGAACCAAATGTGGTTTCTCCTTCATCGAATCCTATGTCAGCTGCTTCGTCGGTCACAAATTTAAACCTTAGTCACCCAAGCGTTCAAGACGGAGTGAATAAGTCAGAGGGAAATTCCACAAATCCTAAGAATCCTACCTTAGCTAAGCTTGGTCATAACAGGTCTGTTTCATCGGCATCTTCTTTCTTCTACGAAAAATCAGATAACTCAAGTATAGTAGATTTTAATCAAAATTTAATTCAACAGTACTTGGGTTCAAATGCAACACATCTTTTACCAAGGATTAAAACCATCGAGCTTTATAGAAAAAATGCTAAAAAGTCAAGCGATCCAATGGTTTTATTCCAGTATGCACAGTATATGTTACAAACAGCATTATTATTGGACGCAAATGAGCCAATTGCAACGACTTCATCAACAACTAGTAACGCATCCTCATTGGATTCGCCAAAAAAGACAACGTCCGATAAAGAGAAAAGCCAATCGTCATTATCTTTGGCGACAGAGAAGTTTAAAAAATCACACTTGAAGTCGTTGTCTTCAAATTCTCTTGATGCTTCTACAGATAGCATTGAAGTTTCAGATAAAAGATTAAAACAGTCATTAATCAAAGAAGCTGTTCATTACTTAAGACGTTTATCGGACAAGGGATATATCGATGCTCAATATCTTTTGGCTGATGCTTATAGTTCCGGGGCTTTGGGAAAAGTTGACAATAGGGATGCTTTCGCTTTATTTCTAGCAGCAGCTAAGCACGGTCATGTTGAATCGGCATATAGGACATCATACTGTTATGAAGAAGGTCTCGGAACCGGAAGAGATGCTAGAAAGGCAGTAGAATTTTTAAAAATGGCTGCATCTAAAAATCACCCTGCCGCAATGTATAAGTTAGGAGTATACTCCTTTCACAGCAGAATGGGCTTAACGTCTAATATTACTACTAAGAAAATGGGTATAAAGTGGCTCACTAGAGCATCTAATGTTGCTAATGAGTTAACTGCGGCGGCACCATATGAATTAGGAAAAATATATTTCGATGGTTTCGAAGATATTGTCATTCCCGATAAGAAGTATTCACTTGAGTTGTATTCACAAGCGGCAGCTCTTGGTCATGTCCAAGCAGCGGCCCTCTTAGGGAAATTTTATGAAATTGGGGAAGTTGTGCCCCAAGACTCTAATCTTTCAATTCACTACTACACTCAGGCCGCTCTTGGAGGGGACCCTGATTCAATGTTGGCAATGTGTGCATGGTATCTCGTTGGCAACGACCCATTCTTGCCAAAAGATGATAACGAAGCATTTGAATGGGCAAGGAGAGCTGCTGCCTGTGGGCTACCAAAGGCTCAATATGCGTTGGCAAACTTCTACGACAAAGGAATCGGTTGTTCCAAAGATACTAATGAAGCTCAAGTTTGGTACAAAAAGGCAGCAGAAAATGGTGATGAGAGATCTCTATCAAGAATCAATGATAAAGAATTAGTTTCAGGGTTGCAAAAGAAGCTCAAAAAGAAATCCTTTGGCAATTTTTCTTCACAATCGCTGCCACAACTGTCCAAAACAAAAGCTTCATCCCAAGAGAAAGAGTGTGTAATAATGTGATATGCAGTACCATCTATAGTTCTTCCTCGTGTATTATCGTAGTACCTTTTTCGTGGTATACAACACTATTGTTTGTATCCATACAGGTTCTTGTTTAATATACACAATCGTGCATGATGAGAAATACTGATACTGTAGCCGATTTCATATTGCTTCTTCCGAATGACTGTTCCAATAAGCCTTGTTTCAGCTTGTGCGAGCCTCACGAATCGATGCGCGTAAATAATTGCATCAGCATAAGATCAAAGACGACCAGAACAACAGAAGTAGATATAAGCTCACATCCACCAGTAACTATAGAGTCACTAGTAGCTTATGGTGATCCATTTGATCACTTGTCACTAATTTACGTTGTTTTGTCTTCGGCCGAAGATCCTGTTCAAGAAGGTTTGGCTCTCAAAAAGGTAATTGCTTTGAAATCTCATCTTGATTTTGTCGAAATGCAGGAACCCTAATGGACAGGTGGACCTGGGGATTCGACGCAATTGGGGCTGATATATAAGTAGAACAATCTGTATTATAGACAAATTAATCCCAATTGACAAGAATTACTTCAGAATGTCAGCAAACGATTTTTATTCATCAGGAGATCAAAACAGATACCAAGGATCTGAGCAGCAACAGCAACAGCAGCAACAGCAGCAATACCAGCAACAGCAGCCTCAGCAGCAACAACAAGAAGGCGAGGCTGGTGAAAGAGGTCTTCTTTCTTCAGTTATCGGAGGAGCTGCTGGAGCCTACGGAGGTGATCGTATGTCTGGGGGTCATTCAACCTTAGGTAAAATTGGAGGTGCTCTTGCAGGAGCAGTTGCAGGAAACAAAATAGGAAACTATGTTGAAGGACACAATCAGGGTGGAAATCACAATGGTGGAGGTAGTGGTGGCCTCATGGGCAATCTCTTAGGTAACAACAACAATAACAGAAGAGATGACTATGGAAATGAAGGTAGACATAGTGGTGGGGGTGGTGGTTTCCTTGGAAACCTTATGGGAAATGACGATAGGAGAGACAATTACGGTGGACAAGGTGGCGGAGGCTACGGTGGCGGACGCCATGAAGGCCACGGCGGTGGTAGAAATGATTACGGTGGTGGTAGAAATGATTTTGGAGGAGGAAGAAATGATTTTGGAGGAAGAAACGAAGGCTTTGGTGGAGGTGGCTTCGGAGGAGGTAGAGACAACTTCGGAGGAGGAAGAGATAACTTCGGAGGAGGTAGAAATGAAGGCTGGGGTAATGGAGGAGGCAATGGTGGTTATGGCGGAAACAATGGAGGTGGCCGTTGGTAATTCAATCCTCACTTACTAAATGAAACTTACTGCAAATTATTTTATCATGATATACTTGCTTTTTAATGAAATGAATATACAAGTGTAAATGCAGAAGATGTAGTTATACAGATTTAACAATTAGGCTACTCAACTTTATCGGATCCATTACTCTCTATGTCTCTATCATTATTGTTCAGAACACTGAATTTCGATATGACTCTTGAAGGAGCACCTAAAGTGTTGAATCGCATTTTGGAAGGAGAAGGACTCGGCATATATGGAGGCGCCGAATTGTCATCTAAAGTCGAAGGGGATGAGGTTGAGTCTTCGTTGATTATTTTTGTGCTAGCCTGTTTGTTGAGTAAAGGCAATTTAGATAGCGACTCATGATTCTGATCTCCAAGGTTAACTGATAATCTCCTATTCATAAATGGTTGCCTGTGCTTAATCCTACCAGTCTGGATGCTGTCACTATTTGATTTACCCAAATTTCTAGAAGCATCTTTTACAGGGGGAGAGTTAAGTGATGGGTCAAACTTTAAGTCTAAGTCGTCCTGAAAAACTGCTTTAGTAAGAATGCTGTTTGTAAACGGAGAATCGTCTTCTTGATCGCTTTTTAATAAGGTGTTATTATTCGAAGTGTTGTCATCCATACTGTAATCACTTTCTCCAATTGTAGAATCATTATTGGGAACATCCCATCGAACTTTCTTAGATTGTTTAAGTTTAAAGGGCGAAAGTTTAGGAGCGATAGGCTTTTTAGTGATAGTTTTCTTAAAGTTACGAGGTGGTGATGATCTCAATGGAGATAAGGGACCTCTCTTAGAATCTCTAGCCTTTTGCAATGCAGATGCAGAGTTACCATTGCTGTTACTTGGAATACCATTATGACTATGATTAACACCCCGGAGCTCTTGCTCTAATTTTCTTTGCATGAAGGAAGTAGTATGCTTTTCGATTGCGGCATCATATTCCCCATTAACGATAAGTTCAAGCGATTTCGTTAGTTTATTTATTAACGGTTTCACGTTGTATTTTTCATCTATGTTCTCTTTATCTTTCATTAGAAAGTCACTCAAAAGATCAGCAGAATGTTTTGCCAAATAGCTAAATTCATTAAGCTCACTTACAAGATAGTCAAAAAGTACAGAAGAATTAAAAAGAACTTCTCTTTCCAATGATTGAACAAGCGTAGATACCAACTTTTCAAACACTAAAGTGTGAAATTCTGACCAGCCATCATATTCTTTTAATTTCTTCAAAGTTTGCTGCGAGGATTCATTGAGAATAAAATCAATTTCACTTGGGCTAGAATATTGCTCCTCCAAGTCCTTAATTTGAGAATTAGCCTTTGAAACAATTTGCTCAAGTAGATTCATCATATCCTCTGCTCCGAGAATATTTCTTTTATCTTGTAACCCTTTATAGAGACCACTTAGTAATGTTTCAGACTCAATCTTTTGCATGAGTAATAATTTCCGCTTTGCTAACATAAAAAATTTTCTCCATTTATCCTGGTTTTGCTTTGCCAATGAAGCCTTTATAGATTCAATATTATCTAAAATCAAATTTAGATTTTTTGACTCCACTATCTTTTGTTTATTCAAGGTCAGTTCAATTACTCTCAGCTCTCGTTCTCTTAATTCAGCAATTTCTTGCCTTTGTTCTGTTATCATCTTTAAGTAAGAGCCAACATGACGGTCCAAGTTATGCTGATTTTTAATGAGTTTTGTTTTGATTTCTTTGGCTCTGTCAGCATATTTCAATGTGTTGAGGGTTTCATCGTAATGCTGCGACAGGGCAGAAATACAAACAATCATAACTGTTTTGCAATTCCCTCCCAATGAAAATTTGAGCAACCTTGTTAATTTAGAGTCCCTATAGGGTATATGATTCCTTCTTCTGGGATCACATAATGCATTTATACAATTTCCTAGCGCAAGTAATGATTTGTTGATATTAGCACCTTCGTTGAGCCTTGCTCCCCTATTTTTCGTTGCAGCAGCACGCTCACTTCCAGCTAAATCTATGATTGATAAAGTTGCAAATGTAGTTGTTTCAGTAACATCAGCAGTTCTGTTCTTTTGAGTGACATTTATTTGCAATACTGCATGAGATCTAGATGAAGTTGCATTCGCTTCGGTGGGTGAGCAGGTTCTATTCTGGTTTCCTTGAAGTATCAATTCCATGACCTCTTCAACCGATTGTGGGCTCCGAGACAGAAGATTAGAAACTGATATATGATTCTTGGAGTCTTCTCTGAGCACAAGCTTCTTGAACTCTGTCTCTGGTTTTAATAAATCACGTATGGTCTCATTGTATATTTCCAAAAAAGATAAACTAACGTCAATAGATTTAGTATCTCTCAATTCTTCAATACGCTCGTAAAGCTCTTTCATCGTTAAAAATATAACACCAGGACTAGCAGGTGTCCCCAGAATTGTATGAGTCTTTCCACAACCCGTAGCACCGTAAGCAAAGACAGTAGCATTGAATCCTTCGAGAACACAATCTAACAAGGGCCTTGTAGTATCACGATATACATCTTCTTGAGATGCTTGAACATCGAAAAGCTTGTCAAATACAAAACGATGTTCCCTTATCCTAGCGGTTGGTTTGGTGTTGGGAAATGCATTCCTTTGCATCTTTGTAAGCGGATTGGTTTCCAGTGGATCAAATATAAGCATCTTATCATCAACAACGTCAATAATCTTTCGTATACCCTTGGGCATCATGATGGATTTCTTATAATGCGTATTTGACGTTGTATTTACACTGAAAGATCCGCCTCCTAAGAACAATGCATCTTCTTCGTTGACTATCAATTTGCTCTCTTCTTCTGTTGTGAAAGGTCTCACCCTAACGGCCACTGTGATAGACGACTTCTTGCTCTCACCATTCTTTGAGCCCACTTTGTCTGTATTCACTCGACCTATGTTCGCTTCATTCGCAATAGTCCTTTCCATAGGTGTACTTGTGGTCATGGTAGACATCATCTCAGTCTCTAATGCGAATATTTGCCCGCCAGAATGGCTTTCCATGCCCGCTTTTTGGCCAAAGAGTCTTTCAAATACAAATTAAATACACTCTTGTGGCCAGTATATCACTATCCGCTTACTATTTTGGCAATTACCTCTAGGCGTCTATTATCTTACTACAGATCGACTTTTTATCTTAAATATAAACAAAAGCAAGAGCGCGATAAACACCAAAAAGACCGTTTATTATATACAGACCAACTTTACTTGGGTGTTTTCTTCTCAAAAACGTTATAGTAGGCTGCTATAAAGAAGTGGAATCGTATAGATAATAATATAGACATCTTAACTTGAGTGAATATGCCTAGTCTACAAGAAGGAGCATCTACAACATCATCTTCAATCAGCTTGATTAAGACCATAATTGGAGCTGGTATGTTGTCAATGCCTTTGGCGTATTCTACTGATGGAATAATATTTGGTACATTTATAATACTATTGGCGGCCGCAACATCAGGATTTGGGTTGTTTTTACAGGCTTATACTGCTGCTTATGTCCCCAAGGGAAATGCGTCCTTTTTCAACTTATGTTGCATTACTTACCCACTTTTATCAGTTTTGTTCGATATCGCTATTGCTATACAGTGCTTTGGATGTGCTATTTCATATCTAGTGCTCGTTGGTGACATAATGACCAAAATAGTGAAGGATGTACCATTTATACCGGAATCTAGTTACAAAATTTTCTGGACACTCTCATCAGCTGTGTTATGTGTTCCACTTTCGTTCATGAAGAATTTAGACTCCCTCAGATACACTTCGATACTTGGATTGATTGCGATTGGATATGTTCTGATGCTCACCGTAGGTCATTTCATTGCTGGAGATATACAAAGGGACGATAAAAGTAAATTGGCATTGTTTCCTCCAAATGCAACAGGTGTTTTCAGCACAATTTCCATTATTGTTCTAGCATTTACAGGACATCAGAACATGTTCTCAATTATAAATGAGGCTAAGGACAAGACGTTGATAAGTTTGACAAAGCTTATAGTACTTGCAATTGCAGTTTCCTCAGGCTTGTTCATTATCGTAGGACTATCAGGTTATTTGACTTTCGGTGATCATGTCAACGCCAATATCGTCTTGCTGTATCCCAATTCATTCACAGCAACTTTAGGTAGATTGGCAATCATTTTTATGGTGATATTTTCGTTTCCTTTGATGCTTCATCCTGCCAGAATATCTGTGAATAATATTGTTTTTTGGTGCAGAACACAGCTTCAAAGAAAGCTTTATCAAGAGCCAGAGAGAGCACCATTAACCCAGGAAAGCGATATAGAGCAAAATAACGAACACCATCAGAAAGTGGCATATGTAATCCCGCTCTCTGAACGGTCCTTCAATGTTATTACTATATCTTTATTGTTCTTAGGATACTTTTTAGCAATCACGGTCAAGTCATTTGCTTTCATATTAGCGATTGTGGGTGCGACTGGGTCCACATCTATTTCGTTCACCTTACCAGGTCTTTTTGGATACAAATTAATTGGATCTGAGCTGACGGAATTATCAACATTAGAAAGTACATTTAAATATCTCTCTTTGTTTTTGGTTATATGGGGACTTGTGGTTATGATGACTTGTCTCTACGCTTCGCTATTTTTATCTTGAATCTTACAGCTACTATAACGTATACCAGTATATTTTTATATTGAGATCGAAGGAAGAAGCAATTCACTCTGAAATGGTTTTTGAAAGTGAAAGTCGCTCATATCACCACATTTAGCCAATACTATACAATGCCATAAAATATGTTTTCACATGCAATTTGCATTTGTTACTTTCTTATCTATTTATCATCTTTCGAATCTTCTATGTCTGTATCATCATCATCGCTTCTAACATCTTCTGCTCCCTTACCCGTGACAACTTTATATGCGACTTTTAAGATTAAATACATCCACACCAATGTTATAACCTGTAACCCTCCCAATAAGAACAAGAAGGAATTAATTATAGCTTGGGTCCAACATCTCTTTTGGACCTTACCAGGAACGCATTTCATATCTCCCATAAGAATTTCCGATTTACTCCAAGTATGATATAATAAGTAATTGTAAAGACCATGTCTTAATACGATCCATGATACTAAAAATAAGACAAACATCGAGTCGCACAATCTCCTGTAATTTGCATAGTTCAACATCTTTGCTGCAGCCAAAAAGATGTCGACAGAATCCATGATCATCAAAATAAGATGACCAATACGATTGTAATAATAATAATACGAACCCACAATTAATAAACAAGTAATTATGTGGTGGCTGAACATCTGATAATGATCTTTACGCTTATTTTCAACATTCAACACAAAAATTTGTTGAATCCAGAATGCCATTGAAATAAGGTAGTACATTTTGAATAAAGCGCTCATTTCAAAATGAGGCCAACCAATGTAGATTCGATCAAAATTGAGAAAATAGTCAGATTTGCAGTATAAGTAAACTCCAAAGATAAACGAGAATGTATAATAAACAAAAGACCAACTTTGCTCGGCGAATCTGACTTTAGCCTTTCTAGATCTTATATTACACGCATGCATCGCAAACGGCCCAAAAATAGATTGCATTAGAAAAGATCTCAAAAACGTAAGCATGATGACCCAGTATAACACATAATACGCGTCATGAATCCCAATATCATATAAGGGGTTTCCATTAAAATCAGTCCCAATTTTATATTGTAAATGGATAAACTTAGACGTGTAAGGTAGCACCATAGGTATAAAATTATGAACCAAATAGAGCCCTAACAAGAGCGATCTCGATATGAAGATTTGATTCCGTTCCACTCGTGCCAAAAATGACTGCTGATATTTACTATCACTATCTGACAGCGACCGTTGGGCATTTGATTTAGCTGTGGTATTTTCGGACTCTACTGACATGTTTTAAAGCGAACGTTTCTTTTAACCTATCAAATCCAAATAACTACTAATTCACTGCGAACGATCCCTCTAAGAACCCAAATACCTCAATATTTTGCTGAGTTTTGTTAATTCATCGAAGTATCTTCTTTAATGACAGATTGTTTTTTTTGTAATTTTTTTTTTTCACCTATAGAAAGGATACCACGTGAAAATCAACAAAATATTGGGGGAGCACTATCAAGCTGGTGACGAGCACAATAGAAATCAGATTTCCGTAAAAGAAGTATACCATGTGACGAAATCAACGGTAGAATAAACAGATAATCCTGAGTTACAGCCTATTTAATAACATGTTTTGTAAAGCCTTTTTCACAGAGTTTTCATTGTAGCGACTCCAGGCAACATATAGAGATACAAGATCTTGAACAGCTTCTACCACCTCATCTAAATTAACATGGGAATGATCGAGAAAATTCATGAAGTTTGTGACTTTAGTTGCATTATCATTGAGCTTTTGATCGACCGTTCCCAAAGAATTCGACTGTTTGTCATTGAAAAGGCCATTATTTGCAGTGGGATTTGCTTCCAACGCCATAAGATCATCCATATGCATTGTCGTTGACGAGTGTCTTCGAGACATACTGTCAGAACCATTATCGTCGATGGACAATATATCGGAGACCAATGCGCCATTCTCCTTGCTGCTAATAGAAGCGAGACTCTTTTTTAGCACGATAGTAATATAAATTGCAGCGACGGCAATTATATGAGGAGGGAATATAAGATGGAGATCAGTGATGTAGCTATCATTTATGAAAGACCACGAATTTTGAAGCTCATCTTCTGATAACGTAAACCCGTAAGTAGATTGATTATCAAGTAAAAAATCCCTGATTTGTAGTAACGATCTGTAAGGATGGTGCAATATTAGAAACAGGTCCATCTCTTCGATAAGATAGAATTCAAACTCTGCTAACTTTGTCACGTCATGTGGGATATACTCCGGCCATAGATTTCTTGCTTCTGACACTATGAGTCGTATATGTTGAGGGCACTCTTCGATTTTACATGCAATGTAAAGACAGGAAGCAACTAGCAAGTAGATGTTTATCTCTTTCAACAGGACTCGAGTTAAAAATCTACTCATATATATCTCTGCCGAAGCTAATGCGATTTGTCTGATATTCAACCTTCGTCCAAATTTGACAAGTACTACTTTCTGTTAGTAAAACATACTTCAAGTATGATAGTGTTTTTTAGGTCACTTACGATTATGGAGATATATTCTCATGCTGTAGTCATAAACTATATTTGGGTAGTCTTTAATGAGTCCATTTTGAATCATTTTCTTCTCAAGTAACAGGACTCGCCTTCTTGCTTCAAGCAACGAAACTTTACTGAATTGCCATTTCGTTCTCTGAGATGAGTTCCAAAAATCCGCTGACATATTGATTCGATTCTCTAGGAGTAATGTTTAAAGTTTTCTTTGTTTTTGGTCTCTTATAAGTTTAATAGTCATAAAGAGATGATCATTGATATGTCAAGTTCTCGAAATTATGCAGCGCAATAGATAGGAGAATAAATGAGAGCCAATAATTACATAGATATGCCAAGTATCAGGAATTGATGAAAATCTATTGATATTAGCTAATAAAAGAGACTTGTAGATTTATAGCTAGAAGAATGTATTATATATAAGTAGGTATTATCATTGAAATACGATATGGTTTAGTTGAAATGGCTCGCGATGGGATCCTGATCAACCAACATGGCTGATTAGAAGATTGGTCTCAGAGGGCAATTATACAGGGAGATTAGAGGAAATGAGGTAGAAAGAGCTCTTGGGTCTATTCATAGAGTTTAAGTTTAAAGTGGAGAGCTCCTCTTTCGACATTGTAATAGAAGGTGCAAATAAAAAGCGAGCAAGAAGACAAATCGTTTCACATCTCACCACACTCACTGATAACCACAGGGACCACCGGCTCATCCTGACTATTAACACGGCATTTTTCTATCTGATCCACTATATCGAAACCCTCGATTACTTTCCCAAAAACCACATGTTTTCCATCCAAGTGCCTACTCTCTCTGCAACAGATAAAAAACTGGCATCCATTAGTATTGGGACCCGAATTAGCCATTGAGACAGAATAACGAGTATCTGCGTTTTGTTAGTCTAACTCTTAATCTTAATTGAATTCTTTTCATACTCACGGTCATAAATGAAGCCTTCGTCAGCAAAACTATCGCTACCGAATATTGTCTTCGAGCCTGTGCCATTGCCTCTTACAAAGTCACCTCCTTGGATCATAAAACGTTTAATGATACGGTGAAACTTGCTGTTCTTGTAACCTATTGGTCTTCCATCTTCTTTGTATTCTCCGACGCAAAACTGCCTGAAGTTTTCAGCAGTTCTAATCTGTTAGTATTGGTAGCCTTAATCGATGGAGGAATATTCTATTACATACTTTGGCAATTGATCAGCAAAAAGCTCGATCTTTATTCGCCCTGCAAGCTTATCTACCCATTGAGTTAGTCATGTTCTTTTACTATGAAAGTTTGGTCATTATGTGGGGTTGACTTTTAAATATACATACTGCCAATGGATACCTTAGAGAGTTAGCTATCTGTTTGGATACACGAATTTGATCGGACTCATACTCACATCAAGGAATACTACAGGGTTTGTCATTGAAATACTCTGCTTTCTTGCTCTTTGTACAAAATTAGTTCTCGGAGCTTAGTGTCATCAGCTGGGGCCGAAATAGACTTCGCATCATCGTATAAACTTTCCTAAGGAAGATTTGCTATAGGAAGCAAGAAGAATACACGAAAAATGACGCCAAATAACGTTGCAATGTCGCCACGGAAGAAGTCCTTTGGAACATCCCATCCCGATGCGGACACAGCAATAGACAGAAGTATCCCAGACTTCCCAATTGCCCAAGAATCTGATGAAGATTATTACTTTAATTCTCATAAACCACCATCGTATTTACCAGAGTTAGAGAACGAAGTTGAAGATTTCATTGACTATCATCTAAATACCACGGGAAAAAGAGTTGTATTGGTTACTTCGGGAGGAACTACCGTACCCTTAGAAAACAATACAGTTAGATTTATCGACAATTTCAGTGCCGGTACTAGAGGTGCTACTTCAGCGGAATACTTCTTGGAGAATGATTATGCTGTTATATTTTTGCATAGGGAATTTTCACTTTTGCCTTACTCTCGTCACTATAGTCACACTACTAATTGTTTTTTGGACTACATGACAGAAAGAGACAATAAGGTAGAGATTAATCCTGAATTTGCAGATGAGATGCTCTTACTCTTCAGAAAATACAAAAGGGCCAAAGAATCAAGATCACTTTTGTTGACTCCGTTTACGACCGTGAACCAATATTTGTATACTTTGAGACTGATATCCGAATTATTGCAAAAAATGGAATCGAGGGCCTTGTTTTATTTAGCTGCTGCTGTCTCAGACTTTTTCTTACCACAATCGAGGATGCCCCAGCACAAGATCCAATCACAGGCTAGTGGGAAGCTTATAGTTGACTTAGAGCAAGTTCCAAAATTCTTGAGAAGGCTAGTTGATAGCTGGGCACCGTCTGCTATGATTGTTTCTTTCAAATTGGAGACCGATATATCTATCTTGATAAAAAAATCTAGGAGTGCATTAGAAAGGTACCAACATCAATTAGTCATTGGTAATTTATTGCAAACAAGAAAAAAAGAAGTCGTATTTGTCACCCCTGAAGGTCCTGAGACTTGGATCAAATTGACAGACAAGGAACAGGATGATGATGTTGAAATTGAAAGTTTGATTATACCCAAGGTTATAAAGTTACATTCAGGATGGATCGAGCAGCATTTAAAGGGCAAAGCTGCATAGATTGAAAGCTTAAATTAGTAATAAATTAATGCATGAGTCTATTTACAAGAATGTCAACCCAATACCGTACTGTAGACCTTTTCTGATACCGTCTCTTTCATGGATGGCAATTGGGAGAACGAAATTCAACTCGAATCTTGCCATTGGATGATTATAGAGAATACCAAATCCGCACCCAACCGAGTGTTCGGACGTAAGCTGCCTTACGAGCTCGAATGCTGTTTTTGATTTGTCGTACAGTATCAACTTTCCGTAGTTAATAAAACTGTGCAACTTGAAATTGGAGTCTTCGCTAACTCTAGGGAATTTTGATACTAATGATATCCCGCCTTTAAGAAAAACGTCGCCTCCAACAGAGGAACCGTACTGTTTTGGTCCAATTCCGTTCAACAAGAACGATCTTACATCATTAGGTCCACCAACATAAAATCTATCAAGCACATATGATTGGCCGTTAAAAGGAAGTAAAAGACCAGATTTATTGGTTAATATAAATGAGTGATGTTTGTTCAATTTCATAGTATTTTGAGATTCCAAGACAACTTTCATGAAAGGTGATTTGTTGAACTTGAACCAACCATTATATTCTAAGCCCAATCTATAAAGAGATCCATTCAGTGGCAAATGTTGATTGTCACGACTGTCAAACTTCCAGTTATAAATTAAAGATGACTTGATATTAGATCCTGCTTGGCTCAAAACGTCGGTAGATCTTGAGTTCATATTTCTGAGTATCTTCCAGCAATTTTCGAATACTAATTCATGATTAACAGGGCTATCAAATTGAGTATAGAGTTTTGTAGAAATCCCCTTAACATTTGCTTCTGATTGTAAATGGTCCATTTTTCTCGTATTCATGAATGCTGAGTTTTCAAAGATGTAATTGGCATTGTTTAATATGGGTTGGTTATAGTTCACCAAATATGAAGACTGTGTTTTTGTTCCCGTGATAGCATCGAAGATCAAGTTTTCAGCTCCTCCAAAAAGATTTTTGAATTGAAATTGAATGTATCCGTCTCCTTCTCCATTACCAATATTTGTTCCAGTCTTTGCATAAAACTTTTTTGAAGGTATGATGTTAAATACTGGAACCAAGTCAATAGACGTAGGATCTCTAGAACCAAAAAGACCTTTGGGTAAGCTGTTTAGCGAAACAACCATATTTTCAACCAAATTTAATTTAGTGAAATTTCTAGATACCGACTCGATGTTGGTTAAGAATTCCTCTAGAGTAGTCAATCTCAGTCCCAACAATGGATTTAATTGAGAGGATACAAATCCATCTCTAAAGCCTTGTGAATTTGTCACCTGTGCGTTTTTTATATTTACCGGAGTTGATCTCAGTGCCTTGAACAAATCTTCAAGATACATCCTATTACGCTCAGTCATTTTCTCCAGTTTTTCATTTAAAATTTTCTCGAACTCCTTCTCTTCCTTCGACTTGGGAATATCTCCCTTGGGGAGCCTATCCATGAACAGCTCCTCATGTTCCAAGGACATCTTTGAAACCTTTTTCCAATTGAACAGTTGGTGATTGTATTTTATTAAGCTGCTGAAAACTCTACTTTTTGGAGCAAACATGCAGGACAAAAGAGATCTACATCGGAATATCAAGTTTTCCCATATTAAGTCTATACAATCCGCCATTATAATACAGATACAAAATTACATAAGACGATACTTTTTGGAACTTAAACCCTTGAAGGTCATTTCAGATGAAAAATTGTTCCAATCAAATTGAGTAAATATTTATCAATCGGGAGGAGAAATTGCAACCAGAGGCACAGACGTTAAACTAACTGATGACTCCATTAATGCACTTCTGGGACTCAAATATTCGTTGTTTGAGTTCTCACTTTGACTTGTTGAAGGGATTCTCGGCAGAGAAGGGTCATTTGTCTTATCTTTCTCATCCTCCTCAACTAATAAACGTATACATTCTTTGCCAGCTTCGGTTTGAAAATGCCTCCTTAAAGCATCAGCCCTAGCAAATTTCCGGCCACAGCCATATGGCGTACCATCTTTTAAAAATCCTTTACACTGGAACTTCTTTTCGCCAGTATGTAAATCCTCATGTCGCTTTCTATCATGTTGCCTAGCAAACGCTTTTCCACAAACATTACATATGAACGGCCTTTCATCGGTATGAGTCCGTAAGTGAGACTTCAAGTTGTAAGGCCTGGTGAATCGTTTATCACATAAATGACATGCATAAACTGAAGGATGCTTTTGGGTTCTTTTGGAAGATTGATTTGGAGACGCTAATTCGAGCATTTTTTCTCTAGACGATACTTTTGGAAGTGCATCGTCGTCACTGTCCTCTTCACTCCTGCTCGGTGATTTTGAAGCTGATCTCGATCTTGATCTTGAATGCTGTCTATTTGAATGACTTCTTCTTCTCCCCCTCCTCATTCTCTGGAGTTCATCAGGATTAAGTAATGCATGATCATTGTACAGTTCAGATACAGCCGAACCTGGACTTGAATAATTATGTTGGGAATTAGGCGCGAGTGAATTTGAAGCTGCCTGATTTCTTGCTAGATGGTCATTACCTAGATGCATTGAATTACGTGCTGACGAGTTTGCTGAAGAGTTGCTGAATAACGAGGGAGCCTTAGCAGCAATTTCTTCAGGGGTCTGTATGGATATTGTCACTTCTTTTTGCTGTTCCTGAATGGCATTGTTGTAACTTATTAAGTTATTTTCAGTTAGTCTATTAGAATTGTCAAACCGATCGAATTCTGCAGCACTTAGTACGCTAGGACCTAGGCCTTGATTCATTGATTGTCGATCATTGTACTGTTGAGGAACCTGAGAACGCTGCTGATCTTGCACAAAAAACTTATTTAAATTTGTATTTGATATTGAGCTTCCCAAAGCTAGTTCGTTGTCAAAATTATTGAACATATTGGTTTCTGGATCTAAATATTGACCGGGCAAGGGGTTGTTGTTTCCTACGTTTGAATAGTTGCCACTGAAATGAGACATGGCATCCAAAAATGGACTGCTAGGGTGCAGTGAGGTGTCAGAATATAAGGAATGGCTCGAAAGAACGCTAGGCGACTTCGGGTCCAAAAGTTGCAGCTGGTCGTAAGATTGAGGTGACAAATTGTCACCATTAAAGTTCATATTAGGTGTTAACAATTCTGAGGAGTTCCCATTAGCGGAGTCCAATTGTCTCAAGTTGGAGCTGTTCAATGATGGCCAGTTTGCTCCACTCGACTGACCATAACGAGCGATTCCATCGACTCCTACTTCGTCGACTTTAATATTCGGATTATCATTAGTAAAATCTTGCTCATAGTTATATACACCTCCCATGACCCCAGGATTAGCCAATCCATAAGATGGAGTATTCATAGAATTTCCTATCCCATTAGGACCACTGTCTACTGCTCCACTAGACTTCCACTGAGGCAGGTCATTGAACATGTCATATAACTCCTCATCTTCCCCCATATTTCTTTGCATAGAAGACATCTGGATAATCAGATGTCTTGTTTTTGTATTAACCCCTAGTACAGTTGTATCGATTGAATATTATGTCTTTATCCCACCGACCCAGTTTCAACAACTAAGAGCTGTAATATATCTCGTGGGCAGGTCTGTATTTATTTAGCTATTGCTGACCGCAAGTTTATCTGACCGATTACCGTCAACAGGTACTATACTTATGTTGTTTATAAAAAATACTTCTAGTCGCTATGTTTTCTCAAATAATTATAGCTTATTGTGTGCTACAATCAACCTTTCTAACCGGATGTACGAACGATTAAATATAATCTATCAAAAATTCGTATAACCGCCGCTTGGTATTCCAATCGTTCTCCGGATAAATATAACAACACGCTCAAACTATATTCAGTAGATGTCTGACTTCTTAGCTATTGAAAAAAAAAAAAAGAAAAGAAACGGTCTATATTCTATTATGTAAATAACTCATTTGAAATTCGACTCCAACGTCGAACATTTGATGGAGATCCTAACAAATATAAAGACAATAGGCCCCAAATGTTCGAAAACCCAAGCGAATGTAGTCACAATATTCTACCATACAATATAGGCATAGGTAAGAACGTTAATGGGTAAAGTAACTCTAGCTATTTGAGATTATAAGGGTAATGAAGATGTAGGATGTAGATTGCTACTTTAGATAAATGTCTGGGGACATGCCGGGGAACAAATGGGGAACGAACTGGAGAGACGCTGAGTACACGAGAGAGTTGAAGATATATGCTACGCTTGTGGAGAGCACTAGTAGATATTCATCCGGTGTAATTAATCTTTATAGAAGAGCTGTGCGCTCGCTATGTAATTCTCGCAAAAGCTATAGAGAAACGATCCTAAAGTCATGGTAATACCACTAGCAGGTACATGGTTAAGAATCTAGACCAAATGTGTATCAGTAGACTTAAAGGCATCACTCGACCTAATAGCTGCCGTATGATCTATGTCAACAAGGCTTTAGACTAATACGGGAGCCGTACAGATTATGATGGCTGAGTAAAGTTCACCGGAAAAGTCACGCTAGATTAGCTATTGATTATTCTAGAATACGACGCAGATGTTATTCGAGGAGACAATTTGGCTACCATAGGCATAGGGTCCTATATTGCTATATCGAGTACAATATGCCAAACATCGGGAGCGTAGGTCTTTACCTTTTCTATATGTTCAAGATGAAAACCGGGGAAGCTTCGCCTGGCTCGATCTTTGACTGAATCAAAATCATCTACGTGAGCATTTTCATGAATATGTATAATCAACGACTTCAGAGTCGAGATAACTTGACTGATCGAGCGAGATGTAGCCCAAGACTGTTCTGAAGATGGTAATAAACCTAAGTTTATATGACTAATTGGAATATTAAGCTGCGAAAGTCTTAATAATGCGTTCTCATTACTTTCTTGAAAGAGAAAAGCCTTTATACCCAGTTGAACCGATTCAGAGAAAATAGATGCATTGAAAACGTCCTCTGGTTTTACGACTAAGTATTTGTATCCATTGTGTTTCAAACCTCTGGATAGACCTTCGATTGACCAGGGGTTTATCTCCCAGCAGAAAACGGTTGCGCCATTTGCCAAATAAGAGAGAGTAAAGTAGCCTATGCCGGCATACATATCCACAACGTATTGGCCCTGTAAGCACTTGAAATTGTCTAGTATACGCTTTTTCTCTTTAATGTTTCCCCTAGAAAACATTGTGTACCTGGGGGCCCATGTCTGGTAAATGCCATTCTGTATGACACTGCACCAAAACGCATCATTAAAGTCTTGCTGCGTAGGCTCTTCGAAAGTAGGCTCAGGTCCGAAGTCACCGGAAAAAGGTATTATATGCATAGGTCTTCTCATCACATCCGTTTCCGCTATGGGCATATTAATTGCAATGTGAGTGATTCCTGATGGGAAACAGTGGGAAAGTATGGTACAACAAAAGTCCTGTTTGTCTATTCCCATATTGAATTGCTCCGCCCATAAGCTTGAATCAAATGTTCCAGGATTGAGCAAGACTACAGGTGGATATATACTCCATTTTTTAGGCACATATGTCAATAATTGGTTGATTCGATCTTCTGCTACATTCCTCTCAGCCAAATAGCTTCTAGTTATCGTAGTTAAACTAGACTCATTGGCCAGATCATCGCTTGAATAGAAAACAAGGTCAAATTCATCCTCACTACCTAAAATAGATTCCAAAGCAGCGTATTCTGTCAGCGTAGAGAAGACATATGTCAAACTGCCCGTTTTTCTTATCTTTCTATTACGATTTAGTAATTTTTCACGTTCAAGGAGAGTTTTGATACGCTTTATTTTGGATGAGTCTGAAACCACCACGGCCACGTATGTCCTTGCCATTAGCTATCAGCCCTGAACTGCCCTTATTACCTTTTTATCCCTCAATAGAATCTTTTAACTGTTAGTCTTTTATTTAAGATGATTATTACATAATCTGAAAAATCTCGTGTAAAATCCACTCATATGAACGTCGAGAAGATCGATCTAAGACTCAACATTTTTCTTAACCAAAACAAGATAATCGAAGGACTATTCCACGATTTAGGGATAAAACAACCAGAAAAACTCATTTGGGAACGAGTAATATCGTAATTGAATGCTGGTAATATCTCATTCTTTTTTTTTTTGTTTCTGTTTTATTAGAGATTTGATATAGAGTTTTTCAGCCATTAAGGACTTATCATAATATCCTCCAGGCATTCAATTATTTTTTTTGTTGTCCTTTTTTTGTTTCATCAATTGTCACTAGTGAATCCGCTGGAGCCATATAGGGAAGGTCCGTGAATCAATCACTTTGGTAGAAGCATATTATTTTGATCGGGATTTTCAGCGAATTAAATCTCCTAAAATGACCGAAGGAGATAACAAAGTCGCCGAGGAGATATCAAATGAACCTCAGGTGACACCAGAGGCTCAGGTCCCTGAACAGACAGATGAGCCTATTGAACAGGCAACAGGAGAGCCATCCGTATTACAGTCGACACAATCTCCAACACATCACGACAGTGCGCCGGCTAGTGCAGTGGAGGGTGGCCGAGAAGTTTCGAAAAAAATATTATATGTTGGTGGGTTGCATAAATCAGTTTCTGATGAAGCATTGAAGGACTTGTTTTCACAATCTGGTAATATCCAGTCAGTGAAGATATTGAATGACAAAAATAGACCAGGATTCAATTATGCATTTGTCGAATTCGACAATACTCATTCTGCTGAGGCTGCTTTGAGATCACTCAATGGAAGAATCGTTAACAATTCCGAAATAAGAATCAATTGGGCTTATCAGTCGTCGAATATCAACTCAGAGAACCCAGATGAACCAATATTCAATATTTTTGTTGGGGATTTATCCCCTGAAGTGGACGATGAAACTCTAACGAAAGCATTTTCAAAGTTCAAGTCTTTGAAACAGGCACATGTAATGTGGGACATGCAAACCTCCAGGTCTAGGGGTTACGGGTTTGTGAGCTTTAGGGACCAAGCCGATGCAGAATTGGCTCTCCAAACCATGAATAGAGAATGGATAAGCGGGAGAGCAATTAAATGCAATTGGGCATCTCATAAGCACATGAACGACAACAACAACCCTAACCACTACAGAAATAACATTCGCCATAACCGTCAGTATAGGCCATTCAATAACATGATGCTCGCCCCTCAGCAAATAGGTGCTCAGAATAATGGCATGCCTAACCAATTTGCTCCTCAACAACAACCAAATATGCCTCATGGTGTAGCTCAGCAAGTGGGTGTTGGGGGTAATATGCCAATTGGTGGAGGAAACAACGGAGTACAAAATAACATGTCTCTTATGTCGCCTCAATCTTATGATATTGTTTTGAGACAAACTCCATCGTGGCAAACGACTGTCTATTTAGGAAATATTGCACATTTCACCCAGCAGTCCGACTTGATCCCATTATTACAAAATTTTGGATTCATAGTTGATTTTAAGTTCCATCCAGATAGAGGTTGTGCCTTTGTTAAGTTTGATTCCCATGAACGAGCTGCATTGGCTATTGTACAGTTAGCTGGTTTCACCATTAACGGTAGACCACTAAAATGTGGTTGGGGAAAAGATAGGCCACCTATGGGGCAATATCAGAATTTCCCCAGGGGCGTGCCTCCTTCGATGTATGGACAGAGACCTTAATTGCTCTACAACTACAATCAATCAATACTTGAAAAAAAAAATACTTTTTTTTTTTTGCTTTCTCTCTCTATTTTACCTTCAACAGTTCCATCTTGTCTGATCAAGATTTCTTTTCATCTTCAGCTTAACTCTAGCCATAAAGCTCGACATCTAAATATCTATATAGACTTCTGATGAATAAAAGCTCACTGTTTCTAAGGTTCTTGTTCCATTAGCATTCTATTATATTGGAACACAAAAAGGGTATAGATTTTTTAATGATACTGGAACATGAAAAAAATACAGGCGAATCGAATTTTTTTTTATTATATGAATGGAATATTCGATCCTAGAAGGTAAAATTTGCATACCAAGTCTAAAAGGGAGTTAAACTAGCAGAAAGGTATAATAAAGTCAAGTATTTACGTTTTAAGAGAAATAACGTAGAGGTCATCTTTATGTTACAGCAGTTCCCAAAAGCATTTGCATATCTAGGTTTATTTTTGACGTTAGTTTTCCCATTATTAATTAAAGTTTTCACCAGCGAATTGATTTCTGATTTCAATTCTAAGCATATCCTTGTTGTCAAGTTTAACGTATTGTCTAAAATTTGGAATTCCAACCCACTCGCTCTCACGGCTACTTCATCGGCAATAGCTTTTACTTTACTACTCATATACGTCAAGAGAGAGTCAATTTCACTTCCAGATATACTTAAAAGGGCAGCTATATACATGAATTCAGGGTTCAACTTTGGATCGGCAGCAGGTAGATCAAGGTTTGGGTCCATGAGAAATTCAAAGGAACAAAAGTTTGCAATTAAGAACGGTGGAGAACCGGGAGGAATAAGCAATGATGGAAATACTTGTTTTATGAACTCCGTTCTTCAATCTTTGGCATCTTCGAGATACTTATTGAAGTTTATTGATTCTTACTTATACTCAGAAATAACTATAGACGAGCAAGATGGAAAGCCAATTAAAATGAGATCCAACACACCAAAACCTGAGTTAGTTTTTACTACATCATTAAAGACATTATTGGATAACATTAATGGAAGTTATGGGGCAAAAGGAAAGGAGTTTAGTACCAAACCTTTGTTGAATAGAATGCCCAATGGCCCAAAGCAAAACTTCTTTACTGGTTATAATCAAGAGGATGCCCAAGAATTTTACCAAGTGGTTATGGGTCTTTTAGAAAGTGAATTTAAGAAGGTAAACAAGACCAACGAATCGATCAACAAAGACGAAAAAAGTGGCGAAATAACTAAATTTGTGGACTCTACTGACAATTTAATTTCAGGTTGTGAAAAAATAGGAAGGCTAGGTGAAGTCTGTGTTCCTGCTTCACAAGTGGACCCGAATTTGGTAGATTGTGATCATAAGGTCTTGCCATTAAAATTGGTGACTCCTGTTGACGGCATATCAGCAGAGAGAATAGGATGTCTCTCTTGTGGTGAGGTTGGAGGAATAAGATATTCCGTGAATAGTGGCTTGAGTTTGAATTTGCCTTATAGATCGTCATACTATTCAAGTTTTAATCTAGAGGGCTTACTAGATGAATGGATTGCGCCTGAAATAATCGAGGACGTTAATTGTAATAGATGTGGATTAGTACAAACAAAGGAATTCTTGACTAAACAATTAGAGTCTTCTACAAATGTGAAAATTTCCAACCAACTTGAAGATAGAATCAAAACAATTGACCATGAATTAGAGAAGCCACATATCACGGATGAAGTATTTGAAAAGGCAACTATAAAGCAAATGATAAGGAAAACAAAGAAATCTAAGCAAATTTACCTTAGCAGACCTCCGCCCTTACTCTCAATTCATATAAATAGGTCAGTGTTTGATCCGAACACTTACAGGATTGCCAAAAATGCAAGTAATGTGACTTTACCTGCTGTTCTTGACTTGAGCCCATATACGGTCGAACCTAAGGACGTAAACATGGACGCCAGATTATCGTTTAGAAAACAAGACGTAAGAAACATAAGAGCTTCAGTAAATGGTAAATTGAGCAAATCTGAATCGGCCTATTCGTCTTCTTCGTCTTCTTCTTCCGATGATGAAAATGAAGAAGCTCAAGAACTCAACAGCAATGGTAACTTGACCCCCTCTACCAAGGAGACAGACATCGATAATATTTCGTCCACAAGTGCAAATTTCTCTTCACCTTCCCTAAGGTACAACTTAAAGGCGGTTATCTCACATTATGGCACTCATAACTACGGCCATTACATATGCTATAGAAAATTAAGAGGTACGTGGTGGAGAATAAGCGATGAATCAGTCTATGTGGTGACAGAGCAAGAGGTTTCAAATGGACAGGGTGCGTTCATGGTATTTTACGAATTTGAGGACGGATATCAGGAGCCAGTACAACAAGTTACCGATACGGAGCTGTCAGAGTCAGAGTCTGAAGGGGAATCAAAAGAATTCAGATCTACTGGAAATAGATCTGTTGTCAGCAGATGCGATGGATCTAGTATAACGCAGATGCTGAATTCAGACAAGTCAGATGACATTGAAAAATCAAGCAGTGAAGGTGAAGATCGTGGTCCTGATGGTGATAACAGCGCAGTGAAAAACAATGAGAGTATGGAAATCGATGGGAGTAGCCATTTGGTTGGCGAAACAAATGATTTCAATTTAGGTGACGAACGAGCTCATTTGTAATAGTTAGCAATGTAATAAAAAGTTTAGCTTAGCTTATTATATCGCCATGTAGAGTGAAAATAATAGAATGAGTATGGGGGCATCTCATCTCAAAATTTTTTTTTTTATCTTATGTATGCCTTTTCTGAACAGACTAGCTAAATATTATGGGTTCATAGAGAATGGGTAAAAAGGCAAAAGGAAAGATAATTAATAAGAAGGGCCTCAAGGGAGCTCTAATTAGACATGAAGCTAAAGAAAAATTACGTAAAAAAGAAGACAAATTGATAAATGTTAAAAAGGAAAACCAAAAATTGAAAGAGAAGTCTATGAAAAATGGAAATAAAAAGACGGGAAAAGCTCAATTGATTGACACTAAGGCATTTATACCATTCAATAAAGATGAAAAGGTTTTACTTGTCGGGGAAGGGGATTTCTCATTTGCAATGTCTTTAGTAGAGGAGGATTTCATTAAACCAGATAACTTGATCGCAACCAGCTATGATTCTGTTGACGAGATTAATTTGAAGTACCCAGCAGCAAAAGAGAAACTTGAGTTTTTGAAATCTAGGGGGGTTAAATTACTTCATGATATAGATGCAACTTCCCTTGTAAAGTCATTGAAATTGAACCCTTCGAATAAGAAAAAAACTGGGGGAAAGCAGTTGTTTGATGATGGTGGCCAGTTGAACAAAATCATGTTCAACTTCCCTCACACCGGACGTGGAATGAAAGATGTGGATAGAAACATAGCAGATCACCAGAAGTTGATTTTAGGATATTTCAAAAGTTGCAAAGAGGTGTTCAGCGTTATTAATAAAGACTTCACCTCTGAATACGGTGGTTACTTAACAGACAAGAATAATGGTAAAATAATAATTTCAGTATTCGAAGGAGAACCATATAGATCATGGGAAATTAAGTCTCTCGGAAGAAGTCAAGAATTCATGGTAGAAAGATCAGGTAAGTTTCAATGGCTGATGTTTCCCAGTTATCATCATAAAAGAACTAATAGCGAAAGGGACACCACAAAGCCAGCATCTGAGAGAAGTGCTAGGATATATGTTTTCTCAAGCAAGAAAGCCATTGATTCAAACAAGAACAATGTCGATGGAGCCTCCTCCGAAGAAGACTAAAAATTCAAAAATTCATGATATTGCATAATATATACTCAAACAGGATGATGTATTTACATAAACTCATTCAAAAGAAGCTTCTAGGCTGGATAGACCTTCACACAATGGTCAATTAGAAAAACCTCCTTTGTAAGAGGGTCCTTAACTTTACCCATGCGTAGCAATGTATTTTTCTCAGATAAGTACTTCTCTGAAGGGTTCAACAACTTTTCAAAAGGATAAATATTTCCGTTAGGTAACTTGAAAGGATTGTTGAAAATGCTTGTGATTAATTGAGCATAAGGTAAGTTTTTACTCAAATTGTATAATTCAGGTGAACACACCGGGCAATTATTAATTTTATCAAGCAACCTGTAGTAATAATTCGGACCTCTATATTTTCTATTACTGTGAATCGAAATATCGCTAACTTCCGAAGAATCCAGTCTGTCATCGGTCCTAAAGATAGTATTTTCATAATTGCAGTAACATGACTTTGTTTTCAAACTTGATAAACCTGCTGACAAGTATATAAACAACGGGTAATTCTTGGAAATGCCATAAAGATCAGTGAAGTTTTTCGTGAAACATTCAGCTAAGCTTGTCCATCTTTCATCGGAAAGGAGCTTTTCATATTCCTGGAACCTTGGCGAGTTTATTACTAGGCTGCTAGAAAAAGAAAGCCCATTTGCCTCTAGCGGCTTACTTTTGTTGATAGCAACATATACCAACAAGCCCCCGATCTCTTTAAGCTTTTTTAGGTTACTTTCGTGATTCTTTACATCTCCTTGTTGATAATTCTCCCTATTTCCATACGACGATAGATGTTCTTTGGAGAAATTGATTGCTTCGCTAACATCACCCTTTTCTATAAGGGAGAGGAATTTACAATAGTTAATTTCAAATTCTAAGTTAGAATTCGCCTTCCTTAGAGAGTTTCTGTTCTCACTAAACCACGATATAATCAAGGACAAGTCATGATGCTCCACTATAGACACAAAGACATTGTTGAAGTTCTCGAATAGGTCATAGTCAATCAACTTTGAAAATTTGGGATTGGTTTTGGAAAGGTTCTTTAATAGCAGAAGACCTATGTTTCCATTAGAACTAGTATTGGATTTGATTAAATAATCTACAATCAAAAGATTAGCTTGATCTCTATACCAATTGATCAAATTAGTATTATGTAAATTCATTGTGAAATCATCTCCGGTTGGAGTTTGCTTATCATCTTCTAGCTCCTTGGAACCAGATCGTGGAGCTTTAACATCGATTAGATTTGTATATTGAGTCAATTGTGCCAAATTCTCTAATCGAACAATTATTCTGGATCTATACTCCTCGTCTCTCTCTGCAAATGTGGCCAATTTGCGTTGAAACCCCTCAAAGCTTTTAATTAGCTTCCGTATCATCTCAAGCTTGATTCTACTCGGCAAATTAGGATTCTTCCTGATTTTACCTATATCTTCAGTCAATAGTTTTTTCTGTTTTTCAACAAGCTTCTGGACATTCTTGAAGTTCTTCTTTATAAGCTCACAGGGTATTTTAAACAGGGTCAACCTGGTTTGAATATGAAAATTGATAGTAGGTTCACTCATCTAGCAACTCAATAAAAAAAAAATCCAAAGTGGCACCGTTTTCACCTTTTTGACAGCAAATTTGAAATCTAGCGATAATATTGTCAAGGTTATAGGATCTTTCTTGAATTTAATGAGTATAGAGGCTAACGTGGAGTAGTATAAGGGGCGATTTTTGTCTAGTATCTAATCTCTCACTATCAAAATCGCTATCAATATCTCTATGAAGGACCACTATAAAAGTTCGAATTTAAAGATTTTATATACTAGCTCTATATATAAGGATTATACTCTATTGGGATTAGAAACAGGGTACAATGTGTCTTCTACTTTGTATTCTCCACTTTTTAACTTATGAAATATTTGTTCTAATCTTTTGGTGCCTTCTGGAATATCGTTAACATACTGACCATCTATATCTAGAGCACTTTTCCTATTATGAGGAGAAAATTTGTGAACTTTATCAACAAATTCTTCCTTAACATTATCGTAAGGATAAAAATGGAATTGTAAGTTGTCACCGTGGGTTTTCACTCTAGATAATTCCCATTCTCTTTGTTTCTCCTTAGACGGAAGCTCTTTAGCTCCAGACCATACACCAGCTATTGCTGCAGCAGAAGCTTCGATGGTATGGAAAGTTAAAGGAGATACTGTAATTCCAACTGCTGCCAATGAAGGATCATCAATGGAAAAAGTATTATAATAGAGTCCCGAAACTCTACTTGAATTCGAAGGTGAATGAACCTTCAACTTATCCTCCAAAAAGGGGAAATGAAAGTGGTAGCCAGTGGTAAATACAATTTTATCAACGTTCTTTTCAACAGATCCATCGCTGAATATAATTTCATTTTTTTCCGGCACTATTTTAGATATTGTGGGCTTCGACACTATACCTTCAGAACTTAGGGCATCATTGATCCATGGGTAGATCTTATTCACACTTCTTCTTGAAATAATGACCTTCTTAGCAAGTGGTACAATATACTGCACTAAGTTTGTAGTACTTATTGAGCTGCCGACTAGCACCACCTTTTGGTTTTTAAATATCTCTGCATTTCTGAACGATTTTGCATGCATTAATGATCCAGGATGAAGCTCATTCTGCTGAGCCAATCCAGGAATATGTGGGATATTAGGGAGTGAATAATGGCCAATAGCTACTACAACGCCATCAAACTCTTCCTGGTACCAATGATATTCTCCCTTTTTCAGAAGTTTTCTAACAGTTAGCACCCATTTCCCTTTGCTGTTTTTTTCAAGTGATTCTACTTTTGAATTAACCCTTATATAATCAACTAAGCGCTCCTTATCGATGAAATCATCTAAACTTTTTGTAAGCTCTTGTTGTGAAACAAAAGGATATATTCTTCTCGATTCATCGTAATATTTCTCTTCATTTGGAATGTATGAAAATCGAGTGAACCTCCATGGAACATTGGTGAACAAGTCGGAAAATACACCACTTGTACTCCATTCCAGCTCCTTAAGGCTGATATCCTCATTAGTGCTTAAAGGCAGTTGAAAAGTAGTACCTTCAAGAGATTCGGGTATAGCTCTCTTTGGATGAAGAACAGATGGATCATTGTAGGCCCCGGTATTAAGCAACTCCTGCGAAGGGAATAAGGGACCCTGTTGCTCAAAATCAGAGGCCCAGACACCCCCTGGCCTGCTTTTCTGCTCAAAGGCAACTATTTTCGAAAAAGCACCTTCATTAGATCTAGATGTACCAACTGTAGAATTTCCATTCTTGTCTGTATTAAGAAACTCATACAAGGCAGCTATACCCCCTGGTCCAGCTCCAATTATAGCAATTGAGTCAATTTTCATTGCTTTAGATCCTGTGGACCTTGAGACCTCTGTTAAGCTATAATGACAAGTTTATTATAGCTTTATTCACTAAAGGCATCACCTTTAATGATATCGAGAGAATGTATGGCGATTGCGAAAAATTAGTAGTTCGATATCACCTTCCTATTATGAACAGCTAAAAAAGCCACACTATTGATAGTATGAAAAGAGCCAAAGAAAGCTACAACTATCATATTGCTTATGAGATAGTAGCGGTAATGATCCTAGAAACAAGATAATTACATTAAGCCATATATTTACGGAGATATAAACCAATTGAGATATTACAAAACGGAACTTATTATCAGATTCCAAATATCATATATGTCTTATTATACCATAGTTTCATCATTGTAAATCTATATATGCCCGGGAAACAGACGCTGCTGTTTTTGAACTATTCTCTATCGATTTTGAACAGGTCTTCCAGTGAATTATCAATCTCGAAATTATTGATCTCAAAATCAGTTAGCTCTAAGTGACCATCCTCTAGGTCAGCGGACAGTTCTGGTAAATTTGTATAGCGATCAGTCCTCTTAGATGTAATCGTTTTAATGAAATCGATGATTCTTTTGAATTTACTCTGCAATTTTGCAGCTACCATGGATCTACCACCGCGGCCAACCATGAGCCAGACAATAAATCCTATTAAAAACATGAAGATAAAAAGTCCGTACCAGCGATGTGGCTGAACGTACCACTTCAGTTCATTATTTTCATACTGGTCTGATAACTCGTAATCATAATAATGATATACAGCATTTTCATCTGGATCTCTAAACTGTGGTCGTGGTGGGATATTATTTTGTTCAGCACCGTAGCTATACACCATGGATGAAGCTGAGTGATAATATCCAGGCCTCTGAAGTAATAAACCTTTGGCTTTCAGCAGTTTTTGCAATTTTTCATCGGTGAGTTTGTGAACTTCTATAGTGTGATTGATAAAAGCTTGGATGTATTCGTCATTTGAATATAAGATGGCTCTTCCAAGTGTCCATGAAAAGACAGAGCCACCGATATCTTCTGCAAGCTGTAGTGATTTAAACTGCTTATTCTTATTTGGATCCTTGTCTATTCCATATCTTGGGAAACCAAGACCTGTGTGCAAAAAGTTCAAAATCCAAGAAGACTTAAAGCATAATTCTGATAACTCAACTTCTGTTAGTTGTCTTTTTGTAGGTTCTAGCTTATTTAAGTCAATTAATTGACTAAACGTCATTGAGCAGATATCCTTCGTCTTCTGATAGATAACTTTATAATCAAATTCGTCACTAGCATTTCTCTCTGGCTTCTGGTCCTTATTTCCATAAGATAATAAAGTATTTATAGCATCCCAATATCCACTAACGCCAATAAAATGATTGACATCGAAATCAAAAGCGGGTATCAAATCATTCAAAAGACATGCACTCACGTCTGCTCCTTCATTTAGTTGCTTGCAATTTTTATCATCATGAGATTTGCCAGATCCATACGTGCTTCTCAGTAAAACAGGGAAAATTGAAGTTAAACATTTCTGGAAGTCACTTTCCCCAACAAAATCAACATAGTCACCTTTGATAACAGAATTCTTGGTGTTTCCCTTTGGTAAACAGGGATCTGAAACAGGAACACCTATGCTATATTCGTCGTCAATTTTATTATCTTCCCTATAATCATCCGCCAAATAGGTGAGATACTTATCATGAGCTTGAAACATCCCAAGACCCAAAAATGAGTCTGAGTAGACATCAAATTGCTGTCTCACCGGTGGTGAATAACTGGCGTCTTTCTGCTTATCATTTCTCTGTAGTTGAGGCACCTCCGCGAGACTTATCTTATATAAATTATTCTTATGCTCATTTATTTCAGTGGAGTTGGGCAGAAATACAACCTGAGTAGAAGAGCCTCCCATATCCAAGAGACCATAGGTGGTGTGATTTTTACCATGTTTATGCTTTTCAGGCGAATCAAGAGCTCCAACCAAGTAATTAATGGATAACCATCCATATAATCCCTCTACGTCACCATCAATAACGTTGACATGGGATGCACAATCAGGCATGTAGAAGTCAGAGTTATAAGTGAAATAAGAACAGATGTTTTCCAATATCTGTTGTTGCTCCAAATTATTCAAAAGTCTCATTCCTGCCGTCGAGTGCAAAAATATTGGTGTCCTCGTATGTTGAGACTTAGGGACAACTGTACTTGCAACAGAAAGTAGATATTTCAAGTGATGATTTCCTATCTTCTGTGGACTGGCATTAAAAGAAGAAATACCTGGACGAATCTTCTGGTGCCACTTTTTCTTACTATAAATTTTGGGAAACTTGACCTTCTCTAATTTTGTTTGACCTTTGGCTTTATCCTTGCTCTTTTCTTTCTGTTTGTCTTTATCATTGAGTTTTCCTTTACTACCTTGTACACTCTTCTGTTTCTTACTGTCTTTATCTTTACTACTTGTAGCCCCTTCACTATCGCTGTCACTATCACTGCCACCTTCATCAGTTTTATCATTAAAGTCTATTTCATCGCCTGTTCCAGCTCTTTTGAGTAGTTTAAGACTCAGCTTCACATTATCGAAGTCAATGCCAGCATTTATCGCATGTGTTGGGTTTAACCAGTTGTATATAAATACTCTGGATCCCTTAGAACCTGAATCAATAATGACAATATAGTCGTAAGGAATACCTTCCTTAGAATATATCGGACCCGGATTTCTTTTCGTAGCTTTTCCAGTATCTATCTTTGCGTCCGTCACCATTGATCTCTATGCTAATTGTAACTTGGCTGTCCTACCGGATAAAGTTTGGTAGTATCACCATTATTACGACATATAACGACATGTCGTGATCATCGGAAAGCAACAGCGAACACGTCCGACGATAACATGGGCTACAACATATAGGTTAAGTCTCTACCATTTGCTTCAGCAAGCACGTACTCACGAATGAATAAAGTAAATTCTTTATATATAACCCTAAATAAAAACTACCATAAAGCCAATCGAAAGAAAACCACAGTAACCATTAAGTCAGATCCTATGTATATAATCCTCTAGTCATGCTCCATGTGGTCTGCTTAAACTATTGTACACTTTTCATTTTGCTTCACCGGTGGGTTCTGCTTGTTTTCGATCTCTTCAATCAATGACTCAAAAGCTTTATTAACGTTAACGTTGTCTCGAACAGAGCTCTCCAAAAACCTGCAATTGAACTTCTTAGCAAGATTAACGCCATCTTCAAGTTCGACTTGCCTCTGATAGTTTAAGTCGCATTTATTCCCAATCAAAACCATTGTGATATCATCTGAACCGATGGAGTCCAAAATTTTATCTCTTATAACTTCTATCAACTCAAAAGATTGTCTAGACGTTACAGAATAAACTAATAAATACCCGTGAATTCCGATTAAATGCTTTTCATTCATGATAGAGAACTCATCTTGGCCCGCAGTATCTAGTATTTCGATAGCGTATTCTTCATTTTTGTAATTTATAGTCTTCGAAAATTGATTCTCTATTGTCGGATAATAAGATTCTACGAAGTGGTCTTCCACAAATCTAACCGTCATAGACGACTTACCAACCGAACGAGAACCGACGACAGCAATCTTTCTGGCCTTTGCCATTTTCTAATAAGTCTATCTTGAATAATATTCAAGAAAAGTGCTGATATAATATTTGCTCGGTTTCTCCTTAAATTTTTAGATAAGCAAGTCGAATTGGCGATGCTCTAACAATACCTTACAAAAAATATAAGATTACAAAGAAATGAGTTATATTCACAAATATGTAGTTTAGCCTATTTAGCCCATTTTATTACTTCCAAACTAGTCACTACAATAAAGATAGTGGTTGGCAATGTCAAAATTACGTAACCCCAAAATAAGACTCCCCCCATCTCCTTTTGATAAATTCCATTTATCTGGGTAATTTGCGACAATTGAATAGCAGGTGGGGATATTGTTAAGATAAAAGCGACTATCAAAAATATAGGATCATCTAGAATAGATATCTTAATGAACTTGACACAAAGTGAGATGAATGGAAGCATAACAAATGATGGCAATATCATTCTTGATAGCACTGAAGCTGCAACAATTCTATTGTAATGTTTGGACGCAGACGGAACATCCTTTGATGGATATAAATTCGAGCCCAAGACAATCAAAATTAATGGAATTGATACAGACCCTAATTGCGTGATGGATGCTGTTAATGTAGCATTGACAAAAGAGTCCTTCTTGTTGAACATTTGGTCTTGGAGAAAAGGAATCGAAGCAACAATAACAGATATCAACATTGCATATAAAGGAGGATTCATAAATTTGAGGAAGCTTTGGACAACAGAAGAGTTTTTGAATGAAATCCAATATTGAGATACCCCATAACTTTGAACAGCCACTGGTGAGCTGAAACTTTTGATAGAGTGGTTATCTTCATTGTCTCTTTCTATCACTCTCTCTATTTCTTCGTCGAAATAACTGTTATCCGATGTAACTTCAGTTGGAGAATTTGGTTGAGAATCTATTAACAAACTCCTAGCTTCATCTTCATCGTAGCTTTTTGTGCTATACAAAGTTAATTCTTCTGGCGATCTCCTTCTTAACAATGTATTATAACCCCAAGACCATCTTAGTACTTGGCCCAACTGTTGGAAGATTAGTAAATAAAGAATTCCTCTTGAAGCTACTCTGTCGGAATTGTCATCATCGATATCTTCCCATAACAAATCAGGTAATGTGTATGCTAATGATAAGGTGAGAGAGACTGGTAATGAATTTGAATTGCTAAACACTGACATAGCAGTAACAAAATCCAGCTCTGGGTTATTCAAATGAAAAAAGTTGTTGACAATCTTTGAACTCAAATATGAAACACCGGTCAACATACAGAAAAAGACAGGTATAATAATGATGTCGATCATCTTTTGAAATGACAATGACGAAGCTAGCTTGGAGAACACCAAGCATGGTGTAAAAAGGTCAACATTAAGCTGAGATATAACCTTTTGGTTTTGGGTATTCAACAATCCCAGCTTAGCCGATATAAACCCAGCAACGCAAATAATCACAACCTCTAGAACCGCTTCAAAAGTTAAAAAAGCAATATCTAAAAATGAAAGATCAGTGTTCTGATCCTTTCGCTCAACTAAGGATGTAACTGCTCGTAGAATCATGCTTCAACTCCTTTTTAACACAAATAAAAATCTCTTAAGCCGAATTGCCACCAGTAAAGTATTATGATATGTCACTGAGTGTCCCTGATACAAAAATGTAAAAAAGGACTTATATTATGAGGTAGCAGAAGATTATTTGTCTGGCGTCGAAATACTTGAATTCGATCTCTTATTAAATATTCTTGTAGTTCAGGAATTAATCAGATTTGCTTTTTACAAATTTGTTGCTCCTTCAATTACAGAGGCTTAAAATATGGCTTAGTTCTCTCTTATGTTAGTGGTTACTTTCACAAGTCGATATAATGTGATCAGTTACTGTTCTTTCCTAGTAATCCCTCTCTATATTAAGACGACGATTATAAGAGTTTGCCGAAAAAAAGTGATTACTTCTTGGTGGTGGACCTTATCTCTGATTGTGATCCTGCGAGGTACAAAAGTGAATCTTCGTTGGTTCTAGGGAAACGGCGTGAAATTTTTTTCCCCTGAGCTTTAAAGATCAAGTGAGCCGTGAAGTGCCTAATTAGTAACCCTAGCTCGACGCCAAAACTCTCAAGTTTGTCTAATGATTAGAAACGTGGCGGTCTAATCTGTTCCGTAATAAGTTATTATTTCTGTCCTGCATACTCGGTATCTATTACCAGGGATTACTTGAGCATCAAGAGCAGATCATGAGGCGGGGGGAAAGTTGTCACATTAGATGACTTGTGGCACAGCAAGTAGCAGGGTAAGGGCCCCAACAAGATCAGCTTTGGATAGAGTATTGCTTTCTTCAATAAGAATACTAACTCTCGTAAGGACAGAATGATATAGTTGTGCTAGATGTTCAACACCATCGTATCCGGTCTCGGACGCATTCCTTGCAGCTTCCAAGAAGTTATCTTGGCTCGCTTCTTTCTCTTTATAAAATTTTCTACTGCTTTAGTCCTTAGCTGACTTACTTTTATCGGCTTTCTGTATTGTCTTCCGGCAGAATCATATGTGCTGCTTGAAACGTAGAAGCTTACAATGTAAATAACGATTTTTAATAGGTTTCTACAATTATTCTAAGAAATACGTATGCAAAAAAAAAATTAGTACCTTAAAATTTTTTTTAAATAGTACTATTGCTTCATAAGTCCTCTAACTAAACAGATTCATAGGTAACGGAATCTAAATCACTACTCTATTGCTCCAAGGACCCTCTTCCTTTCTTTCAGAGCTCCAAAAAAGAACACAAAACCAAAGAACACAAAATCAGTCTATGATTTTTTGAAAGTAAACAAATGACTTTTTATCGTGGATAAACAAGTGATTGCAACTTGGATAGTGCTAAAGGAAGGAGCTGACTAAGGCCGGATTATAAGGACAAGAACATAGAGGAGATAGTGTTATAGCAGAAAATTAACGTTTTCAAAATCAAAGCAGAGACCAAAAAGCTACCTGGAATCAAATAAGTCAGGTTTTAATACAAACTGTCAAACTATCTAAGGATAGAGCTCGCAGAAATGACCCCTAGAGTAACACGCTCTGTGGGCTCCCCTGAGCATCGAAAAGGAGGTGCGAGGGACGCATTTCCAGATACTGATCTCGAATCATCATTTGATTTAGGAATAATGGCATCGACACCATTAAAATATGAAGATGAGACATTCCTTTCACCCATGAATAAGCTCAACAGATTGCACTTGGAGTCAGACTGTGAAAATCATTTGGGAAACCAAACTTTGACGAGTCATTCGGACGATGAGAAACTCCCAAACTACAGAAAGAGGCATTTGACTGAATCGCCTTCAGATATGATAATAACGCCTAGTAACTCGGGCCCCAATTCTAAGATGTCCATTTGCATTAATAATAGCTCCAACATAAGTAAGCTAAGCTTTTCGCAGAGTGATTCAACACCTTGCCCAGTTCAACCTAGAAAGAGGTTGAAGTTCAAAAAAAATAACAATGTCAGTCCCAGGATAAATAATAACAGAAGAATTTTAAATCTTTCAAACTCTGTCAAGACTTCAGTAGCAACCAAGTTAAACACTGCGCTGTCTGACGATGACAATTTGAAGACTATAAATACATCCATTTTTTCGAAGGGCCAAGAATCAACACCTATATCCCAATCCACGCCCGCAAATTCGAGGGACGCAACCCCATCACCTGCATCAGTTGACTCAGTTGAGTTTGGAGATTCTATTAATGGGTTTCACTTTGTGAGACCAAAGAACTCGTCTGTTTCGACTCCAAAATTAAAATCATATAACCTACGAAACTTGTACAATCAAAGTAATATAATAGGTAAAGAGGAATATGAAATTATTGGCGAGGTAGAAACAAATAATTCAGACATTCACGTTGGTGATAGGAGGACGGACCCATACAATGAGGACTACGATGATACTGACGATGACATAGAACAGTCGCGAAAAAGAGAATTACGCAAACAATATTTTAGTGACGATAATAAGTTGCCATTGACACGATGTTTTGAAGATCCGAAGCCTAAAAAGGCAGAACTAATTCAAATTATCAACGATCAGAACTCTGTGATGGATTTTTTAAATCAAATTAAATTATCTGATGAAGAATTAACAGATTTAATCAAGTCTGAGAGAAGAAGATGGCACCCTGATAAGTGGCATTCGAAATTGAAACAATCGCACTTGCCGTTTGATATAGAGATAATTAATAATCTCAGTCAAGCGTTAAATGCAATTGTGGAGCAATTAAATTAACGAACTTTATAGAATTATATATGTATATCTATATACATATGATGTGACGAAGTTTCTATGAGATTTCTATTATACAAATTAACTTCTTTAACTTCTGCATAAGAGAAGGTGGATCACAGCATTATTAGCTTTGTTCAATGTCTTTTGGAGTGTCAGCTCCAGTTTCTCCATTATCATCTAAAACTTCTTCAATATCTTCTTCCACATCTTCTTCAATATCTTCTTCAATGTCCTCCTCCTTGTCTTCATCTTCGTCCTCTTCTTCCCCTAGCTCATTCTCTTCATTGTCATTATCTTCTTCATCTTCTTCATCTTCATCTTCTTCCTCTTCGTCCTCATCTTCCTCGACATCTACTTGAGGAGGTGGGAGATCTTCCGATTTTTCGTTATCCCAAACAATATTGAATCGAGTGACCCTAGGCTTTTCTGCCAATATATTTCTCACAACATGATCAACCTGTACCTTTGCGGGTGGATTTTCTCTCAACTCTTCTGAATCATATTCATTATTCACGTAGTAGCCTACTCTGACAAATTCTCTCTCTGCATACGAACAACTCAATAGTATCACCGTAACACTTACCAATTCACTAGCAGGAATTAACTCTGGGCTTGGAGGATCAGCTTGAAACAAGAACTTATTTATGCCGACGGGAACAGGACCTACTAATATTGAGTCCAACTCTTGGTCGTGGTCTAAAGATCTAGAAGATCCTACATATGTTAGCTTCCATTCTAAATCCTCTCTTAATGGTTCTAAACATTCAAAAGTTATTTCGAATTCATAGGGGTCTGTGAATTTTGCTGGATTGTTGAGAACCTCAATTCCTAGTAACGATACAATGGACATTTTCTTGATTGTATATTGACTACTCAAAATTAGAAATCTTGTGGGACGCGTTTCAAAATTTTGACTACAGATGTATACACGACATTAGCGAGCAAACACGACATTTCTTGATGGACGACATTGTAAAATTTATAGATTCGATTCGGTGTCATTAGCATAAAGCAGTTGACTAGACGACACTAAGTTACACAAGATTATTGGGGAGGTGAATAGAGGCAATGAATAATCCACAATCTGATGATTCGGAGTCGAGATCTGATACTCAAAGTATGGTTGAGCAGGCACCACTGGTAAAAGATGCCGAAGAAGCCTCTGATAAATTTGAGAAAACACAGGATGATGATGAAGACCCAGAGGATATAAGTGACTATCCCAAGCTCTTTGAGAAGTACCAGGAAAGATTTAGCAAGGCTTATACGATTTCACAAAAATTGTTTGACATCGAAAAAGCCCAAAGAGAGACTCTCAGCTTCTATAAACGAAGAAACAATGCAATAATAGATACTCTATGTGAAATGGAGGAAAAAGACGCTACAAGCTCACTAAATAAGGACAAAAATTCACAAATTACTGAAATAGATAAATCGAGGATTGAAAATATTATATCTTTAAATCCCAGAGTATCAAAGTACCTTTCTTATGTATTAAATGAATCTGAAGATTTCAAGGTCAGCAAATCGAAAGAAATAAATCTCCTAATCAACGAGTCTATCGCTGAATTATCTCAGGATGATTTAATCAACCAAGAAATTAATCCACAAGACGTCGAAAGTTGGTGCAGAAGGCACTATCAAAATTTGGTTATTTCAA